ATTGGTTCACGACGACGACGAAAACGACGACGATCCATTAGACGTGTTTTTCTAGGCGCCACTTTAGCAGAGATAATATTTTGACGACGCGATCGGTGGCGCCCTATCTAAACACGAAATTTTCGATGGCTGACCCGTGGCAATAACGTCTCTTTCGCAAACAGCCCCCGGGGAATGTACGCTTTGAGGGAGCCAGGTTGTCTAGTCGATGGACCATCACTGTTAAGGACCAGGACGAAATCAAGTGGTACCTGGTTTCCACTAGAGTCAATTTAGATACACATCACTATGTTAGAGTTTAGCTAATATGCTGATAATGAAGGGCGGCCTAAATTTATGCCTTTTTCTAGGGTATTCGATATAAATACAAATTAATTATATCGAGACTCTTCGGATTCGTGAGAAATATTACAACAAACAGTTCGACTGCATGGAAAAATAAATATGATGGACTCGTTGAAATTCATTTCTTCTATCAAACACGATTGCTATAAAAATTTAACCAACTATTGGAAATAGGTGGTGGAATAAATAAAATAATTTAAACGATATAACTTTTACTAAGCTTTATTTGAAACACTTGGAAGGCACGTCTTTACGCATTGAAAGAAACATACAGAATGAGAAAAGTCAGTGACGAAGAATTCGTCCCGTACCCTCAGACCCAATCGGTCCTATATTTTGTCTAAACAAGTCAAGGAAGGGACACAGCTGCACCCTCTTGACTCGTATCTCTAAACGCAACATACGCGTCGATGGTTTTTGTTACGTAAAGAAAACTTTCTCTTTTAGAAGAGAAAAACCAACACCAACAAAAGGACATTAGCTGCTTTAAATTAATTAATCCGAGCAGGACCATTCTAAACGACACTTTATAATTCCACTTGGAACGCTTCGCTTACCCAAACAAGACATCAGAAGTTTTAGACGTCGAGCGATTTATCTGTTTATTCGTCTCTGGTCGACCTTTTTTTAGTCTTTCCGGAATCTATGAGTGCCTGTATATCATTCAAAAAAAAAAACAAAAAAAAAAGACGCAAAGAATTCGAGTGAACTATCCATGTACTCCACTCTATCAAACGCGAGATCTACTCTCTCTATTTCGAGAACATGCTAGCTAGGGTCTTTCGGTCTGGAACACACGTGCGTGCGCAACGGCGTCGTAAGTGGCTGAAAAACGTTGGAAAAAATAAATTCCGCCTGTAGAGTAACTGTGCCTCTGTTGCTTTGGCGTGCGCGCGGCGCATTAGCCATCGAGGACATCAAACGGCTCACCGAGGACCGCTTGAAAAGCAAACAATTAGCGGAGATATGAATCTTCCTGTCGGCTCGAACGCCCTTTCCAGTGGAGAGAAGCGTTTAATAACGCGCGGCTGATAATGGACCCGCTTCTTCGCGCTTTAACCGATACGACGCAATTCTTTGCTTACATTTTGTCCAATTCTTCAACACTCGTGTTACGTATTGACGTAAGATCGAGTGACAGAAACTATTTACTGAACTGGTACTGATGGGCAGACACCTGTAGTGTATACGTAAATATATGCAAGTTGACAATGGAAGGAATTAAAAAACGCAATTTTCAAACGACCATAACTGCTACAATAGTGAATATATTTCAATGAAATTTATTTCTGAAGTAGAGCTCATGGATAGCTACAAAACAGTATCAGACATTTCCATACAGCTTCAAACAAATTTATTAGAAATGAAAAACGAATTTTTAAGAAAAATCGACAGGTGGTAGGTGCCTAAATTTTTCGACAAAAAAAATTTTCAAATCGTTTTGGAAAAATTATTTTCTGTCGCGGGGGTCAACTACAATCATTTTTGGTAAATACGCATACCTTCGAAATCCTACGCAATTTCGAGAAACAAATTGAGAAAGGTGGACTAATTTTTCGGAGAAATTGAAAAATTTCAAATCGTTCTAAAAAAATTATTTTCCGTTGTGGGGGTCAGTTACGATCATTTTTGGTGAATACACATACCTCTGAAATTCTACGCTCTTTCGAGAAAAAAAATTCTTTACCGAAAATATAATGTGTGGCTAGAAATATGTTTCTGTAATTTCATTTTCTGTCTCACTTCCTCTTGTGTTCATTTCTCTTGTCTATGCGAAAAATATCGAACGTGATTTTGTATTGTCCGTGTTTAAATTTGTAAAATCAGTGATCAGCGATCGGTCAATAAGTAAAATCAGAATCGAATCGATTCGTTCCACGTGAAACTCTAACGCGTCGTCTTTCCGCCTACTGTTCGTCTCTTCAATGGGGGGATTCAACGAGCAGCGTTCGATTCTAACGGGCATACGTTCCTCTTACCGGAAGATCGATGGTCTATCCGAGTGGATATCGGGGGCATTATCGATGCACCGTCAGGTGGAAGACCGGTATCGCGGCCACCTTGTCCGAAAAGGATAAAAAAGCAACTGGATAAGTTCAACGTATCAGATAAACTTGTCCCGCGAGAAGATTAAAGCTCGAGTTCATACCACGTGCACCGTTCCGAGATTGCCTAAACGAGCGACCTGTTTGACCGCCAGCTCTTTCCTTTTCTGTTTACGTATACGGATTCGGGATACAGGGTCGTTGCGTAATACGATCACGATTTTGAGAATTATCTTTAATTATTGCGATTCACAGATTCGATTATCTTATTATAATTATTTCAAATAATATAATTTTATTATTTATTACAATCATGCATTATTAGCGATTTGTGTTAAATTCACTCGACGAATTAAACAATTCGAAACAGTCGTAGCCCCTGGCACGAATCACCCTGAATTAACGACAGAAAAAGAATATTCTGAGACCACTAATGACACGAACCGTATAACGAGTGATCCTTTCAGAAACTGGACGCTAATCGATTCCGTTAAAAATGTCCAACCAAAACTACTTCTTGTTTCTCAATTTCATAATAAGTAGCCACTTATCACTCCGATTCAAGCCGCGGTTCTGCCATCGAGGAGACAACGGTTGATTGATCCCTGCGATTAAACGCGATGAATCGCGCGGCTGAAAAAGGGACCAGCGTACACCAATCAACGTGGAACAACATCTCGAAAGAATTCGCCGGACCGTTTCTCACGGTGAATCGATATTCTCGGTGGAACAACCTCGATAAATTATTCTCCGTGCGGATGTTCATTGGAACGAACTGTTCTCGCTATTTAGTACCTAGTCGCGAGTCGAGCATCGCATAAATTCGCATTTTTCGTCCATCTTAAAAAATATACAGGGCTGGACTATAGCTACGTTTCTCTCCGCGCGATATCGACGAAAGAAAATTGCGACGGTTCAACCTGTTGCGTCGTCAACGCGGGACTCAAAGTGTCGAGGCTAATTAACCGAGTAATTCTTAATTAACGACCGACCCACGTCCAGGAGAATGGGAGTCACGATGGAACTCGATTTCCATGAATCTCTCCACTGTTCGATACGAGATTGGGATCACGTGTTTCGAAATAATTATTTAATACTTTCACTGTCACGTCACCCACATATGAGTGACAGAATTTACCATTATAATACTAGAAAAATTAATTCTCAAGTTAAGACGACGAGAAAAATAAATTTGGTTAGAATTTATGAATTTTAATAAGATTACAAAAATAAGTACTGAAACAAATTTTAGGTTATGTAGCCTACAATGGTCTAAAATCAAGATTTTACTTTTGCAGAATATTATACGGTTTTGATCTGGCAGTGAACGTGTTAAAAAGTATCGCAACAGTGTAACGATTTAATAAATTAATGCTCTGATCAAAAATTTATAATTATATATGGTAATATTAGCAATACGGCGCAATATTACGTCCAATTAAAATTCTACAATTTGCACGCGTCAGAGATGGATTAAATTTTAGGTTAGAGAAAAAGAGAGTTTCCATTATTGAATGAAATATGTACATATATCGCAACGAACAAATACAAATCGACATGCTCTGTCGACGAAACGTCAGGAATAAATTACTGTACGCTGATTTTATTCGTCATTTACTATACGAATTAAATTTTTTCCCAACTCTGGCACGAGCACACATTCATTTCGGTTTACGAACATCTTGCTCGATCGACCATGCATTCGGCGACGACCAGCCGCGCGTGTAACCCTGAATGAACAACACGGATTGCCCCACGGACTCCTACGTTATTTCCTTACGGGCTGAATAACACAATTTTATCACCTATCGGTTATTCGCTGTTAGATTAATAAATCTATCCAATTTTTATACCGAACTGATTTTAACAGTCCTTTCCGTTGCTTTGATACATCGTTTTTTATCGTAAAAAATAAGCAATTCGACACCCTGTATACAAGGTTAGGTACAAATAAGTCCCCACGATTTTTCAGCCCCTTTTATCGCCGAATTATTTCAGATATCGTGGCAACCGATTCATGGCAATTCACGACAATGAATTCGTCTCGATGTCATTTGCAATACTATGAAGTTAAAAATACCTAATTTCGTTTAAAAATGTTGGAATATGGACATTCAAACATGGGGCTAATCGCGCCATCTGTTATCATACAATAGGCATTGTATTAGTGCCATCTAGGCTTTATAAAAGTACTATGCGCGTTGTCGACTTCTCTGTAGTCTTGTGGCAGCAGTTAAAGCGAACACGTCTTTCTTTGTGCATAAAGCGTTGTAAATATACAATTGTGATCTTGTCAATTATTTCACCAACAAAAAATATAACAGTGCCTTCAATTTTTTATCGACAATCAATTTGCTTTTAAACTTAAGCAACCGAAATTTCTTGTCGGTTAAATGCTGATTAACATTTTTTTGTCGGACCATCGAAAGGTACTGAAAAATCGTTGGGGACTAATTTGTGCCTCGTTCTGTATATAGTTAATCGATATTTTTTTTTAAATACAAAATTGTTCGAGCGTGACGTTACTCGTTCAGGGTTAATTAGCTGGACGAGTGGTCGTGGCGGCCGACGATGCGCAATAGTACTGGTAAAACAACGAATTATACTCACTTCCGGCCGCTGTCGAGGAACCTGTCGAACTCGACGGACATTTTACAGCAGAGGGCCCGCCTGTTGTGAGAGGATGAGCACTTCGTGTTGATCATGTGGCCGTCTGGAAGCAAACAGAGAGGAGAGGGGTCTCCATCAGTGAGAGGGTGGACGTGCAATTAATTAAGAGGTTAATAATCATCCTACCGGGTCGTCGCTACAGAGAGGCTTTAATTAATTCGTCTCGATGGGTTTCGCTCCTTCAGGAGCCCCGTCGATGTGAGAGAAGCACACCGGGCGATCATAGCGATACCGTGTGTACCTGTTTCAAAGCACTCCCACGATGTTACTTGTTACTGTAACGTTTCAATTACGCCCTCCAACAATACTCGACAATTAACCGTTCGAACTGCTCGTAATTATACGGTTTGCTCATAGTAATCCTTTCCGATACCACGGATTCCCTAGACTGGTTTCTCGAGCTCCAAGCGACTCGAGCTTTCTTGTCTAAGGCGACGGAACTCTAGCCGAGCAAACCGTACTACACTCGATATCGAATAAAGAAAAGTAAAACTAAATTCCCTGGTTAGGGTATACGTAGAAAATGGCCGGAAACGCTTGAAGAGGAAGGTTAAACGAGGAAGGATCCGAAGATTTAAACGACACAAGAAAGCAAAAAGTAACAAAAGCGAGAGAGGGAAGGATGTAAGATCGAACGGAGGCGATACATATATTCTTTGAGCAGTGTCTAGGTGGACAAACGAAGGGTGGATTATTCGAGGCAGGTAGAAACGCTAGAGGTGGAGGCGAAAACCGGTGCAGAGCGCGTGGTGAGGTCAAATGTCGGACGGTGCCCGAGGGCTCGCGTGCTCATCCCTCCTCCTTCGTCCTTCCGTAGCCGGCATTATCCTCCCTCTTGGCATGCGTCCACCCACGCTTCTGCTTCACGGCTAACTGATGCGTCAGACGTGTTACGAGGGAAACATGGAATAATATCCGTCTGGATAGTCATCGACTCGAGGGCCCTTACCCAACCTGGGGATCATCTAAAAACCGTCCCGGTCACGGCCGACCAAAATTTCTGCTCATTTTCCACTTAAAATTAACCCTTTTCCAAATCACGTTCACCTTCATCGATCGTCGACCATTTTCTCCCCGGTTGTTCTTTTTTCTTTTGGAGACAAGGTTGGTAAACTTTAATAGGTTGACCTAAATTGTGATTCTAGACGATTGTAAAGTACGTAACTTAACATTTATCTTACAAGGTGACTTTGCGGTCGTGAAAATTGATTTTAAAGCGTGTGCAAGTTGTAGTATAAGGTTTCCGGCTTAAGACGTAAGACCACTGTAAAAACCTGAAATAGAGCGTTTTTATGTAATTTTTTTTTTTTTTGATGCATGGAAAAGTAAAAGGATAATACTATTCAAAAATGTTAATAACCATATCGTTAAGTGTTAAAAAAAAAATATTTATTCAAAAATAGTGCAAAATGACGACGCTGTAGCCATTCTCGCAAGGCGTGTTTTGAATTTGAGGCGGTCTGCGGCACGCAGTGTAACTGACGCAAATTTGTATCTGGAAAAAAAAACAACAAATGTTCTCTTACTCTGCATGAGTATAGCTAGAGAAATACATAGGGAATCTTCGATAAGTTAATTTTAACATTATTTATTGACAAATGATTGCCCCATTTTTTGTACAAAATTGAACTTTCTACTTCAAATGCTCGCCAATCACACAAAAATTAATGTTTCAAAACTACCGTACGTATTTCTCTAGCTATACTCATGTAGATTAAGAGAAAATTTTTTGTTTTTTTCCAGATACAAATTTGCGTCAGTTATACTGCGTGCCGCAGAGCATCTCAAATTCAAAACATATCTCACGAGAATGGCTCCAGCGTTTTTAAAAACACTTAATGACATGGTTAATAACATTTTTGAATATTATTAGCCTCGTCCTTTTTCATCCATCAAAAAAAAATCGCAAAAAAACGTTTTATTTCAGGTTTTTACAGTGGTCTTACCCCTTAGCCACATTCTATTCTCAAAAATAAATTTAAGTAATTATTTTACATAATAGAAGAAATTTATTAGGGTTTGTTGATACTAGGTATCTACTATAGCTTCCACCTTTTCCAAAGCAATTTCCACGACTATAAGGTACCCTTGTTAGTACGTATTTTAGAATAATTTTAATAATTTAATATTATAATTTAATTTAAATTTAATTTTATAACTTTAATAATTTTTATATAGAGATTAAAAAACTAAGAAATTTCGTAGACACCTATCAATAAGTATCGTTTGCACTAGAAAGAGTTAATAAAACTAAAATCAAAAAAAGGTTAATAAATATAAAACCGAAGTCCAACATCGACTTTGGATTTTGAAAACAGGACTTTGTCCCAATAACCGTTCTAAATAGAATGAAAACGCAAATAGAAAAACGAATAGGACGCTGTTTTTTTCGTGCGCGTCTCGACGCTTCTTCGCCGACCAGTCGGTCGTCTTTCCGTCTTGTAATTTGCATCCGTGCCCGAGGGTGGTGTTAGTATGCACACAATGCCAGCAGCCGCACGCTCGGCGATATTATTGCCGAGCAGAAATCCGCCGAATATTCTGTCGGCGTGCATCATGCTTGGTCAAACCGCGAAATGGACGGGGAAACGAATTTAAGAACACAACCGGCATTGCGACTCGTTCCAGCGTACCTCACCACGGATACGAATCGTTGAGTCAATCATCAAGCCGTGGTCGCAGGAAATTGTGCCCGCAACTACACAGTATGTCGGAAAAATAACGGAACTTTTTAAATTAAAAGAAGAAAAGTAGTTATTTTGCCAAAATTATTTTTTTTTATTCAAAACACATCCCATCTGCATCAATACACCGCGGGGCACGTTCTACTAGTGCCAGCGTAGACTTTTTTATATCATTTTGCGGAATCGCATCAATGACTCTTGTCACCACGCCTTGGTTCCTTTCATGGCTAGTTTGTGTTTTGGGAATAGGAAATAATCACAGGGAGATAAGTTCTGGCGAATACGAAGGATGTTGGAGCACACAGGCCTGTTTTCTCTTCAAAAATTCACGAACAGTGACAGTCTTGTGCGATAGTGCATTAGCGTGCAACAAAAACCAACTTCCTGGCGCTCGATATTCGGGCCTCACTCGAACGATTTTTTCCCACAAACGCTCCATAACACCCAGATAATATTCACCATTGACATTTTCACCCTGTGGAACGAATTCCCCAAGTACAATACCTTCAGAATCATAAAAACAGATCAATATTGTCTTCTCTCGTGACTTCTGGAATCGCAATTTTTTCGATTTCGGAGAGTCTGGGGACTTCCACGTTGCACTTTGGCGCTTTGTTTGTGGATCGTACTTGAAGCACCAAGTCTCGTCTCCAGTCACAATCGATTCCAGAAATGTGCAGTTCGGCCTGGCTGTTTTAATAAGATCCTTGCAATGTTCAACGCGAGCAATCTGTTGGTCCTCATTTAATGCATGAGGAACAAATCGAGCACAGACTTTCCGTTTGTTTAAGTCCTTTGCCAAAATTTCGTGAATCATGTCTTTAATCGTATTTAATACCTCTGCCAACCATCTCACACTTGAAGTCGCATCGTAGGTAATCATTTCACGCACTTTTTCCACCAACTCATCGCGATTTTTCTGTTTTGGCCGACCTGGCTTTGGGTCATCTTCCAAAGCATCACGACCATCCTGGAATCGTTTATACCATTCGACACACGTGTACGGGATAAACAATCATCGCCATAAACTTTTTTCATCAATTCAAATGTTTCTGTAAAAGTTTTCCCGAGCTTGAAACAAAATTTAATATTTGCTCTTTCTTCCATTGTGTTTCTGGGACGAAGTGACAAAATAATTCCAATAATGATGCTTTTGTTTTGTAGAGGAAATATACAGCTTTCAGGTTACATATTATTTCAATAGATGGCATTAGCAGTTTTCATTAAATTTAAAAAGTTCCGTTATTTTTCCGACATACTGTATATTTAGACGCAATAATATTTTTGGTTACCACTAACAATTTCCAACGGAGGAATATTTTCCTGCAACTATATTCCCGCGCATCAAATTCTTTGGGTCTGAGGCGCCCTCCCCCGAGGGGAGGGTTTCTTTAAAAGTTTCGCTTTGTTGACCAAGTGCGCTTTTAGTGTTTTACTACCTCAATATACATAGGAATTTCCTTCCCATTTAACAAAGACTGTTCATATTCTTTTTATTGAAGAAATCTTCTTCCACTATTCAAAGTTATTAAAGGTTTGCAATTTTAAAACTAAGTACGTATATTCATTTAACGTAGAAAAAATTAAACAATGGCGTATTTAAGCAAATACACGACTAGAGAAATGATGGAATAAAAACTGCTCCATAATTGTTTTTGCGTATATTTTAGGTGAAAATATTTTTTAAATATTAATAAACAAATAGTTTTTCACTGTCGTTTAGTTAGAAATTGAAAAAAAAAAACAAAATTAATATAATAAAAAAAATGTACTTTAGCAGGGCGCGAACGCGCGTCAAAAAGTTTGCAGCAGTCTCACAGTCAAGCATCTTACTGCACCATCGCAGCTCTTGAAAATACCGTTGATACTTCTCAATATATCGCGCATAGCACTTTTTTTTTCGTGACTGATTTTTGCTTTTCTTCTTGTATACACTGTTCTGCTCAATATAGAAATGCTTTATCATGAAAAATTCAAAGTATAAGATGCTTTTTCACGCGAAAAACGTCGAAAAAATCGGTTTTTGATTTTTGCTACTACGGCGCACCCTACCAAAAAATCTGAAAAAATTCAGGGAGATAACCAATGACAATACGCATTTACAGTAATTATAGAAATCTAGTGTCTCGAAAGCTTCAATACGAAATCCGTATTTTTCTGTGTTTTTTTGCATTTTCAATTTTTCACACCTAGGATTTGGAATCAAAAAATCGGAAAAAATTCTCAAACACGTATCTCAATAACCACAATGCACCAGATTTGTTTTATAATTTTTGTACTCGATTAAATAGGGGAAATAGGCACAAATTCGTTAATCCGAATTTTCTCAATAACTACTCTTCCAAACAAGATAGAGGGTTAAAATTTGGCACAGAACGTTTTTTCTTGATGCTCTATCGGTGGATCCATCGTATGTCACATTTGGTTCAAGGGCACATTTGACCCCCTTATTCGGCTATACCCTTTAAAAAGTTCCGTTATTTTTCCGACATACTGTGTACCAACCTTTCGGTCTTTAAAGATCACCGAAACAGAACAAACTTTATTTCGAATAAAATCGAAATTTATTTATTTCTTTTTCTTCGCTGCGAACAACAAAGTACGTTCCAAAAGTAAATATGCACAACCAAAGTGAAGTGTCGATATAAATTAAACTTTATAAAATTTGTCGAAATTTGGTGCGATACGTAAGTAATTATATTAAATTGTCCACCAAGTGTGTGCCATTTTTGTCTTCGTAACGTCGTAATGCCTGTGAAGTTCTGCATTTTGTGACGTTTAAATTTTTCTTATTCCGTTTTTAAATTTCAGATCATGGGAGTCGATAAAGTTGACAAACACGAAACGTTTCCGACACCTTCTGGTATTCGAGTTTAATCGAGGTCGCACAGCGTCCCGAGTTGCTGGAAACGTATGCGCCATTTATGGAGGAGATTCCATTGCGGATGAAACGGCTCGAAAATGGCATGCATGTTTCCAGAAAGGCAATTTTGGCGTCTCCGAGGAAGTCGAAAAAAAAAGAAACTCATTGTCTCCTAATACCGTCGCAAAACCGCCATCCTTTTTTAGAGATGGGATATAGACAGTTGGCTGAGAATAAAAATCTAATTTGATTATTTATAAATACACGTTAATAATCACGAGCATTTTTAAAAATCCTGTACGCCCGTATAATGGTACCGCGAAAATGAGGTAGTAAAAGTCTCATCGCGTGACAAGATTGGTAACGCGTGCCGATCGTTTACGCTCGGTTTAAAACTGTGCCGTAGGCTCGAAAAGGTTAAGAACTGCTGGAACGGCGACAACCGACGCGACGGATCGTATCGAACGCAACGGCGCTTCTGCGCGGATCCAATTACGCTCGCGGAGCGATTAATAGCGCGGCTTCGGTCTCGGAATAACGACACGTCGCTTTCGGTTCGAAGCTTTCGAACTTACGGCCGAAGCACGGCCATTAAAACGTTCCTGGGAGTAATTCGCCAGATACAGTCGCGCGAGACGAGACATGTTTCGGTGACCATTAACCGAGAATCACGTATGAAGGGCCAACGAGGACGACCGCCGCGCCGGAGACGGGGCTGAAACTTTTGCAATGATCGACCGACTCCGCTCCCGGAGAGGAGAGCCGTGCTCCTACACGCACGCGCTCGTTTCGCCGGTAATTATCGCATAAACGAGGGCAACCATTAAGCCCCGACGTCGTAATTATCCGTGTCTCGTATTACAACAGAAATAAACGTTCCTCTCCTCGCGTTTCTTTTTTAATAGAGCCATTCGGACCTAGATCGTTTACCTGAATCTAACCGTAGGCCCTACAGCGTTTCGTAACAATACTATACAGCGCCAATTTCAACGAGGATGTACCGAAAGCGAACTACAGTGAAAACTCGATAAATGTCCTCAAGAGCTGTTCCATAAATGATACATTTTTATCCCCACCACTAGGGGGATCCCCCTTGAACCAGTGAGGCGAAGTGTAACCGGAGACGTAGCGGCTTTCTTTAAAAATCTTTATTGCCTTCGTCATCTTAGTTTAAATGTCCCTGTCAGTGTGACCACACTACTGTACAAGAAGAAAGTTTTTTATTTTTTACTTTTTTTTAATAAAAATTTTACTATCATGTGGGGAAGATTTTTCTAATTAAAATGAGACTAAACACGATATAAATCGGCCAATATTTGTTACCATAATATTGAATTAAATATTGTGTACTCGTATCTTCGCAAGGTCAGTGGATTGGTACATTTATCGAACAGTGGTAGCTAACGAAACTCCCTATTTCATAAGTGTTGCAGTTTTTGATCACTTACGAAACGGTGGAACTGTTCCGTTTGAAAATAGCTACCTCCCGTTCGATAAATGTAGCCAGCACCTCGATGCGTCGTTCTTTGATATTTCCGAACATAGAAAAGGACAGCACAAGAAGGATAAATAAAGAGAGAAAGACTCGCAAGTACAATATTTAATTCAATATTATGCTACCAAATATTGACCGATTTATATCGTGTTTAGCCTCATTTTAATCAGAGAAATCTCCCCAACATGATAGTGAAATTTTTATTAACAAAAAGTAAAAAATAAAAAACTTTCTTCTGTGCAGTAGTGTGGTCACACTGACGCGGATATTTAAACTGGGGCAATAAATCCGAGTTTCAGTCCCTCTTTCTTCTCTAGCTACTGACTCTTTCTACGTTCGAAACGTCGGCAAACTACAATCAAATTCGAAAGACGATTCTCCTATTCCGTAAGTGTTGCTGACCGGACCCGGAGTAGCGACATTTATCGAGTTTTCACTGTACTATTGTGAGCCGAGATCTCGAGACACTACCACCACGCTAAAAGACGCGAGGGGCGAGGGAAGTCGGCTACCCGTGCCACCTAATCCCTTCTACATTTCAGGTTCTTGGTTGTTATTGGCTAAGTCGATCGCGTCTTCTGTCGATCGTGTAATGAGGAACGCGAACGAAAGAAAATGCGACAGAACAACATGTAGCAACAGCGAATGACACTGGCAGGTATAACCACAAAATATTAACTGTTGATTGTATTACAAACGGTTTTAATTTTAATAATGTAATAAGATTCTATAGCTATAGTTTTCTGTTCTCTTTACACTTCGAAATTATGTCCAGATGTATGGAAATCCTACTGCTACGCAGTTCGAAGGCCAAGAAGCTAACAAGTGGAGAAAATGGGCGGGGAACGGGTAGCCGATTCCCCTTGCTCCTCACCGTTGTTTAGTTTGAAGGTAGTGTCTCACGTATCAGCCCCCAACGGTTGAAAGAGATCAAATCGAAGATTAGTGCTACGATTCGCGCTATTGTTAGCCAACATTTTTTCGTAAATGGTTATTTAACCTCTTAACGTACGATTTAATTACAAGTAATTTGTCTAAACTATACTATTTAATTTTATTTAAATTTGTTGCCAACAAAGTATGAACAATCGAATGAACTTGACGAATCTTGTCGCGAAATCTTTAAGTTTCAAGCTACGCCTCCGACGATCACCCTCGCGGCGACGTTTTCGGGCTCGGGCCTTAATTACTTCGTTAATTAACGAACTGATCTCCTCGACTCGAAACGACGATCGTGGGCCACTGACTGGCTAAACGTTCTCACTATTAGAAAAATTATGCGCGATCTCTTGCGCGCGAATTACAGAACGTTGCTTCTCTGTAGCAATACGCCTCGTGGGATCGAGCGTTTCGACCCTTTCGCAGCTTATTAGTCAAATAACTAGATATGAATTAATATTTTTTCCAGCGTTTCCAGAGCACCAATACTGTTACCCCAGGCGTATTCATGTTTTTTTGTTTTAAGTCAATCGTTTTTATAATTTTGCAAAAAAAGCAATATTTATTTATTGGAATTGTTACTCACTCGTTTGATTCTGGAAGTATGGATCGTCCCGGTCAGTGAAGAACCACGTCTGAAATCAAAAACAAAATACTAATAATTTGATGCATATTTTCTTCCAAATTTTATAATTTAAAAATTGTAATATTACTTTTTTCAAGAATACCAAATAATGTCGGGATCGGACCATCGAGTTTGTTTATTATAAATAAATTTATAAATAAATAAACAGCTTTTTCGGTGTCGGTTGCGAGCTACAAATCGATGGACCATAAACACGAGAGTCTAATAATCAAAGTGTCGGTCACGTACGTGTGCCATTGTTTACCGCGAACGATTTTAGGAACGACACACGCCACGTACCGATCATAAATTTCGATTTCTTCCCAACGCTCGGAGCGGATCGCTCCATCTACGTCCGCCGGAGCAGATAAATCTCCGCACGGCGTGCCTTTTTTGGCTCGCACAAGTTTCACCTTCGTTCGCCGTTCAGAAAATCAAGTTATACTTTTCTACTTATTCGGTCGCTAATTTTCCGTCTAATCGTCTCAATTTATCTCGAACGCGATACTTGGGAATGCTGATCACCACGCTTTTCATCTTTAGAAACGTCCACGATATTTTCTCAAATTTTAGTGTGGGAGTCCTTCTGGTGGCGAATACGGGAAGCGATAGATCTCACTAAAATTGAAATTAACGTTATTGTAAATTACTAATGTGGGGTCCCTCTGGCGGCGAATACGGGAAGCGATGGACCCCACCCGCCAGAGGGACCCCACATTAGTCATTTACAATAAAAGTTAATTTCACTCGCGAAAGGATTAATTTGCAAACGTAACACCTACAATTGCAGAAGTAGGTACACTTTTGAGAAAGCATGAAATACCTTCGTGTTACGCGTTCTCTTTGGTGGCACAGGTTAGTACTCTCGTCCGGACGAGTGTACGCTAGGCATCGTTACGGTCGGTGCAGTGCACGTGTTAAAGCAATCGCCTATTTTTAGTTCCCAAGTTCCCTTCAGGAAGCGAACGGCTGCAAGAAGTGCGGAAAGAGGGGAAACGGTGGCACACCAGACGTCGGAAGCATTGTCTCGAGGATTTTCACGCGACGGGATGTGCTTTCGATGCTCTCCTCGAAACACTGGGACCACTTGCATCAAGGGATGAGCACACACGGTATTCTTAGGAATACAACACAGGAATAAAAATTCTATCGTTAAAAACCCGAAAATTCTAAACATACAATTCTCTTTGTAAAAAGGTTATCAATACATTAGAGCAAAATCCTAAAATGACAAAGCTGTTTTTTTCATCTTATAAAATTACTCATAAATGAGTAATTTGTAAGCGTATAAAAATTATGACCGGATCAACAACTAGCACGTTGGAGCATCGACGAGACGAGTAAATATTGATTGAAATTTTCCGCTAACTTGAATGCAACGCGAAAAGAAATATCGCTTTCGGTAAAAATACATTTTGCAATTTGTCTGAAATCCGAGCAACCGTCCACGGTAGCGCGAGCTACTGCAGTCACCGGCTCGATTTCACCTAACCGTCAACTACTGTCGCGACGAGACGGATGTCCGGTGCAGAGGCAATTAAATAGGACGACGGAGGAAAAAGGAATCAAAGTAGAAACGCGAAGAAGAAAAAAAGAGGTGAGACGAACGAGCCCCCGTCAGCGTTCTCGGAACGAACACGAATATCCGGCAAACAAGAGACATTGCTCGCGAACAACGAAGAGGGACGAGGAACGTGGAACGCGATGACGTCAGTAGCACCGGCGTCGCGTTACATCGGCATAATTACATTAATCCACGCACGTACGACGCGGCTAAAAGAAGCATCGTTGTTAAGCCGATCTTTGGGGGAGCCTCTTTGCCTAGAATCGTTGAAGAGTTTCGGGTCCGGGTGTCGTGTTTCCACTTCTGCGGCTGGTGGCGAGAAGCGACGCGAATTAAGTCGCTCGCGTGTTACGTTAAATTAGATGAAACCGAGATGATTCGACTGGAAAAGGTTACAGTCTGCTGTCGTCGCGTGACGCGAACAGTCCGTTGCAAAATTCTGTCTCGTTAAACATTCCGTACGCCTGCCTTATTTTGTTACTCCAGAGAAGAGTATAATTTCGCGAAACGTAACGGTAATACGCCACGAAACTCGAAGACGTAATCGGTCCACGATACGGTGCAGGCTTTGCGCGCAATTTTAATGCGCACGTATGAACAGCGAACATTTATTTCCGATGTTATCTTGCTTGCGTGCTACACAGAGCCTCGAGCACCAAATAAATGAAAATTCACAACTTTGTACACCCCACACCTGATCTGTCAAATTACTTTGCAGGTACTTTCAATTTTCCTTTAACGTTCGGAACAGGAATCCAATCAATTTCGAGGCCGGTTCTCGTCGACAACTACTGATCACGAAGTAAAAAAAAAAAAAAAGAAAAAAAAAACAACCGAGAAGTAAGTCGTGAGACAGCGTATACTTTCGTCGCGTAAAATTACACCGACGCGACCGACGAGTGCTTTCGGATAAATAAACGACGTAATTGAGCAATTATCCGCGATCGGTTCGGTGGCAGAACGGCCTTTGTAAATTGAAGGGTTGCGATACCGGAGCGAGTCACTGAAACTAATGACAACCGTTCCGTAGCGGCCATCGATCGGCCGTTCGGTGAGGCTTTTTCTTGCAACAAATCGTTCGAGATCCACCGACAGTCGCGAGAAGCCAATCGACGAGGATGACTGTTCGATCGCGGTGCAACGTTTCGACGCGGCGGCGAATGTCAAATTTGTCGAAACCGAAAGCTCCCGGAACAAAACTTCCTCCACAGCCACAAAAGAAGTCGATTTACATTTTGAACGAGCCCCCGTCGTCGTGGAAACAATTCGACCCTCTTGCCTACCTGACCTCCTCTATTCACGTCCCAGCGGTAAATCATCTTCCGCAAATTGGATCGTGTGCTTGTAACACCGCGAAACGACCAACGCGGCAAACGCCAATATTTCCCGCTAGGCGTCTCTGGACACAAAAGCTATCCGAAGATTTACGACATCGGAAATACGAAAGAATAAAAAAATTAACACCTCCGTCTAGTTTAATTTTTGCGAGACAAAGGGTACGAAAGGGTTACAAACGTGGATGATCCCCCTATCCTGAATCACTGTGCGCTTAATCACCGTCTGTTCCGCAAATTATACGCGATTAAAGCGTCGAAATCGACCGAAGACTTTGGTATTATTGCAACGCGATTCGACGATCAGGTAAGGGGGGGCCTTCGAGGAACGAAAATACCGATTCGCTTCGAGGATCCTCGTGTGGGTGGAAGAAATCAGTTTTAACGCGGAGGTCGTAGGGGTCGAAGGGTATGCCGTGAGATTTTCCCATGCGCAGCAAAACGAAACCATCGTCGTTCGTGGACTTGACGTTCGAAATCACCGAGAAAAAAATAGAATACGGTCTGTCTAACGAGAATCTGACGACCAGAAAGTTGACCCATTGACAGTTTTCTGGGAGGCCATTCGAGGAAGTGTCGAGGAGAGGATCCACAATGCGTGCAATTAGTCGCGGCGAGATAATATCGCGAAAGTTGTGCTTCCTAGCCCGGGTGTTCGACCAGAACTGAGCGACGTAACCTCACTTTTTTCCAGCGAAGGTGAAACCCAGGATCCAGATAAGCGTATAGATACGCAAACAGACGCGTATACAAACGTATGCTAAGAGTACGCGAAGAAGAGATAAAATTCGTACGTTCGTAGAATAATTCGTATTACAAACAAAGTACTGTTCGTTCCGAACGTAACGACAGCGAGGCGAATAGAGAACATGGGAAAAGGACAAGCAGAGTGAAGAAACGGTAAAAAGGAAATAGAGTGAATCCCGGTTCCCACGACAAGGATTCCTCATCAAGCTTCTCGCGATCTGAAACTGCGCGCGTGTGTGCTCGACCGAACGGTAACGAATCGCGCACAAGTTGCATCTATTCCCCAACTAAGTTCGTGGAATTAACTACGGAAGTCCTCTTATCGCTAATAACTTGTAGATAAAAAAAAAGTCGATTATTCTTTTAGATATGGTCGTAGATGTAGTCGTAAGCAATTGCTGGATTAACACGGATACACTATTAAATACCCAAAGAAAAATTTTAATGGGGGATTCTAGAGGCCAAAATAAGACGAAAATCAAGAATACCAATTTGTCGATGGAGGCTTCGTTAAAAAGTTATTAACAATTAAATACAAAAATTTCAAATCGTTCTGGAAAAATTACTTTCGGTTGCGAGGGTCAATTATAATCATTTTTGGTGAATAGGCATACCCCCGAAATCCTACCCACTTTCTAGAAAAAAATTCGAGGTGTGAAATTTTTCGACAGAAGAAAAAAATTTCAAATCGTTCTGGAAAAATTATTTTCGGTTGCGGGGGTCAATTATAATAATTTTTAGTGAATAATCATATCCCCGAAATCCTGCGAATTTTCGGAAAAAAATTCAGTACGGGGGGAACTTTAAACGTTAATAACTTTTTAACGAAGCCTCCATCAACAAATTGGTATTCTTGATTTTCGTCCTATTTTGGCCTCCAGAATCCCCACTAAAATTTTTCCCAGGGGTGGCCGAAACACCCTGTATAGCATGAAAGGATTCGTTGCGTACCTGATCCTTGGCGAATTGAAACCACGTGCTGATGATCACCGGTAGACGGGAATGATGATAATGCTTGGTGGTCTTCACGCTGATGAACACGTCGTCGAGATTCGTCGAAGATGGTGCCATGGTCGCCGTGGCGATCGCAGGTGTCACCGACGACTCCTCGCTGATCAGCTTCCGCGAAGCCGGCATTTCTACCAGCATGCTTCTGCTATTTACCTCAACAGTTATCTCGTCGACCCACTGAAAAAAATGAAACGACCCATCAGCCACAAGGAACACACAAATTCTTAATACGTATCCTTATTACATATATGTACACTGGTCTTTTCCATTTTTGCACAATATTTTCCGTAATGGCCGACAATTACCTACAACGCGAAAAGGTAGCAAAACCCTAGCGACACTTGATGTACGCCTCGTAAATATGGCGTCCCCAGTAATTCGATCGTTGCTATTCGGTGACGAAACGATTTCTCGGGAAAGAACCGAGCACGTGCACGAACGGTGAATGTTTACTCAGGTTCTGTGCTCGAAGAATGAAAACAAACTCGACCAGGGAGACTGGACCGCTCTCGATTTTTCGTTCGATTAACATAACTGGCTATCGCCGGTGAACATTTCCAGAGAAATTAATTCGCGCGTTTCTCCGGAGTGACAAGCACGGTCCCGCTTTACCACCAAGGTCAATTAGGCGACGTTTACTACGCGATTCAATTCGTGACACGAGATTCAAAAATCAGAATAGAGACAACCGACGTAAACTCTGAAAACTTTCAATATCTGACTGGATATGCTGGTTAGAAGCACACTTTGCTTTCAATTCTTATTGAATTTGTGAAAATATTGACACATTTTATACGGGACACGTACTAATACGTCTTTCGTATTTCAAGGATCAAGAGCTTAATTTCTACCAAAGCGTATATACCTGTTGCATAGATCCGAACCGTAATTAAAACAGAACCGACATAGCCATAACAGTTACATCTTTTCGTTTCTCATAACTATTTCAAGAACCGAATATTATAATTGATTTCAATCCTTGGTATTAACCCTATGTCTATAGAGTTAAGAGGATCTTCTACTGTAAAATGCACTTTTTAAGTTTTCTTTGGTATTTTTTTATACAGAATACATATATATTTATTACTCTTTCAGTAATATTCACAAATTTTTACAACGAGAAATAGTCAAAATTAGTGACAGTACAGAACCTCGTACGCAATCGCGTACCGAAAAAGTGTTCTAGTGGCTTCCGTAATTCCAGCCGTTCTGTTTGTTCAAGTCAAGAAAAGGAAAAAGATTCTTAATTATAAGAAAATGGAAAAAAAAATCGAATTTTTTGACGGTTTACAGTAGAAGATCCCCTTAATGCTGTGAAAATTACGAATGCTCACCTGACGCGGTACAACGGCCTGATAGAGAAGAATCGTGGCATAAGCAGTGGCAAGAACAAGTGCCAGCGTCTGAAGGCTTCGTCTAGTCGGCAGGCCACGGGGCATTTTGGCGCCACCCGCGCCAACCACCAATGAACGACCCTGCGGCCCACCGCCGCCAAATTTCACGGATCGTCCTTCCTCTTCGAGGCCTTCGCGCTTTTCTCGCGCACAAACCATCAACACTGACCGCTCTTCATCGTTCCCCTCCTTTTGCCGCGCAAAAAATAATCCAGTCATAACACAAACTACCGGTTATCGCTGTCCCTTTTCACTCTCGTTGCACCTTCGACGAAGCATCGATTATCGAAACAATTGAAAGGCAAATTTTACTCTCTGTGTCCGTGGTCTCACTCGTTTGGCAATGATACACGATTACCAACGAGAATCGTTCATCGCGTGTCCGTTGTCGTCGTTTCGTAAACAATCAATCGCTACGGTTATGCACAAAACTCTTACGAACGATTTATCGTACCGAGTTGTTAACGACACTGGCAATGTCATCGTTCCGGTGCTCGCCGATTGTTTCAACCTCTCGAGAATCGATCGAGATTTCGAAACTCGAGACGTCGTCGGTCCGTGAAACTCCGTTTGGGTGGAAACGTTCTCCGCGATCGGGAAAATTCCCGCCACGATATCGTCGCAAATAACCGACTTCGATCCGATCGAATCCCTCGGATGTTGTGTATCAACTGTCGCTGGTGTTGTGGAAAAAGATGATTACAGGTGCAAAATGTTGAACAGCCTGTTAGGTGGTTCAGTGTCTGATGCGACAGTCGAGTGGTTGTGTCACATAACGGACGTGTTCGTAGAACGAAAGCGCACGATAAACTATGAAACGAACGCACGCACGAAAACGTACTGTTACCCGGCGCGCGACGAGCCACCGACTGAACACATGGCCAGTCGCCGTGACTACGTTGTAAACATCGCCATAGCAGCCACTTCGCTGGCTGGTGGAAGGAGAACGGTCCGCGAGTGGTACGATGCCGAGACCGAATGGGGAGGGACGATGCTTCTTAAATAGAGCACCGCCCTCTCCTATATCGGTAACCATTAAAATTTTACTAACTTTTATAAAAAAAAACTATCGAACCCTATCATTTATTTTACACTGCATGAAACTTCCATCATTGTCTCGTAATTACTCCGAAAGCTAAACGTTTTCTTCAACCCTAGAATACAGAGTTTGACTAATTTTATTCACAAATAACGAATAAATATTTTAGATTCGTTTGCATTGACTTTTGCCCGTGACTTATTTTAATTTACAAATGAAACATAAACGGAAATTAAGTTACGAATTAATCTAAAATTTTTATTCGTTATTCGTGAATAAAATTTGTCTAATCATCCTGGAATACTATTATTTTCACATTTGTACAGACTCTGTGTATAGCTTGATTGTCAATCGATTTTTAAGTAAATAACTGTTTGTGTTATTCAGTATTTAATTCACGATTTCATATTAATAAAATAACTTTTTCAATCATTCAATCTACTTTCAGTTACTTTCATCGTTGGGTACATAATTCCTCTGTATAATAATAACACGTTTCGACATTTTTCAAATTATAGCATTATTGCTATTTTCTAGTATTTCTAACCTTAACAAATTTACAAGTATTAACCCCTTAACATTCGCACCTTTTGGTCCTAACTCACCAAAAGTGATGAGTTGTTTTTATTGGATTTGTCTCTAGCCTACGTAATAATGTTCCTTTATTTGTTAATTAAAAATGTTGTATGTTGCATTTTTTACGTAGAATCCGAAGAAAAACAATTATTTTCAGTCCTTAAACGGTCAGATTAGACAAAGATCGTTCCAAAAAGCATATCTATCAGGCATGGGCGTAAAGGGGTTATGATTCATTTATTGTAAGCGTTTTAAAGGTTCGTTGTAGATTTAAAACACTGTCAATGTGTTAACAAGATTATATACAGATGCAATATTACACCTGTTAAATGAAGTTCAAAGAAGATCTTTTTCCTAAATTTTTTCTTTGATGCAAATATTAATACGGGTTCGTTATCTTTTCTTCATTAGTTACATATTTGTAGACGGAGGTAGTCAAATTTTTCGTTATTTGGAAATAAAATTTGCCCTAAATGATATAAGGAGAATATTCCTAAGAATTGGAATGCATAGTTTTACGTTGCGTAGTAAGATTACGAAAAGTTATTAGAATCTATTTGTGATTGATCTATTCTATAGTTACGAAAGATATGCGATTGTAGTCTTCTCAATAAATTCGTTCAGACCTCATCGCGTCTTTGACTGAAAGTAAATCATATTTGGATTAATATTGCATATCGAAGGTAGGGATAATTGTATCGACGCTCCATATATTTTTGTATTACAATATTTAATTATTAAGATCATTATATTTACATTTGTACACGATTGAATGCACTTCACTGTATAGGAAAAAATTAGAACGGTCAATCCATAAGTACTTTATGCGCGTACATTCGAGCTATAATATCTCATGAATCGGCAAAATCATAGATTTCAACTTTCAAACACAATTTTCTTTCTTTTTCGTTCAATAATTGTCTTTCTCTTGATCGAATTCGTCACAATCCCGCTCTCCACGTCACAGTATCGCATTAAATGAATGATTTTCAATAATGATGGAAAATATGTTTCTACCTCGATGATGTGTTAAAGTTTTTTAAATAAATACGTTCGACATTATCGTCACGATAGCTGCCACTTTGCACTTTTCAATACCCACTTGTATGTGCGTTCATCGCACCTCATTCACGTCGCCCTTCTACGAAGGAGTACTATGCTATTGTACAATTTAATTGCAGGACCAAGACGAAGTCCCAGCAACGATACTAAATCCTCTTGAGTCAACATCAGAAATGCTTCGCCATCGATACTCTGTAACGTAAAGTTTCCGTATTAAGCACACACCCGGACTCCTCCAAATATTTGCTTTGCAAAACCTTTTGTATTACGTACATGTTTCCTAAACATATTTCCAATTTCTTTACAGTTGGGAACACTTTGTATAAATTTGATCACTTCCTCGTTTGACCATCGTCGAGGATTAGTATTTTGCCTTGCTACTACCCTGTTCAAAGCATTGCTATGCTTCGCCCATATATGCGGTGCATCGGGTAGTGGATTGTACCCGGGAGTATACACAGACTGATATAGTTCCGTACGTAATTGTTTATCCGGCATATTTGCAGCGTACGGTATAGAAGTTAATGCTGTATCGCCGTACGAGTTCGAAAGGGGAAACAAAGCATCTTCCGAAATCTGTCGTCTATTTAAATACGGAGGTGATTACAACCCGTAGAAAGAAACGTGCAAACGCGACAATAAAAATTACAAACCTTTTCTTTCGTTTCCTCAAGAGTTCGTCGTCGTCCGTTTGCCCATCGCTGAGATGATGTTTTGACTTACTCGACCTATAAACCGTAGATCGTTGTATACAGGCGATAATATATAAACGCGATAAAAGAAATGTTTGAATAACTCACTTCTCTGAATTTTCAGACTTGTCATTTTTATCGGAAAACTCGCCGTCTTCTAGCTTAAAATCTTTTTCAGTCTTCAATAACCGTTCTTCCATGAACAACGGTTTCTCGGATTTTTCAGGTTTCTCAGATTTCTCCATTTTTATTTTATCAGTCTTTTCTGTTTTCGGCTTGTCCTGTACATCATCTTCGAAATCGCAAGTTTCGTGCTTCAGATTGAGCCTGTCGGATAGTTGCCTAACTTTATGAAGATTTTGTGGCGAGTACGGACAACCGGACGCAGAGTTGTGCGTTGCGAATTTAGGACCTTTCACGTGGCCGGTTCCTGTACAACCATACGTTCCGCACTCCGGTCTATCGTTCAAATTTTCGGGTGCTATGTAAATGTTACATATACGATTATGAAACACAGAAACGAAGCATTCAAGAAAACGATATCAGAAAGTATTAGTAAATCTTACTTAATGGCCGTTCCAAAGGGTGACCCGTTTTCAAACACCAGCCCATGGGATGTATGTCTGGGGAATCATCGTCCACCCAGTAAGCATGATTCTCTGGCCATCCATCGAATCTTATTTTTAACCTGTAACGCGAACCTTTGAGTAATTTCTGTCCATCTAAGCACTTCGGTAGACGTAAATATTCATAGTTTACGAACATATGATCTTTTACGTCTTCGACCGTTGCTACTCTTATGAGCTGAGGCACTCGTTTATCAACAGCCTCTAATTTCATTCCACGTTTGAATCCGCAAGGTGGTCGTTGTTTGAAAGCTCTGGCTGGTGCAACCATGGAACGAGTTTCTCTTAGATACGCGTCCCATGTAAAGGATTTCGGATCTTTGTAATCTAAAACGAATATTTATATACCGATTTCTTTTTATTTTAAAAAATAAATGCTACATTCGAATAGATACACCTGGAAGAACTTTTACTTACTGTTCGGTGGTGTGAGACTATGACCATTGTGATGACACCAACCCACCGGATGAATGTACGGCGAACTTGCATCTGCCCAATAATCGTAAACTTCATCCCATGAATCGAAATGAACCAATATGCGGGAATCCATTAGGCCTGCTATACTAGCTACGCAAACTAACGAAGAATGTTTCCTATCTACTGCTTCCAATTTCATTCCTACCCGGAAACCAGTTGGAAATACCGACTGAAAGTACCCAACATACTTATTAATATTATGAAATTTCAAAATAAATAATAGCTCGATTGAAAGTTGCGTCGCTTACACTCTTATTTGAAAATATATTTTTCGGTGCTGCGGTAGCTTTGCAAATTTTAAGATAAGCGTTCCAATTAAAATTATTGGCTACGTAACCCTTCGGCGGATCTAATCGATGTCCATTCTTCTCTGACCAGCCAACGGGAAATATATCCATACTGTCTGCATTTACCCAGAAATCGTAGTTTTCCGGGTATCCGTCGAAATGCAAACGTATTCGATAACCTATTTGTGGACGAATACGCTAAATGTGTCGCATAAACGAGAAGGAACGCGGTGCAAAAAATGTTAAACGACTTACCTACTACTTCAACGACCGTGAGAACACAATAACGCGACGGATGTTCTGGATCTATCCCTTCCAATTTCATTCCAACTTTGAAATGATTTTTACTATACGGGAAAGCGTCTTTGAATAATTTAACGGGTGCAGCCTTCGCCTTACAATGTTCGAGATACTTTGCCCACGAAAATCCGAGTTTTCCTGTCTGCCAAGGATACTACATACAGAGACACACTTATAAGCAGTACGTTACAATACATTTGGAAACGAAGTTCGGTTACACGTACCTTCGACTCATTGTAATCTCCTTGACTTTCATCGTCCATTCCTGTAATAGTGTCTTTAGTGTCCTCGTCTGTTTCAGATTTTATTTTATCTTGCCCTTTTTCCTCTAAAGATTTATCTTCTAATTCTTTAGATTGTTGTTGCTCTTGCAGTAGTCTTTTACGTTTTCGTTTCGCGCGTATGTCTCTATAAAAACGAACACGTAAACAAACATTATGAATGTTTGATTAGCCTATAAATTTTTTGAAAAATATGTATTAAATCTTACTTTAGATCTTTGTCCTTCCGCATCGAAGGCTGTTTCTTAGATTCTATTATTTCTGTGCACGTTGGACTACATGATATTGGACTTTCGAACTCTGCAGCTAACCCATAACATCCGCAGCCTTCACAATGATACATTGTATCCGCCGATACAGTCCTGGATTTTCTATCATCGGCTATAAAATCAAATGTTTGATAAAATCTTAATACAATTCTGTTAGGAGAGTAGTCCCGATTTATGTTAGTCTACTTACTATACTTACGTTTCTTTTCAGAATTCACATTATTAACAGTTAAAGGACTGGACTTTGAAGAGTTTTGAGTTAAACAAACGTTTTCTTTGTCGCCAATACCATCTTTCCCTTGTTTGTTACTTTCATCCTCTTCTACCACTTCCATAATACCAAACTCATTCATGCAGAACTATAAAATACACTCGTCACTTAAAAATACTAAATTGGCTATAACTTAATTCTTTACAGATACTAAAGATATACCTTCAATGTACTTCCAGGAAGAGTACCAACACCATCCTTCCAATCTAGCACCTTTGTAGCATCGAAACTGGAATCGTTCGGATGGTTAGTATTCAAATGGTCTTTTAGATCTTCGTAATTACTAACTTTAGTATCATTTTTATTATCCAATACTGGCTCGATACCACAACTCGTGCGTGTTTTGATAATTTCAATTTTTATGTCATCGTCCATAGCAGCATTAAGCTTCATAGTTTTGTCCTCGCTAGGAACTACTTTGATCAGAGTAATGTCATCGTCGTTTTGAACTTTTTTGTCCTTATCTTGTTCGGATTCGGGACTGCTCAACGCATAGGTTACATCGATCATGCTGTCCTGCGGAGACTTCGCAAGATTTTGTTTCTTCAATCTCTTCTCATTAGAGCCCCTTAATATATTACTTATTGTTTTTTTCCGTTTCTCAGGCATACCAATGTCATCCTTCTTTGGAATAGGAGTAATAACAGCGGAATCTGGATTTTCTGTAATTTTTATGCTGTCCGTGGAATTATTGTTTCCTTTATTTGCATTTAGCAAACTCATTTTTGCAATGGGATGTAGAGGCGGAGGATGCGTGGCAGAATTTGTTGTTTTCGATTCCCGTAAAACTATAATACAAAAGCAAGACAAATGAACATTTTTTGCTGAAAATTAAACGGGTTAAGAATAGGGGTGCGCGAGAACCCGAAATATCGGGTCGGGTAGGGAACACGATATTTTTTCGGGATCGAGACGGATACCCGAAAAGTTTCGAGAATCTCGAATTTTCGGGATTCCCGATAATTCCGAGAACCTGATGAACAGCGTACACAATGCTCAAGTACTAAGCACGCAGTCATACGTTTGTTTACATCAGGTCACATGATTCTTAGTATCCGTGTCTCCAATAACTTCACGAAAACTGGCAGAAGAAATTGAAAGAATGTTGTTTATCGCGAATTCTTTTCAAGAGTCTCAAAAATTTTCGGGAAACCCGACTCCTTCGGGAATCTCGAACTTTTCGGGAAACCCGATTCTTCCGGGAGCTAGACCCAACCCGACTCGACCTCATCCCGATTTGTCCCGACCATCGGGTTCCCGATGTTTTCGGGTTCTCGCACACTCCTGGTTACGAAGAAACGTCTGCAACTACATACCTGTAATGGTTCCTTTACTTTCTGTACTGATTTGGCCATTATTGATTTTTAAATTAAACATACTAGGCTTAGTCGGTCCACTTTGCTGAGGAATACTGACTGGTAATAACAAATTTGCCATATGTTTGGAAGGTTGACTTTGAGATCCTGAAGTAGTGCTTGTTGATGTTTGAGCTAATTGTGATATAACTGGTGCAATTACTAATTTTGGCTTAGTTATTTGACTTGTGGTCAAAGCACCTATTAAAAGATATTAACAAACAAATGAAAATTATCCTTACAAAATGGGTCTTTGCTATCTGCAATTTTATTATTAAAAAATTTTAGTTACCTGCTGGAATAACAACGGATTCGCGTGATTTGTTCGGTTTAATAAGAGTGCCAAGATACGCAAATGTATGTTTGCCTGCTTGTGCATTACTTTGATTTCCTTGAGAAGTACTTAAGGGCACGATCTGAGCAGTGGACGCGTTAGATTTTCTCAGTAATATGTGCTTCTGGCCTTGGGAAGTTGTTGTAGTACTGACTGTATTAATTGGCCGATGAATTACAATATGTTGTTTATTTTGAGTAGTGGTAACCTGACTTGGCCCTTGTATAAATACTTTATTTTGTCCAGTAACAATCTAGAATAAAAATGAAAGAAACATTTAATTAAGGATAAAGAACAAATCACATGTTAAAATAAAATTGATTCAATGATTTTTGACACTTTGACATAAATCAGATATATAACTTTGATAACAACTAGTTGTGTAATTTGACATAAACTTTTGCTTTTAAACACATTTATTCTTCTTCGAACAGCACATTTCAGCTATCACTATTCTAACATTATAAGACAACACTAAGTAGTTATGAACATAATATTTAATTATTGCTACAAATCTGTATTTACTATAAAAAGATGAAATACACACTGCTACCATCTACACACAGAGTATAATAAGGCTTCATACTATATACATGTACATTATATATCAATTCACATACAACACACTGAAACTTATCTACACTCTGTCAGTGCATACTTGAAGTACCTGAATTATTCTAGATCATTTTACACAATTATAGGTTACTCTGACCTATATATGTAACCATGCAGTTTATTATACCATATAGTACAAAGTACTAATTCACTTACATAAGACTCAAAATTATAGGTATTAATAATTCTATAGAAATTTTTGTTTAGTTGTATGGAATGTGTAACATAAAGAACAAAAATTACTGGTTAAAAAATATTTGAATAAAAATTTAAATAAATTACCTGGTTATTAACTGGATTGATAATGGCAGCAAGTTGAGTAGCATTCTGCGAAACTAAACTCTGATTTGTTGTAGTTGGCGGCGCAGAACGCAATTTACTTGGTTGAATATATAGTAAAGGCATGACGGGTGTAGAATCGTCCGATTGCTGAGCCTCTGTACTGCTATTCTCATCTAAATCATCAACCACTATTTCTTCTTCCATTCTATTGAAAAAAAAGGTAAAACACAATATATTTGTCTGATGTACATACAATATTTCCTTATGCAGTTTTGAATTTTTTTTGTTAATTACAAGAAAACATCTCGAGAACATAAATCATATTTTTACAGATTCTTTGTTTGTTTATTCTTTATTTATAATTGCATTAAAATGCAAATAAAAATATATAATTGCAGTACTTAAATAGTGAGCATACGTTAAGGTAATAAATGAATACAAATGTGGACTTAAATTTTATCCATATTTGGAAAACTGATCTTGAAGGATCATTATAAAAAAAACAAAATTATGGAAACACGGTTAGTAATAATGTTAAAAAATGAAATCGTACGTCAGAAGTTGTTTATACGGTGAATTATAAACGATAAACACGTTATAGAAAGTATGTTAGAATTTTTACAAACCTAACAATGTATAATGTCTTCTTTCACCAAATAGGATTATTACTAGTTACATAATTTGTGTCTAATTGCAATCGTAAATAATGCAAACATGGATAATGTATTTGGAGAACAAGCGTCAAACAAATTCACATGCTTTAATAACTAACGTCGTCATGTCCACCGATAGCCATAACTGGGCGTTAAGAGAATCACTAACTCGATTTGAAATACGCGCCGAACTATTATTGCTGAGTAGAGTTACGTTAATATTTTTCACGCTTTCAAATAAGTAAGCAGACCGAAGAGAATTTATTTCTCGCATTCTACGCGAAACCAGAGAACAGTAGAACAAGTCTTTTCAACAGTTACAATGCTGATATCTTCGTTCAAATACTTTTATAAAATCCATCCCCGTCGCGCATCACGAATCACTCGATGAACACAACGCGCACGCACACTTTTCACTGGAATAAGAGACACGCATTAAACCAATGAAAAATCGATCCCTTGAATGAGAATCGTTACCACGACACGAACAATTATTACACAGTAAACGTGGAACAAACCGAATGGCAATTCCACGGGTTTTTAAACGATTATTTTAGCATATCTTTTAAGCGTTCGAACCTTCATTCTCCGTTCGCTACAGCTAAGTCCTCATAGGCTCTAACTGTAGTAGCGACGGCGCAACAGGCCGCTTCCTATTGGTTAATCACTGCTCCACCGTAGAACAAATTCGCGATTTCGACCAATCGAAACATTCTCGGTGTACTGTTAACCGCATTCGACATACAGATTTTTCCTAAACACAAGTAATTTTGAAATCGTTTAAGGATCGTGGCCAGGTGATCGATAACCGTTCGCAACGAGCAGAAGTCCGTTCGATCCAAATTTGTTCGTCCATCCAGTATATTTACATTGTTATGTCTCTCGATCATTCTCCCGCGCAAATATTATGCAGAGGGGGGAAAAAAAAGACAATCAATTTTCTGCTGATCGATGCAGGTTGAACCAATATTTTTTTTAAAAAGACAAATCGTGATTATTCATCAATTGTTCACCACGTTGTCTCGTTGAATTTCGAAAGATCGAATAAGTTTCGTTAGGAGTGTGATAAATCAACTTAAAGTATGCACCGCACGTCATTTCCCGAACGACGTTTATCTCAGGTACAACTATTTACTAAATTATATTACTTCATTATTGCAGATACCCCTGGCTTTAACCAATGGCAGCCAGTATTTGCGTGACGTCGTATTGTTATCGTAGTTGGATTGGTTAAACGAGCAATACATACGATTGGGAAAAGGATTCTGCCTTTGAAACAGTAATTTTGACAAGCTTAGTGAATTTAGTAAATTTGACGATCAATATTTTCCACTGTACCGTGCATAAAAATATCTTGTATATTAATTCGGTAAAAATGCTAATTGTAGTCGTCATTTTGCGACCGAAATGAACGCTCAAGTTTCGATTTCGATATACTTCTGCGTTAACCTCCAAACTATAAAACTAATACTCGTAATGCTCGATGCATTATCGATTCGTATTAAGAAATTTTAGACTAGTACATATTATTATTATCACGCATGGATTTAATTTATTATTCGATAGATATACAAACCAGCGATAAACAATTGTTGCTACACAATTTATTGCAATTTTGAAGAATTAATAAAGTCAACATAAATTGATAGCAACGATAATAACACGACGTAATCACCGATTATGATTTTCTTTTAAATTAGAGATAAGGCGAAAAACAAATTTTGCCCGGACAAAAGAAACAATTTCTCAATTGTTATCGTTTTTCGCAACGTAAATATTACAAAGACTTTCGTTACTTCGCGAAGAAAAATGTTTGGAATTTATGTTTTCGTAAAGTACGCGATAGTTAACGTAATATATATCGAGGTTATTTAAAAGTTTTTAAAAACGATAATAAAACGCTAGGTAACTTGTTATTTTGACTTTAATGCTATAAATTGATCGTTACGAATACGTAGACGTAATCATTATCAAGACACCAGTCACCGATGTTTTTAAGTATTTCGTTACGAGTTGGAGGTAAATTAAAAAAGAATGTAAGCAAAAATCGTCGTAGAAATCGACACAACGTCTGTTCAAAAGTTTGTGCACGTTACGTTCATTCAGAAATACTTTGTAACTTTTTTTCAAGTACACTAGTATGAGAAGTTATGGGAAGCTTTATAGGTATACTTACTAGGATAAGTGAATGTTGGTCTAACGAATTATGAGCGGTAATTTTAAGGATATACTCTAACGAATAAGGATTGTAAAAAAAAAATTACCTTACCGATAAGAATCTGAACGTTTAGTGATATCACTGTTACATTTTACACGCAAACAACACATTGTATACATAAGAAATTGTATGATAATAAACTCACGTTTTAAAGTTGTCAGTCGCCATCATATGCGAAGAGACGGTATCATTCTAAATACGCATGCGTAGCGACCCATGTTGCTTCTGCTGTAAAGACTCATTCACATTCGTACTTATAGAACGGAACGAGATAAAAATGTTCAACCACTTCAGAAATATATATTTGATGGTATATAATAAAAATTTTTATTTCTCAGCATTATCGCCGCCGACATAGAAATGAAAAATTAAACGTATTCCGCAACATACAACTTTTACATACGAAATATGATTCATATATAATTTATATTCACAGATATAAACTTCTAAATGGTTGCATTCCTTCCCTCGTATTAGTACATACACGAGATGTGGTAACGATCAGAAAATTACTTTTTTGGGAATTTGATAAAGTAACATTATATACTTTTCCTTTCGAATGTGTATGTACGAAAACAATTTACATTTTCAGTTATATAAAATAACAATTAAATATTACGTTGGACAGCAGTATCGATCGAAATAAAAGAGAGAGTCAGTATATAAAAAATTAAATGGTGTTGACGAATACATTGGAAAACGCATTTCGTAGTTGGCTTCCGTAGCGACAGCGTCGTCGTATTTTTAATAGTACAGTATAGTAATAATCATATGGTATGTATTATGTTAGTTTGATAAATTTAATTCGTCGCGATGTTCTCTGCTGTACGAATATCGTATTAGAAAGGAAAGACGGATGTGGCGATTATAAAGGCAAAATTAAATCGAACTTTCAAAATCGTCCGAACGTATGTGCATAATTTGTATATGTATATATTTACATTTGCATTCAAAGTATATGTCGACGAATATGTAACGCTTGCGCTCGATGTTGTACGCTTCAAAGAGGCCGATTAACACACATGCGCAATTGGTAGAAAAAGGTAAAAAAGATGTAAGGAAAGTAAAGCTTCAAAATCAAAAAAAATTGCACGAAAATAATAAAAAGGGAAGTAATCGTGATCACGAACGATCTTATTTCGCTTCGTAAAACTTGCCGGTGCATTGTTTAATTGCCACGAACAAAGTCAACGAAAACACACAATGGCGTAGAAACAGTGTCTCGCATTATTAGCTAATGGACTTGATGGACCTTATGCTTAACAAAACGGAAGACACTGCCAGAGTAAATGCGGCCTGTCACAGCAAAATGTTATATTACAATGTGTGATACTGAATGCTTGCCGTAATACGCTAATTCGAATATGACAATTTTTTTTGTTTTTGTTTTAACTTGAACCAACATTGACTCCACTATCTGTTGCCGCTGAATATACTGTTTTCATCTGGTAAGGGAAAATTTTGATGAGAATGCTGCAATAATTACGCGCGTTTAATCCTTCGTGTTTTTAACATTTTTATTCGATATCGCGAACTTTATGATTTCGTTTCGTTCGTTCGTTCGTTCATCGTGAGATATAATAGTGCTCGTCGTAGTTAAATATAATATTCTTTATTCGATTTGTACGTTCATCGCGTTTTAACATAATCCTAATACGGTTGCATTTTGATACGTGAAATTAACAACAATTTGTTATCAACGGATAAAGTATATCACGATAGATTATTATTTGTAATGTTCCCTGTGAACTCTGATAGTCACAATTAACGTATTATACTTTGACCTGGTAAGTTATTTTTGTTGTAGAGTTGTGATCATTGTATTGGTACAGCCTTATATTTTAAAAAGGATGGTAACTGAATTTGTTGGTATTGCAATAAATAATGAATATTATATAATTAGTAATAGATATAGTTTATATAATAGTATTAATACAGATGATAAAAGTTATTGTATTCGTTACAAACATCAAAATATAGTAGATATTTAGATTTTTACTTATTCACAAAAAAAATACTTGAAATATACGCAAGACAAATGTTTAACCATTGATAAAACTTTGTTACAGACAAACAAGTTTTCAAGAATGGGGTCAACCGAAAGTATCATAAAAAATAATAATGATTTAGTAGATAATTTAATGAAGTTTGGATATATAAGAACAAAAGAGGTGGAGCAAGTATTTAGAGCAGTCGATAGAGCAAATTATGTGATATCTCGGGACAGAAAAAATGCTTACAGGGTTCTTGCTTGGAAGTATGGCAAAATACATCTGTCAGCACCACATGTGTACAGTAAGGTGATGGAAGGTCTTTGTTTGAAGCCTGGGCTGAGCTTTTTAAATATTGGATCAGGAACCGGTTATCTCAGTACTATGGCAGGGCTCATATTGAGTAAGACTACTGCTGTTTTAATAAATTGGTATAGAATATTCGTGATATCCTTTACCTTCCTTAGACCAACATGGAACAAATCATGGCATTGAATTGTACGAAGATTGTTTAAAATATGCATACGAGCGGCTAGAAGAATTTAAGCAAAAGTCATTAGCTCTGGATGAATTTGACTTTTGTGAACCACTTTTTGTACAAGGTGATGCATAGCAAATTTAGTAATGAGTATATATGGCTCCTGTCAAGGCAGAAAAGAGTCATGTAACTATGTATTTAACAGGGAATTGTCTGAACGTTATACCAGATAGACAATACGATAGAGTGTATTGTGGTGCAGCATGTCCTGAATCACACATAGCGAACATTAAACAGTTTGTGCGTATTGGAGGTATCCTCGTGATACCTTTTGAAGATGACTTACTTTGTGTACATAGAATGAACGAGGATACTTGGTGGCAATCCACGATGATTCCCGTATCGTTCGAGACGTTGGTTGTTCCTACTGATTCTGAGCAGACTCCATTTTACTTACGTACGTGAACTTGCAACTATCCCGAACCGAAGGTATAGTATTCGCAATTTAGATTTACCTAATCAATGGATTTTCAACATTTTGCAGCTGAATGTCATCCGCTGTCTTTGCGGGAATTGTGTAGAGGTAACATAAGAAATCGGTTAAGAGAGAAAATTTGGAACGAGCACAGTTCTTGGTTGGAAACCAAGAAACTTATACTTTTAGGACAAGAAAGTGTGAAAAAAAACAACGTGAACGACAGTGATTCGGTGAATTCTGAAGAAGCTAACAATACGGAGAACAGTTCGAGTTCGATGGAAGAGGAATTGGATAGTATAGCTCAATCGCATAGCGGTAACAATGTTAACAAAAATATTACGACTGATTCACATTCAGACGAAAACGATAGCGAAACAACAGACGATGATGATACCTTTGCTTCACGGAAGCAGATGGCCAAACGAGAAGAAACAGTCGGTAAAGTATTGGTCAATGTAAATGTGAATAACGATGAGGACACAATGGAGACAGATCTGGGCAACATTGATATTGACACTAACAAAGCAGAGATCATCACTCATCACGTAAACAGCAAAGCCCTTTCTACTTATATGATGGAAAAGATACATCAGTTACCATTACCTTTTTCATTGAAGTTGTACATAAATTACAATCGACAGTTATAAGATAAGTAAATTACGTTATTCTTATTTAAATAAATATATGTATATATGTATATGTATAGGAGATAAGTCGTTACGATAATCAGCGAAACAACACGCGTTTTTCGAGGTCGGTTAGATCGCAGGCCGATCACCGAAAATAATAAACACGCGACAAGTGAACAACCTAGAAAAATAAGACAAGGCGCGAATGAGTGTGTGAAAGAAAGGAGTGTGCGAATAGAGTGCAAGTGACAAAATAAATACAAGTGTGATAGCTTGCGAAAAGGAATTATTGTACGAGACAGTGACCAAGAATTTTTGCGAGACAATTTCAAGAAGCGTAGCGAGTGTTCAGAGTGATAAGAGAAAGAGAGAGAAAGAGAGCGCGTTGCGGTTAAGAGGAACCGTCTACCGTGAAAGACTGTGTACATTGTTTAAAATTAATAAACGGCGTGTTCGTCAAATCTATGGTAATTATATAAAAAAGGCCCCCTTTTCTAAATAATTATCAAATCTATCTTCTATCGATCGACCTGCGAAATTCCTAAATATGTATACATTTTTATTATGCAATAATTTACACGACGTAACTGTTAATGTGATTTTATTTTTTTATCCTTGAAATCTGAAGGTCCTTGAACCAGTCCGTACCTCTCCTTCACGCCATATTCGAATTAGAATAATAATTATCTTCTCTTATCTCGTCGTTTGCCCGAACTACCGTTGAATTTTCTCTGCTGATTTAAGCAAGATGGAATAGTACGAGTTTGCTTTGTTAATTCATATACACCTACTTGAACTTGTTTCTATCAAACAATATACATATCTATACACGAACGAAAAGCATATGTACAGATATGAGTTTTGCATTGGGTGCACGCATCTGCTGCTGTTCGTTATTATCGCGAACGATTTCCAATTTTTATAAAAATCAATCTGATAAACATTCGTCGAAAAATATTTTAAGATGCAATAAGGTACGTACTGGGTCCGTATAAATGTTGTGATGGATTGTCGGCAGATGGCTGAATCAGTGCTTTTTTACGTAGTCTCCCCACCACTAGTAAGGATAGCTTCTACGATGAGCTATAGCGGTACGAATGATGGAAATGGAGTAAACGCGATAGGCAAGTGTGGCACTGGGCAATCAGTTGTGCAGTCCTGATTTAAATATATGTATATTAATTTCAAAAAATAATTTTACTTTGTCCCATAGAAATAAATAATTGCCCCACAGAAAGTTTCAGCAAAGCATTAGCGGTCGACAACGTGTTGATAGCTTAAGTAAGCATTTGTTACGAGGATATTTGTCTAAAATGACTTTTTTAGGCAAACGGCACACCGTGCGTCTGTAGACTCGGTTAACTACGTCCCTGGTGATCCCAATAGTCTAGTATCACGTGACCCCTACACGAATTCGAACCGCTCGTTTTGGCGGTGGGGTTGTCGACATCCCCGTGGAGCCACCACCATCTTCTTCCCGGTGATGAGAGCGTCTGTGTGAGAGCGAAGGGTGGCACTGAGGGTGCGCGCGGAGAGATCAGCCGTGCGGAAGAGACTAACGCCCAGCTGCTGAGCAGATCGCGGGTTTGTACGTTCGCGATAACGCTCCCCGAGTGCTAGATCCGATTTTTAATCGTCCCCAGATGACAGGGGACGAGATCGATCGTCGTTTCTCGTTCCGTCTTCTCGCGCGCTGATCGTCGCCTCGACTGGCTACGCTCGAACGAACCACTTCTCGCCCCGTACAGATCGTCCCACGTAGACCGCCAGCATCGATATAATACGTGATACCATGACTTTACACCCCTCCAAATCCACGGTTCCTCGATATATGTTTCATTCACGAGTGAGATCGTCCCCCCCGGGTGTTGTTTCTGTGCGGGAACGAAGTGTGACCGTCTAACGATACGAAACCTGTGCTCCGGACAGTGTTGAAGGGAACACCGACGCTCGTTTCGGATCGTTCTCGATGCAAGGGGTTATTTCAATCGCTCGATTAGGACGACCGATGGCTCGCTCGATCGACACTTTGACAACCGCCTCTTCTAACCAACGCTGAATCCTGACTACGTAAGATACGGTGCCTAGACGCCCGTAAATCTTCTTACGAATCGTATAAGTAATTAAAATTGAAGAAGGCTGAGAACAAACAAATATTTATTTATTTTACAAAGTATCCCACGCAACTGAGTAAAGCTATATCTCTGAAACGGTTGGGGTTGTAGCATAGAACGATGCAGAAAGTGAACGTAATTGTATTCGTTTGTAAGTGTACTATTACGCGTTAGAATGTTTGTAAACATGAGCCTATGTCTAATATCGATCAGTGTAAGATTAACTTTATCATTAATGACTTCACCATTAATGTGCACCATTTGCGAGTAGCGAGAGTGTAGATACGTTTATTTTGTTTATTAAATGTAATCAAAATGATCGCAGTCCTGAAAAAATGTTTAGACTGCAATGGAAGACCATTTGACTGTTTGTTGTGGTGCGAGTATCTCCGTAATATACCAAAGTAGTTTAGTAAACTTTCAAACGGTATAATTCTTGGACTACATATGTATTAGGTTTAGAAGTATCTTAATATTTTTTAGTTGCAGTAATGCAAACAAATGCATGAAATTAATATCAAAACATGCCTTATCGTAAACCGACAAAATGCAGTCGTTTCTGAATGACAAAAGAGTTGCGAACGGTCAAAGACCTCGAACGAACCTATTGTCCGTTAACAGTGTAACAATGCAATCGTCATTTTATTTCTCGTTCCTCTGTGTCTGTTTGCGGTCGTTGACAAAACTGAAATTTATGGACGGCTCTAAGTGGAACGGCATCGAACCGAACATTATTGTTTATTGGCAACGTTTCAGGACCGGGAACAGAGAACAAAGTTAACAGATGCGACGACTCGAAACGTCAAGCGTCTCTCGAGCTCTTTGCACCGCGTCATTAATAATTTATCAACGATAACGACGTTGATGATCCCGTAGGGCGTAGATGAACGAATTATTAAGAACCGAAATTCCAATAACGTTTGTGATACGTTTAACACAAGAAACTACGATGTAACCAGGAAAGGGATAATTTAAGATCGAAACATTAAAGCGTTTACAATTGAGTAGTTATGTATACGAATATTCTTATTCTGAAATGCACCAGTATTTCGATTGGCTAATCCTCACCACTGTGGAGGTACATAGTACTTAATGTAAACAAAGGCGAAGCACATTGTGTTATTATTTCCTATCCTTCGTTCGCTGTTCTTTTCTACGTTCAGCGAGACACAAAGAATGAATGGCCTGTGCCTTTTCCGGGAATTGTTTTAACCCTTTGCACTCGTATTTGTATTCGTATTTGATCTTTTATCACACACATATTTAAACAGAAACTAAAAGAAAACATTGCAACAAGAGTCCCTAGAATGAAATACTAATGTAAATATATATACAATAATAAAATGTAGGATGGCGACTATATGGCGACATACGAGTGGACAGTGCATTTACGTATACAAAATATAAAGATAAAGCTCATATCATCAAATGGTTTAAGTTGTCTGATTCTGTTTCCAGACCTATTCCTCGAAGATGAGGCCCACGATATGCAGTGGCATTGGCCTTCTTTCCTGCCTCTGGTGCTTCACCGTGTTCGGAAGTTACGCGACGACCGAAATGGCGTGCGGTGATCGTTTGACGGCACCTAGAGGTGTCATCCAGACCCCGAATTTTCCCAGCCAGTTTCCGGTTCCCATCAAGTGCCGTTGGTTGATCGACGTGTCCGACATACCCGCGACGAACAGCTCGATCGTAGTCTATTTGACGCAAGTATATGTCTACAAGGGGCTCAGTTTCACCGAGTACGCGTACTACGAGTCAGAGAGCACGAACTTCGGCGCCACGTTGCTCAAGGAGATCACCGAAGGCAACGTGTTCGAGTACCGATGGTTTCGCACCTTTCGACCGTACCTTGTCGTGGAATTCGAGCTGGACAGACTCGAGGGCAACCACGTACGTGTGCTGAACGATCTGCTGGACGTGTACGGTTTCAACGTCACGTACCAGATGACAGAGAACGAGCCGAATTCGGGCTCCTGTTCCGTCCAGGCCTGCTCTTTCACCGGGAACTGCCTCATCTCGGAGGATTATGCGTGAGTTTCGTTCTCGTTGCACAATCGTAGAGTTTTTAGATCCTCGTCGTTTACGTAGCAACGAATAAACGGAGAAAATTAAGAGCTCATAAAACGATGTAATTTTAACCCCTTCCCGTGCCATTTAGCTCGACGAAATCCGGGTCCAAACGGCAGGTACCAACGCGCGGTAAATAGACCAGACTGATGCTAAACTGCTTTGTAACAGAAGTTATAGGAATCGTGACCGACTCCTGTGGCGTACTGATAGGAACTAAAACTCAATCACGATCGTCGTTTACTGTCCGTGAGCCTGGCTCGTAATGTTTACGTTCGGGCCGACTTTCTGTTCGCGAGTCTGGCTCATAATATTTATGTTTGGGCCAAAATCTTTGTCACGAGTCAGACTCGTTAAAGTACGAGAAGGGGTTAGTGTTAAAAAAAGCAAAAGCATTTCGTGTTTTTTTTTTTTATTAATAACAAGAGAACTGTGGAGGATATCGTTGTAATTCTAGTACTGCGGATGGGCGGACACGTTTTCTACAAGCTATTAAAAAGTCGGGAGGTTTATCAGTTTTTGAGATATCACTTTCATAAACTTGAAAAGCGCAGTTTCGCGAAAAACGCCTTTAAAGTTTCCAGTAACGATCAGCGCACCATACAATCGCGACACTCTGTCGTAAAACGCCGTCCTCTTCGCAACTTTGTTAATTTCTCGAGTTTCGATCTGAAAGTTTTCCAAGGACATCTTTAAGACCGCACACAATAAGAAAATAATGCCAAATCTCGGCTGCGTAAAACGCGAAACCCAACTTGAGTTTTAATATTAAACTGGCTAATAAACGTAGATTTTATGAACGTTTATGGTGCTTATCTTGTTCGTTGAAACCTCTCTTGCGAAACTTTAATAAAATAACAATTATTTTGCTCATGAGAAAGGTCTTGTGTTTCTTTGGGTCTACATTTTCACTTACAGTGTGCTTTTAAACAGGATACTCGTTTAATATTTCTAGGACGTGAAAATAAACAGTCACACCTCTGGAACTCCGAAACAGTTTCGAACATTTGTACGTGAAGTTGTCTCGCGTTTCGAAATTTCGTTTCGCGGACGATAAATGGAAGATAAAGTTGAAATGAATTCTAAAAAGGGGTGGTTTCGCGTTGCAACCGCGATATGGTATCAACTCATGAATCATTAATGTGCCTCGGGATTTCCGTCGATTTGCTCGGCGTCACCAATGCTACGTTCACGGCGTCTGTGCAAATAACGAGATCACCCGTTGGTTTTCTTTGCAGGAGTTTCCGGTGCGATTGCTTCGAGGGCTTTAGCGGAAGGAACTGCAACGAGGGACCCTTGTGCTTCAACGATAAACGCAAGCCTGTGTGTCAAAATGGTGCCACTTGCAGGTATCACCGATTCAAAATTATTCTTCGCTTCTTTTTCCGGATTGTGGCGTTACGTATACATTTTTCCCCAGACGGTAATTATACTGTAAAAAAGAGAGGGAAACTCTAAAGAGGTCCTTAAAGTAAATAATTGCCAAAGTAGTTCTTCCTATAGGCATCCCATAATTTTATTTATCAAATCTACGCTAATTGCTAGTATGGGGTCCATATCGCTCCCCGTACTCGCCGCCAAGGGACCGTTCCTCTCGCAAGCACTCGACCGGCCTTCCGTTTGCATATACAGGCCACCTCTGGAAAAAATTTTAATGGGGGATTCTAGAGGCCAAAATAAGACGAAAATCAAGAATACCAATTTGTTGATGGAGGCTTTCTTAAAAAGTTATTAACGTTTAAAGTTCCGACCGTACTGAATTTTTTTCTCGAAAATGCACAAGATTTCGGGGGTATGTCTATTCACCAAAAATAATTGTAATTGACCCCCGCAACCGAAAATAATTTGTCCAGAACGATTTGAAATTTTTTTTTCGTTGAAATATTTAGGCACCTAATTAGATTTTCGGTAAGGAATTTTTTTCTCGAAAGCGCATAGAATTTCGCGAGTATGTGTAATGACCAAAAATGATTGTAATTGATCCCCGCAACCGAACATAATTTTTCCAGAACGATTTGAAATTTTTGAATTTAATTATTAATAACTTTTTAACGATGCCTCCATCAACAAATTGGTATTCTTGAATTTCGTCTTATTTTGGCCTCTAGAATCCCCCATTAAAATTATTCCCAGGGGTGGCCGAACACCCTGTATGTACATATTAGATCCTCGACTGACTCCCAATAGTCCGGCAGAGTCTGCTGGGATGCTTTACCGATGAGTCTGCTAGCAGTCTCTCCCTATCCTTTTCTTACAATCTAATCTACAGGACCCCCAAACTATTATCAAATATGAAAAGAAGATCGATCGTTGAATAAATGTGTGTGAGGTACATCTGCGAACCGGAAGCACCGAGCATCCGCGAAAAGCAGATCTTACGGAGCTCCTTGTTCGCGAAAGAAACTTTTTCGACGCAAGTTTTCCGACTAACCAGCCCGCGAATTGAACGATAAATAATAAACTCGTTTTAACTGTTGCAGGCAAATTGGTGCAGAAGCGATGAACTGTCATTGCCCCGACGGCTACGTTGGATATCACTGCGAGATCCAACTTCTGGACGGAAACGACGGTAACCTTCGCTTTCTACACAGGGTGGACCATTTATATGTATACAGGATGTTCGGCCACCTCTAGCAAAAATTTTAATGAGCGATAGTAGAGGCCAAAATAAGACGAAAATCAAGAATACTAATTTGTTGATGGAAGCTTCGTTAAAAAGTTATTAATAATTAAATTCAAAAATTTCAAATCGTTCTGGAAAAATTATTTTCGGTTGCGGGGGTCAACTACAATCATTTTTGGTGAGTACACATACCTCCGAATTCCTATCTACTTTCGAGAAAAAAAATCGAGTAGGTGCTGATATTTTTCGGCGAAAAAAAATTTTTCAAATCGTTTTAAAAAAATTATTTTCGGTTGCGGGGATCAATTACAATCATTTTTTATCATTACACATACCTCCGAAATCGTACGCACTTTCGAGAAAAAAATTCCTTACTGAAAATCCAATTAGGTGCCTAAATTTTTCAACGGAGAAAAAAAATTGCAAATCGTTGTGGAAAAATTATTTTCGGTTGTAGGGTTCAATTACAGTCATTTTTGGTGAATAGACATACCCCCGAAATCTTGCGCATTTTCGAGAAAAAAATTCAGTAAGAGCGGCACTTTAAACGTTAATAACTTTTTAACGAAGCTTCCACCAACAAATTAGTATTCTTGATTTTCGTCTTATTTTGGCCTCTACTATCGCTCATTAAAATTTTTGCTAGAGGTGGCCGAACACCCTGTATACTCAACTCTTGAATAATCAAATTATATTATAATAGACAATACTTCATTTTTATTCGTTTAAAAATTTGTTTTTCTTATTATCTAATTTATGTTTCAATATGTTCAAAATACATGTATACTCTTGTTATTAATTTATTTATTAAGATTAGTAGCATAAGTTATTTTCAATAAGTTTATCTTTCGAAAATTGATATCTACTTGTTACTGTTGCATTTAATTTTGAATGCGACCCACTAACCTTCCCCCTCCGTAATGCGTACCTGACCGTGAGCGACGACGGTATTTAGGCGTTCCCAATCGAATGGCCACTCTGTGTAAGAATGTTTGCTCTCCTCTCCAGGTAGAGGATAGAATAATTTCTCGATGAGTCATGATCGCGCTCGCGTGGCGTGCGTGAGTCATTCACGAGAATCGGCGGTCGTGAACGCACGTCGGGGTCAATGCTTTTGCTTGCTCGTAGATTGCGGAACCGAGAATTGCATAATGCAGTGCCCTTACGACGAGGAGGACCGACAGCCTTGCGCCTGCAAGAACGGCACCAAAATTTACAACTGTGAGTGCGACGTTTTCGTTTCGTCCATTGAATGTTCCCACTTCTCGTTTTAGTACAACTTAATCAAAGGATTGTATCGTAATTTTATTACGAATCATCTCGTCTTGCCCATTGCAAAGACATTTGCGAATAACGGGTTATAATAATGGGAATCTTTTCCTTAATCATCCAAATGGAGATTGACCTTACGTAACCGTTGGAAAATCTGTTTGCAGATCGATCGAGGTACCAGTGCAGAATGAAGTTATCGAACGTGACGTCTTTGAGGGCCACCTTAGCAGCGCAACACGACTTTTTGGGTTCCTATGTGACCAAACAGGTGAGCAAAACAACGTCTACAATGGCGAAGAATATAAACATTATTATTTGTCCAGAGCAAAATTGGTAGCCAACGCGTTAAGAAAACATCTTGTTTAACGTGCCCATGTCTTTTTATAAATAAATATATTTCTAGCGTCCCGCAAATATGAGTCGCGTAGCGATTATTCGTCGCGTTTCGCAATCTTTGTCGTCTGGCTGCCATAAATTCACACCAGCAGGTTGTTTATGACTGAGCACGTGCTACCGTAGGACTAACGTATACTTACACGTTCCGCCAAGAACTATCTTTTAATCACGCAACCTGATAGTGCGTATGTTGTTAGTAAAAAGTCCTGATATTCATTTATACAGGGTGTTCGGCCACCCCTGAGAAAAATTTTAATGGGAGATTCTAGAGGCCAAAATAAGACGAAAATCAAGAATATCAATTTTTCGTTTGAGGCTTCGTTATAAAGTTATTAACAATTAAATTAAAACATTTCAAATCGTTCTGGAAAAATTATTTTCGGTTGCGGGGGTCGATTATAATCTTTTTTGGTGAATAGACATACCCCCTGAAATCCTGCGCATTTTCGAGGAAAAAATTCAGTGCGGGCGGAACTTTAAACGTTAATAACTTTTTAACGAAGCCTCCATTAACAAATTGGTGTTCTTGGTGTTAAAATTTTTCCCAAGGGTGGTCGAACACCCTGTATAATTCGATAAAATATTTTCGCGAGAAATCAACGAAGCCATTGGTTTTTAATTAATTTCTTATTATTCTCTCGATAATCTCCAAAAAAAGTTTCTTATCGATAATCCAACGTTTCCTTAGGAATTTTATCTTATCGACGTCCATACACATCGTGAAAGATGACATGTTAAGTTTCCAAGAAAACTATGGATGAATCAATGGTTTTCAATTAATACTTACGTTGATTGCCACATTATCCGTAATCATGCGACAATCATATTTTATTATATTACAAATTATATAAGTCTGTATTTTTCTTACAAGCACGACTTGAAAAAGTTTCAAACATTCTAACCATTATATAAATGTTATGATCGAAATTGTTACGAAGAGTTATTCGTAGACTATTACATTATTATTATACATTGCAACAAAACAACTGCAAAGTGAACGGTAAGAAAACTCGATAATATCAGGAATCGATATTTTCTACGAATCCATATAATATTTAAAGAATTTTCCTTTAAAACGTATACAACCAGTTCCATGAGAAAATCATTAAAGTGAACCTAACCTAGATCCATTAAGCGCCTATAGCTAACAGGTGGTTTGACAATAAGGAAAAACCCATTCTTGGCGTGTACCTAACAATATCGCGTGACGGACTAGAGAAGAACCTTCAGAAAGCCACTATATTTGTTACATGCACTATACAGGGTGTTAAAAAAAAACCATTTAATATTTACAGGGTATATAGGATACATTGTACTGAATAAGAAAGCTTTATTAAACATAGGTCGAAAGGTCAACCGTTTCTGAGATATAAATATTTTTGTTTGTTATTATCATAATTGACTTACTACTGAATTTTCGATGTTTACAGAAGATTTTCGATGTGCCCACTGTCGCGTCGCGAGCCCTCCGTATGACCGTCAAACAACAAACGAGCCCAACTCAGAAAGAGCCTTGTAAATACCGTCATATAACAAAATTTGTTCTTTCCATACCTGCGCACCAGATGTTTAGCAGTTGTGCGTCAAGCTCGTTACAAACGTTTTTTCCAGCAATTAGGAGTCTAGTTTTATTGCACGCCACGGTCAACCTTCAAAAATACAATAGCACTTTCGCGCGACCACCGACACAGCCAAAAACAGACAATTTTGGTGACACCCACACCACCCCTTCTTGCAGGGGCTGGCCGTTCACGCCTTACAAAATCTTGTAACCAATCAGTGTTTTTCGCATATTAGTAACCGCCCAATTAAGAACTGTATAAAGAGCGACGCTCGCTCAGAAATAAGAATTCAACAAGAATTTTGCGGAGCATCAACAAACCGACAAGTATTCATTTTTTCGAGTCACCGCATTGCATATCCATCATAAGTTTAAATACAGTCCACTTTCAAACATAAAATATTCGCACAAAGTTAAGTCGGCGTGCGACGTACGGGTTTAACTTTCCGAACAACGTCGGTGGAAAATTCGTACACGACATTTGGTCCTTCGAGCCGGATTCCAACGGCAAACACGACATTTGTAGTGCAGTGTGGTGACTACCAAGGAAGATATTCCTTGGACATCATAGACAATTGTCGGTAGTGCAACAGAAGCTCCAACGTTGACACTTACGACAACCTCTTTGGAGAGGGCAGATCAACAGCAGCACCGTAGGACACTACGTCGCCGGTGAAGGAAGTATCCACAAGCAGCCGCATCGGACACCTCAGCAGAGGAAGCAGCCGTCGGACGGTGGAAAATCCAAGGCCACGCAGCAGCACCGGGCCAACATCGACGCAGCGCAGCATCATCGGCGCATCGCAGCACCATCATCGACGCATCGCAGCATCATCGAGGCATCACAGCATCATCGAGGCAACGCAGCAACATCGAGGCCACGCAGCCTCATCCAGACATTGCAGCAACGAGCAACAGTTCGAAGTTCAGACGTCGGTAGGGTAAGTCCACGAATCACTATTCCTTTCACATATTTTCCCTTATTGCAAGCAGTCACGAACTCGATTACATTCGTTGTTTAATTATCGCGAGATGGCAAACGTACCTGAGACAGTGCCAATGAAAGCCCTCAGGAGACAAAGAATCACGATTAAGGGACAGCTAACGCGGATAGAGACATACCTCGATGAGGGCGATCAGTTTGACATTCACGAGTTACAAATTCGCAAGGAAAAGATGTTAGAATTGAATAAAAACTTTGAAACCGTGCAGACAAACATAGAATTAGAGGATGACATATCCGATCATGACGCGGAAAGAGAACAATTCGAGCGGAAATATTTTAGAATCACCAGTAGCATAAACCGTCGAATCGAGGGATTACAAACCCCTAACACAGGTATTAACCCAGGTAGATTCACGGACTCGCCGAACACGGTAACAATAAGACAAGAAAGTAGCCTTTTACCTAAAATCGAAATCAAACCATACGACGGTAACCCTATGGAGTGGCATAGTTTCCACGATACGTTTCGAACACTGGTCCATAATAATGAAGACTTACCGGCCGTACAAAAATTCCATCTGTTAAAGAATGCACTTCGCGGAGAAATCGCGTCAGTAATTTCAACATTAAACGCATCCGAAACAAACTACCGAGTAGCTTGGGATTTGTTGCAAAAGCGATGTAACAGACCGAGACAAATAGTGCAAACACACTTAAAAACTTTATTCGAATTGCCCGAAGTAACGCGTGATGCATCCTCAAGCCTCAGGTCATTGGCGGAACAGGCTCAAATGCATGTAAACGCACTCGCTACCCTAGGTCAGCCCATAGCACAATGGGATGCAATGTTAGTTTATCTAGTCGGCAAAAAATTAGATAAGAATACGCGTCGCGGATGGGAACGCACTTTAGAGAATGACGAGATGCCGACATTCGACCAACTAATTAATTTCATAAATAAACAAGCGCGGGGCGATGAAATTGAAGCGGAAGCTTCAAACGCGAGTAGGCGGGTTTTGTATCCAGATCGTCCACTACGAAATAAACCATTTACAAGGGGGTACACTCACGTCGCGACGACGAATACAGACAAATGCGTCATGTGTAGGGATAAGCATGAAATTTATTATTGTAAGCATTTTTTGCAAGCACCAATTCGGGAGAGATTCGAGGTAATTAAACGAAACAAGCTATGTATTAATTGCTTCCGAAACGGTCATTTAGTCGGCACATGCCAAGCTAGCGGATGCAAAAAATGTAATTTGAAACACAATACCTTACTACATTTTAACGACGAACAGCGGGCTAACATAAACCCTCACAATGCGCGAATAGGAAGTCAGGTAACAAGCTCGGGAGTCAATGCAACAAGCTCGGGGGTCAATACGACTACATTAACAGTTACATGCAATTTTGAAACCTTACTCGGAACCGCGCAAATTAAAATATTGGACAGATTCAATAGGGAACATGATTGTCGCGTATTATTAGACGGGGGATCACAAACCCATTTTATAACCACCGAGTTAGCCGACAAATTGCAATTACGCAAACACAGCGTCAATCTAACCTTCTCAGGTATAGGTCAACAGGCGACCAGGGCGCAACACCTTGTAAAAACAGTAGTCAAGGCGCGAAACGGTACATTTTCTACCCCCATTTCATTTATTACTGTACCGTTGATTACCGGGTCACTACCGTCTCGACAAGTCGACAGAACATCGATCGAAATTCCAAAAAACCTCACGTTAGCGGATCCGACATTCCATAAGCCCGGGAAGATAGACGCATTATTAGGTAATACGTTGTTTTTTAACCTATTAAGTAATGGACAAATCAAATTAAATAATAGTAAAATCATCTTACAAAAAACCAGACTAGGTTGGATAGTTACCGGCGAATCAGATCTACAACCATCGTACAAGAACACAGTAAAGTCATTTCATACAACATCAACATTAGACAAGACATTAAACAAATTCTGGGAAGTAGAAGAATTCGCGGATCAGGTATATTTATCGGAAGAAGAAAGGGCTGCGGAAAATTCGTTTGAACAGGGCACCGTACGAGAAGCGGATGGGCGGTATTGTGTAAGATTACCCTTTAACGAACGCAAACAATTGTTAGGAAGTTCACGCGAGGCAGCATTAAAAAGATTTTACGCATTAGAACGGAAATTGCATTCCGATCAAGAATTATTAGCAGGATATCGGGAGTTTTTAAATGAATACGAACAATTAGGACATATGACACAGGTCAACGCGGACGATTCCGCCGAGGGGTTCTACCTGCCGCACCACGCGGTAATAAAAGAGTCTAGCGAGACTACTAAGATACGCGTAGTATTCGACGCCTCAGCGAAAACATCGACAGGCATAGCATTAAACGACACATTATTAAATGGGCCTATCCTACAGGATACCCTGTACAAATTATTACTTAGATTTCGTTCGCATTCCTATGTTTTAACGGCAGATATAGAAAAGATGTTTCGGCAGATTAAAATACATACAGAGGACAGGAAATATCATAAGATATTGTGGCGCGATTCACGAGACAAACCAATCAAAACCTACGAACTGAATACCGTAACATACGGAACCACGTCAGCTCCATTTTTAGCCGTGCGTTGTCTACAACAATTAGCGGTTGACGAACAGGATAATTTTCCCGCCGCGGCAGCAATATTCAGAACAGATTTTTATGTAGATGATTTGCTCACCGGAGCATCTACTCGCGAACAAGCATTAGTAATTCGCGAAGAAACCATAGCGTTAGCAAGGAAAGGCGGGTTTAATTTAAGACAGTGGGCATCAAACGATGAGAGTCTGATCGAAGATCTAGCATTAATTAATCAAGAGCGCACTCTGTCCTTAGACACAGACGAAACTAGGAAGGCGTTAGGTATAGGTTGGAAACCAAGGACGGACGAAATACGCTACAACATAAAACTGACCGACGGCAATCCTCGACCTACGAAACGTACAATACTTTCACAGATCGCACAATTATTCGACCCGTTAGGGCTATTAGGACCAGTTATAGTACGCGCAAAAATTATAATGCAGCTATTGTGGAAGGCTGACCTAGGTTGGGATGAGTCTGTGCCTCAATCTATCCATACCATGTGGTTAGAATTTACGCAAGAGCTACCACTATTAAATAAATTTTCGACGCCGCGAAAAACGATTGTTGATAGCCCAATAGAAATACAGATGCATGGATTCTGTGACGCTAGTGAAGCGGCTTACGGCGCGTGCATTTACTTGAGGTCAATTGATAATCAAGGAAAATGTAAGGTTAGTTTGTTGTGCGCGAAATCAAGGGTTGCGCCAGTAAAAACCTTATCATTGCCGCGTTTAGAATTGTGCGCCGCTAAGTTATTAGCAAATTTAATAAGAGAAACCCTTAACGCGATGACCCACCTCGAAATTAAAAGGATCGTGTTATGGTCGGACTCAACGATAGCATTAACTTCGATTAGAACCTCACCGCATTTGCTAAAAACATTCGTTGCCAATCGGGTAAACGAAATTCAAGAGCAAACAGATATTGAAAATTGGCGTCATATCTCTAGTGTCGAAAATCCGGCAGATTTCATATCCAGGGGACAGACACCTCTGCTTTTTCTAAATAACCTAAGATGGTTAAAGGGGCCGCAGTGGCTTTCACAGGCCGAACGAACTTGGCCATTTATTACACTACCTGCAATAGAAATACCGGAAACTCGTAGCTTCAAGGTTTTAGTAGCAAGAATTAATACAACAGATTTCGTTGGTAGATTCTCAACAATAAATAGGCTCAACAGGGCACTAGCATATATATTACGGTTTTATAATAATTGTAAAAGCAAAAACAGAGTTGCGGGCGAATTGACTAATTTAGAGATTTCTAATGCACATATACATATAGTTAAATTAACACAAGCACAAGAGTTTACGCAGGAATTGAGGGATTTGAAGGAAGGTAGGGAAATAAACAAAAGAAGTAAATTACTTAATTTAACACCATTCCTTGACGAGAAGGGTTTAATTCGAGTCGGCGGCCGATTAAAACACGCAGCAATAAACTATTCATACAAACATCCGATCTTATTACCACGCAACAATCACGTTACAGAATTAATAATCAGGCATGAGCATTTAAAACATTGGCATGCGGGTATACAAGCCACTTTAAACGCCGTCAGACAAAGATATTGGCCAATAGATGGAAAAAATCTTACGCGCAGATTAATTCATAACTGTGTAAATTGCTTTAAAGCCAATCCCAAGCTATCTGAGTATGTTATGGGAAATTTACCGAAAGACCGTGTGACACAAACACGGCCATTCGAAACCACAGGAGTCGATTATTGTGGACCATTGTTTTTAAAGGAACGAAAACACCGAAACGTTAAGAAAACCACGGGATACGTAGTAGTATTTGTATGTTTTGCCACAAGGGCTACTCATTTAGAATTAGTAACCGATCTAACCACGGAAGCATGTATAGCCGCGATAAAACGATTTTTCGCGAGAAGGGGAAAATCCCGAACTTTATACTCCGATAACGGGAGCAATTTCCTAGGCGCAAATAACGAAATTATTGAAATAACCGCATTCGTAAACTCGAACGATCATAAAGGAAAATTAAAACAATATTTGAGCAATGAAGGTGTCAACTGGTCGTTCTCTCCACCCCGTTCGCCTCATTTCGGGGGTCTATGGGAAGCCGCAGTGAAGGCCTTTAAAAAACATTTCAAGGCTACTCTTGGAGAAGCACTGTTCACATACGAACAATTGAACAGCATTATAATCGAGATCGAGGCAATCCTGAATTCCCGACCATTAACACCCATATCCTCTGATCCTAATGACTATATCGCTCTAACACCCGCACACTTCCTAATTGGTGATTCGTTACAAACCCTACCGGAATATGAATGGACACATGTACAAACGAATAGGCTGTCATTGTGGCAGCACACTCAGAAAATTAAGCAACATTTCTGGAGTAGATGGCATCGAGAGTATTTGCACGAGCTCCATACCCGATGTAAATGGCATACTGGTAACCATAAAAATATCAAGGAAGGGATGCTGGTCCTGGTGCAAGAGGACAATCTACCACCGTTGCAGTGGAAATTAGGTAGAGTCTTGGAGGTGCACCCAGGAGACGACCACATAACACGTGTAGTGACAATAAGGACACCGTTAGGAGTGTATAAACGCAGTGTGAAGAGACTTGCGCCACTACCAATAGACTGCATATAACAAATGTACAGTACATCCTAGTATAACTTAGCCATAAGGATTAGTTTAGATTCAGAACAATTTTGAATCAAAAACACTATGTAATTTTCTAGGATTATAAATACCTCGTAATGTTATAGTATTAAGTATTCAGTTTTGCCTGCAGTGCAATTGTTCGCTGTTTGTCGACTTTTAGATCTTTTGAACATGACCGTTCAAGGGGGCCGGCATGTCGCGTCGCGAGCCCTCCGTATGACCGTCAAACAACAAACGAGCCCAACTCAGAAAGAGCCTTGTAAATACCGTCATATAACAAAATTTGTTCTTTCCATACCTGCGCACCAGATGTTTAGCAGTTGTGCGTCAAGCTCGTTACAAACGTTTTTTCCAGCAATTAGGAGTCTAGTTTTATTGCACGCCACGGTCAACCTTCAAAAATACAATAGCACTTTCGCGCGACCACCGACACAGCCAAAAACAGACAATTTTGGTGACACCCACACCACCCCTTCTTGCAGGGGCTGGCCGTTCACGCCTTACAAAATCTTGTAACCAATCAGTGTTTTTCGCATATTAGTAACCGCCCAATTAAGAACTGTATAAAGAGCGACGCTCGCTCAGAAATAAGAATTCAACAAGAATTTTGCGGAGCATCAACAAACCGACAAGTATTCATTTTTTCGAGTCACCGCATTGCATATCCATCATAAGTTTAAATACAGTCCACTTTCAAACATAAAATATTCGCACAAAGTTAAGTCGGCGTGCGACGTACGGGTTTAACTTTCCGAACAACGTCGGTGGAAAATTCGTACACGACACCCACCTTCCATTTCTACACACGCTTGACATCTTCTGTTTACAGAATCGCGAACTCTCTCGAAAATTCCACATTTCTGTCGAATTGCTTGACAAGAATGGTGGATTCGGTTACGTAATTCTTCTAAGTCATTTATCGGAGAGAAATACACTAGGCTTTTTAAATATCCCCATAAGAAGAAGTCCAAAGGGTTTAAATTGGGGAATCGAGGAGGCCATACAACTGGTCCACCACGTCCAATCCACCTTTGACCGAACACCATGTTTAAATGGTCTCTCACATTACGCACAAAATGAGGTGGCGCCCCATCATGCATGTACCACATCGATAATCTTTCTGCTAAAGGCATATCATCCAAGTACTGAGGTAATGTATTCACCAAGAGGTTGAAATAAGCAACTAAGTCAATCATGATACCAGCAAACAAAAATGTTTATATCTCAAAAACGGTTGACCTTTCGACCTATGTTTACTAAAGCTTTTTTACTCAGTACAGTGTATCCTATATACCATATAAATATTGAATGGTTTTTTTTGAACACCCTGTATACGTAGGTTAGTATGACCAACTGAAATCAATCAAATTATAAATATTAAATATTGATATACAAACATTAAATTATTACACCAGGCCCCTCGTGAACACATTTATGGTATTCGTCACCCAGAGAATTCCCAGATGTCGCACGTATCGTAACCATAGTTTTCTTTTCGGACATTTTCTGGCATCAAATACCGTCTTAGTGGTCTCAATCGTTTCTTTAGATCGTTTGTCAAACCGTGTCTTCCTGGATCGGCCAAATAAATTCGAGTTCCATTTTTGCGTGCCCGTTCGAGCCACGGAATCAGAATGTCGGTGATTTCTTCGTCGTACAGCATGTCACCGATGAAAATAACATCGGTCAGTTTTTCGGGTGGTCGATGCAACAGATTGTCTTGTGAGATCTGCACTTCCACATGGTTCAATGCCGCATTCATTGCGATAGCTGTGCACGCGACTGAAAGCACATGCGAAAAAGCTGGTATTTTTATCGTAAACCCTTAGGAAGATACGGTATAATATATACTACTTGCATTAATCAAAGATTAAAGAAATTAACTTCTATATTCTTCAACTACAAACTTCCTATTTATAAAGAACAATCGTATTAGACAATATCAGTCTTAATTGTCCATTGTTCTGTTACCCTTGAAATCTCTAGAACGAAAAACAATATTTTCCTATCGCTTAATTGAACAAATCGGTTAATTGCCTTTAAAAACCGACAGTGTTGTCGGCGCCATAACCAAACCGAATCGGTTCTTAACCAGTTACTCGGATATTCGTTTACTCGATAAAACCAGTTAGGTCGGGACCGTCGTTACAAACAATAACGCTGATTTTGTAACGACAGTGTTTTATGTTTTGGGTTAACGAACGGACGCCAACGTACGGTTACGTACGTCATTTTGTTACCACGTAATCGAACAACGACATTACATAATGTATCGTGGCAGCCGCTTAAGTTTCCATCGATGCGTCGATGTATCGTCGAGTCGAGGAAATTCATGTTATTAATCATGCCACGATTATCGATTTCCATGATTAGATTTAAAACGATCGTTTCTCAAATACAGGGAATACACGCGTATCTCGCGACATGGAAGTTCGCGCGAGCGGATAAGATAAAGTTCGGAAAAAAAATTGTGCGATATGTATATCGAGTAGCGTTTCGAGCCACGCTTCCACGCGGTCAACACGCAGAAAAGAACACGATTCGGACACCTCTTCCGTGCACACTATCTTTTAACCCTTTTTATCCCAATAATTCCATATGGCGTCATCAATTTCGAGCTTCGTATTTTCGCCTATAAATTTTCCAACGATTCCATTTGACATCGTTAACGTTTTTAGATACGGTAAACAGCGACATTTGGGAATCTAAGTAACCTCTGTTTATTTTACAAGTTTTGCACTCCAACCTAATTAAATAAAAGGTGCTAATAGTGCAAAAAGGTAATATGCAAATGGAATTAATTTTAGTTTCTGCAGGTTATATTTCCTTTTTTGCAAATCAAATTTATTCAGGGAATAAAAAATATTAATACATATATCCATTTGATAAAAACGTATACATGTACTTATTTAAATAATATAAAATCGTAACAATAATTTTATATTTTCATGTGTATGGGGCAACAACAATTTTTGTATTGTACACTATTGTATATCAACACGTAAGCAATTCATTCCTTTGCCTGTGATGCAATAAAAAATTCATTATTCAACAATGTCAAGTTGATCAAATAGAATTGAACCCAATGAGAGAAAACAAAGAACATATGTTGTATATCCATATGTATATGCTTAACAAAAGGTTACAGATAATGACAAATATAACATAAATTATGATAAAACAAATGAAATTATAGCTGGAGACTCTTTATCTGTCAAAAGTGAAAAATTATCGAAACAAATTATCTTGAAGTTGACCGAAGATAATTAGATCCATTTAGATACGAGGATAAGAGTCAACAAAACGCATGAGACAACAGACATAGTGGATATGGTTAGAACTATCACGTGACGTGAAACAGGAAGTATCGTGACATTTGTAAAAACATCTTTTCCGCTATCCTAATGTAGTTTGGTTTCTTTACTTATACATGTTTTCCATTTCGTTTTAAGGCACAAAATACGGAAGTTTGTATAAAATAATAAATTGCAACAGATCGTGCTTGAGAGCGGTGGGGAGCGATGTAACTCGGCGAAAGTGAACTTGAAAAGGCCACGTGAGGTGTTCAGTGTTACTAGGTCATTCTCTGCTAGCCGTGTTCCCCGTGTCGTCGAGGAATTTCGTCTCGAGTCCTTGACTCGATTTAGCTTGCGCGCACGAATCGCTACAAGCTCGTTCGGTACGCACGAACCATATAGACGAACGTATTCAAAGCAATCCAAAACGAGAAAATAACGTCTCGATGTTGTTGTAAACGCACCAATGCACTTAGGTAAAAATTCGTAACGTAGGATAATAGTGCTCGTGTAATAATTGGACAAAAGGACGCATACAGGGGAAACAAAAAGAAACGCGTGATTGGTCCTTGCCACTAGAGCAGCCACGTGACACTCCAATAGACGAACGGCGCCAAGACCGCGAGTATTAAACTCTGTCTAACAATGAATAATATGTATTCTCTTGTATTTCGTTCGCGAACGATCAGATCGTATCCGGTCGTAAATGGTATTGCAGTTGTAGGATCGTTAATGGAGGTTGGATTAACTACGATGTAATGTCACTGCGTCAGCGGACATTGCAACGTGAGATCGATTTGGAATGCAGCGAGCATAGTGTACCCAGAAACGGGTAACCTTTCGCTGACGCATGAGTACCCGGTCCCTTCGGGCTCGTGTGTCTGTGAAACGGGGAAAACCAAGCTCGTCTGACCCACATTCTCCACTTTCTTCGAACTATTCACGATGCAATCGCCGACATCGGATACTGCTATGAGAGGGAATGGCAAAAGTACTAACACGGTCTTTCGAATCACGTTCCACGCTGCGCAAAACATAAGGTTCTATAAACTAAATTTCACCACTGTTACTCTGTTATTTTTTAAGCAGTTTCCAATCGAATAACGCGCTATAGTATATTAATATTAACCCTTAGAGTACAATGTCTGGTACCAATCCACAAGCTTTCGTTAGTTGTCGACGTGATACAGAATTATGAATTAAATTTTAGAGAAACCGGATAACGTCTTCTATTATGTTTCTTGTTAATTCCATTTACGTTTCTCGTGTGCTACTCGATAAGAAACAAAGCACTATCAGGCACACGTGTTGACAACGGTACGTGGAATTCCTTTGAATACCTATCAATGAAAATGACGATTAAGGGGGTCACGCTATGTTGATGACGATGAAAGTGAGGTTATCTTTATAAATTGTTTAAAAATGAATTTTTTACCATGTATATATGATACAAAACTTCGAATTTACAGTTTTTATTTTACGTTTCAGCTCATGGCTTTCGAGTTTTTTTTAAGAATATTAAACGAAAATGAAATGACTTAAAGTATTGCTGCGCATAAAATAAAACCTTATATTCGAAGATCAAACTATCAGGTGTGAAACAGAATTTGTTCGCGGTAAAATATCTTAATAAAATTAAGAAAGCTTATAGAATTACAAGTATTCTACTCGATGACACGGTTAGAAATACGCGTTGCAACGGTACGTAGAATTCCTTTAAATTCCTATCAATGAAAATGAAGATTAAGGGTTTACGCTATGTTGATGACGACGAAACAGAGGGTATCTCGACGAATTAATTTTAATCATACTATACACCCAATTGAAATGAATCTTTTACTCGGAATAAAACATAATAAAATTCCAAATTTGCAAAAACTATGTTTTATAGTTAAGCCAGTATTATTGGCGTTAATTTCGTGAAAATTACGTCAATACAGATTATTACTTGAGGCTTCATTTTTCTGTTATTACTATGATTTGTTTCGACGGGATCCGTTTTGTGTTATTTTGACGAGTTCGTACTATCGTTTTACGAATAAAATATTGTCGATTTCATCTCTGTAAAGATGACGTAACCCATTAAAAATTCATGTTCGTGGCATTTCTCACGAATGGCTCTGTAACGTCCTTTCGGTTATGCGCGTGACTATAATACCCGGTCAGTTACGAGTTTCACCTGTTATCGTGTCTCTGTTCCGCTAGAGCTATTTATAGCGTGTCTGAATACACCCGACAGTTATATTTAGAAGCTACCTTTGTTGCCATCGAAGCCAACAAAAATGAGATCCTCAACTGTTATTATTATTTTTATTATCAATATTATACACCTTTAATTATCTATTTTTCAAGGAATGATAAATATGACAAGAATTAAACTATTCGACGCATAAGTGGAGAGGTAAGAAAATATTGACGCTTGTTTATAAATTTTTTTGTCCAAACGCTATTAATAATAAAAATTTCACAAATTTGGCCTGATAGCCAACGCGTTAAACATACGTATAAATTTGCAGAATAAATACATAGCAGAAGCAGGGATGAAAACAATGTACTATATGACAATACTAATAGCTAGGCACTAGAAGTAAAAACAGAATTATTCAAACGTATGAAAATCGAGGATTGCTGACATTGATCATGACCTGCTGACAGTGAGTACGATTCGTTATGCATGAACGTAACTGCCATGCGAGGAGTGACGACAACGACTTGGAATTTGGCAATCAAACGATCAAAAGTGTCGAAAGCTTTAGAGAAGTCAACAACGTGACAAACGTAAGACGTCTCGTGTCAATGACTTGTGGTATCGTATCGAGTATGCGCGAACGGGGTCACGTGGTTTGTATTTGTAAAATGAGAATACATAAGGGAAGAGGTAGCTACGCGCGATAAGAGATTAAGAGCATAAAGGGAGACGGTAACACGTGACCAAATAAATTGGTTGCTCGGAAAGTCCGCGAGTTTTTCCACGCGTGACGTAAACTACTTGGCTTGGGAGATTTTTCCTTTTCGCCTTGGTGCAGTGGTATTCCCAGTGGGCCGTATGGCTCAAACTCGTCTTATCGGGCCCAGACACGACCAGTTCTTCCCCGTTGCAATCGCTCCCCGCCTCCAACCGTGCAACTATCTCCGAGAAGTTCCGCGACACCTTTATCACAAGAAGATGGCACGCGTCGTCACGCGTTTTGCAACTGCGTCGCTGAACCGAGTGTCTGGCTGCATTGCCAACAATCCCAAGCCATGCATAACGCTGTCTAATGAATTAAAATCGTGGTCCTGTTCGTTTCAAATTTAAAAAATAATATTAAATGAATTCTGTCGAAACAATTTAAACAAAAAGGAAGTTTCTTAATATTTATTTACATGGATAAAATTTTGTTCGAAAGTCACGAATAAAAGTTTACGCGGACAAAGCGTTATTCGTTATCTAGATAGAAACATGTGTCCAATTTTGACGATAATTGCGTTGCACTGTGACCGAAGACGCAAAACACAACAGCCTGGGATTTCTCGTCGCGTGAACTGTCGTGGTCATGAATAATGGAGCGATTTTTATGACGCGAACGAACGCTACGTCCCTCTGAAATCAGTTTCCGTACCGGGGACGTATGTATATTGCTGATTTCCTATCCGAGGAAAGCTTCTAACAGGGAGCCCCTTTTTCAAGAAAATATTACTTCCCAGTTGCTATTTATTAAGTGGCATTTTTTATTCTGGCTGAAATATACAGAGTGTTCGGTCACCACCGGGAAAAATATTAATAGAAAATTCTAGAGGCAAAAATAAGACGAAAATCAAGAATATCAATTTCTTGATTGAGGCTTCGTTAAAAAGTTATTAAAAAATTAAATTAAAAAATTTTAAATCATTCTGAAAAAATTATTTTTATTTGTGAGAGTCAATTGCAATCATTTTTGGTGAATACACATATCCCCAAAATCCTACGCACTTTCGAGAACAAAAATTTTTTTCCGAAAATATAACATGAGGTTAGAAATGTGCCCTGAAATCTCATGCGTATGTTTAAAACATCATAACTCCTGAACGGTTTGAAGGATTTTAATAATTCAAAATTCAAACAATGCGTATTAATGGAGCTCTAGAGCCCCAGGAAAATCTTTTGTCACAGTCTTATTTTGGCCTCTAGAATCTCCCATTAAAATTTTTCCCAGGAGTGGCCGAACACCCTGTATTTTAACACAAAAACTATCGTAAAAATTGCGTACGGAATACTCCGTGCTGTTTATAATAATGATTTTGCGAATTAAGGATGGAATATCGTACAAACCTTTATCGATATCGTTCGCAATGACCTTCCTTGTCCCGACGAGTTTTGCAGCAATTGCAGCGGCTCCGCAGCCAGCCCCAACATCCAAAACCTCGCCTTCGCCGTTCCACGAATACGAGAAAAGTCTGTCTCGTTCATCCAATACGAACCTCGCGATCGCTTGTCCGCCCGGCCAATAGATCGACCAGAAGGGATCGGTGAAGACGGTTCTTCTCATCTCGTTACTCTCGAAAACGTCTGGAAACGGTGCGTGATACAACGGACAGTTGGGCGTCAGGAGGAACAGCTTAATTTCCGGCGTCATATGGTTCCTTGTGATCTCGGTATCGTTCAGAATCGCTTGGACCATCTGCGGCTCGCGTCGTATGACTTCATGAATGGCTTTGTCGCGCGATTGGCCCGTCACGCGTCTCCACGCCTCTGTTGTGACGCTATTTACAAAGTATCTTCGTAAACGTGACGCTCCTCTTCCCGCGATCATCCCGTAAACCTAAACAAAAGAATTCCGTAAGGAAACCAGTTCGAGGAACTAATCTAAATATAGAACCGGACCGAAATACGAGGCTCATTCGATAAATACAGGGACAAACGCTCTGGTTCGGATAACATTAACACACTGCCAGATCACATTCCCACAATGGGGTACTAGATAAAAAAGGGGAAACGCAAACATTGGACCCGCCAAATTTTATGCAGAGTCCGAGTGTCGATAATAAATATTTCCAAAACAAACTCGTACACGATCGCTATATATTCGATCGTATCGTCTAATTTGATGTATTCACAAACAATGAACCATTATCAGCCGGGGATATCATCGATCAAATTCTATTAATAGTCGAATGTTGTTAATAACGTTGAGCCCAGCTGTGATCAGACACGAAGTTAAGTAGGTATTTAATACAAATATTGGAATATCGTTTCTATATAACAGATATCACGACAAAACTTTTCCATGGTTTTTCGTAATTCTCAGACACCCATGTATTTATCTTCGAACGGATTATAACCTAACCTTACACTTTTCGCGATCTCTTTCTAAAAAACGTTACATTTTACGGCGATCAGTGTGCCCTTTGGACAGCAATACAGTCACGTTTATTATGCATGTGTAATTCTTCGTCAATGTGTAAATTTTTGCAACGTGAAAACCCGACTTTCGATAAATAGCCAGATAACAAGTTACCTTCCCGGAACGGTATCCCTATTTGCAATCTTACCAATAGATAAATACGAATTCCAATCTTTCCCTTTCATTCGCGACGCCGATAAGATTATTTTGTTATTCGCGACAAGGTTGTATATACTTCAGCCCCCGCGACTTTTTAGGCGCCAAACGTTTCGATTACGACGATCGCACGGCGAATTGCGCCATGGACTGGGCCCGTTTCGTAGCGAAACACCAAAATTTCAAACCTAACCTCGATTACAATTATCCACGATCTAGATTATTTGTGGCCAGAAAATTTGGGCAAACATATACGATGGTCAATTTTTACTTGTAACGTTTTAACAAGATTTCGACCAATGCTTGGAGCATCGACTTCGCGACGAACAATGCGGCGTCGCCTCGGATATTTTTAGATCGCCCATTACCGAGAATCGTTCCGTTTTGCGGAACGATTTCGAGGCTGCGTGGCAGACTCCGATTTCTTCTTGCTTAAGAACACCGGGGATTCCCGATTATGCGTGCCTGCGAAACCGTAGCCCAAGGTGGCTGACCGGATCGAGTCTCGCATTTCACGCTCGTCGCTGTGCAGCGACCATTATTCGATCCGGACATATTGAACACGTGCCCCGACATACAGTGAAGAGCATAACTGTAAAATTATACAAAATATAGAATTCTAAGATAAAGAATATTCGTTCAGTTAAACTGAAATTTATACGCGTTTTGGATAAAGAAAAATAATTTCTACCAATTTGATATCCCACGTTTAAAATTATTACGATCGGAAAGTGTTAAGCGTACTCGAACGCCGATGGGCATTCACGGTACGCAACGCACCGATCGACCGTGTGTTTAAAAGCGTCCCGCGAAATGGTTAAAGATATTTGAGATTTTCCCGGACTATGCATGAAACGTTACGAACGCCAATTGCGCAACGAATTAACTTTCCAGCTTGGAGTGAAAATAGAATCGTTACGGACGCGGCTCCTGTTACGCGCGACCGATTTAATTATAACTAACGCTTCGTCCTTTACGGAATACACATGTCGCTTTAAAAAAATGGGCCGAAGAGAGGGGGCGGACAGTATCAGCGGGACGGGCACGAGGATAGAGAGAGAGAGAATAATAGCTGGTTCGAAGCAGATACGAAATATCGACTTTTCATAATTCCCCTAACAAACTGTGCTTCCCAGGTAGATTTCCACCTGGTTTGCCATCGCGAACCTGTCCAATTGCAAGGCTGATGAAACCAAAGAGACGAGACGTCGGTGTTTGCATCATGGTTCGGTACACACTCCCTATATCTGACTCGGTCACGTGCTATCGATCGAACTTGGCACGACAGGAGCTTCCCTGTTTGGTAAAATGGATATGTACACGTTGTTGACCGAACGAGACTCGTTTAGGCCTATCGATTTCGTTGTTTATGCGTAGTAAAATGGACCCTGCGTATAGGATGCCCCTTACGTTACGAACAGACCGCGGTCAAACATCGGGGAGCTCGTAATACCGTTCGGATAAAAAAATAGTTCCACCTGTGCAGAAACGCTGTCTCATTCGAGTTTATCTGATTCGTTTTGATTCTCTCTTGCTACCTCTTGAAAGATGTTTCGCAACGGGTCGAAATGACGTTGCAGGAAAACCGAGTCCCTGACCCGGACACTATTTTCCCTCGATTCCTTCTAGGGCATTCTCCCCTTGCAGACACGTCTCGATTTGTCTCCCTCGTTAATTGGTACGAGGAATACGTTACGATGTACGTTCGTCGTGCGTTTTACCGGGAATTCTTCGGTTCGACTTAAACGTTTCATTCCGTTAAATCTGAGGCTCGATATAGAAGCGCGACGTACTCCGAGAAAACTCGTTTCGAGAAATTTATTTTCTGTTTCTAAGGTGGATTTTGCCCCGAATAGTTCAAAGTTCGGAGTCCGAAAGGATATGCCACGACTTGTTTTACTGATCGAGAAGTTTGCTTGCTAATACGAATTACTGCGAAACTTCGTCCTTCGTGTTATATACATCGTTTCTCGGTAAAGCTTTCGCGGTTGGATCGTCGATAAAAAGCACCGTTGTGTACACAGTGGCTCGCTACAGTTTATCTGGAATACCCGCGGATGTATAGAACGCCAGACGTTGGCGGGGGGAGGCGGGAGGAGGCCATATAACAGCGACGCGTGCCGGCTGTCGAGGTCACTCGTTGCTCGAGCATCGTCGGAGTAACTGCGATTCACGTGGAAGCTTGCGACACTTTGTGAAAATCTTTAGTTGTTGCGTAAGCCTGTATCGAGAGAGTAATTCGTGTAATCGAAGTAAACCCGATTATCGACGCATAAAAAGAGAAAAAGGTTCAGTGAATCAGTGGATCGCCGATAGAACGTGTGCACGTTTCTTTCGTGATAAACTGGCAATCAGAGCTGAGAAAATTCCCACGTTCAGTGAAGTGTGCAAACGAGGTGCGACTGGGAGCAGTTCTAGGAACAAGCAGGAACAGATACTCACGGAAATGACGCGTTGCCAGAGCCTGCAGTCCTATGCGTCCGCCACAATGAATAACAAGTAAGAAATATTCTCCATTCGCGTATCGCGTTTAACTGACACGTGACGCGGACTCGCTTTCACGAAATTCGACTGTGTTATGTCGTCGTCGTCGTACAGTGTGACGAGCAATGGAAAACGGTAAAAAAGATTCGAGTCTTTTTACAAATTCGTCTATCTTAACTCCGTGGACAGTGTTGCCGCGTTTTTCTGTCTACGGATGTCCTCGACATTTATTCAAATCGATAACGTGAAGAATAGAAATACATTCGATAATTCAATGGTGTACTTATAGAATTCCTAACGACAGTAGCATTGTTTGAAATTTTACAAGTATTCGGGTTTTTTAAGTGCCGGTCACCGGTGACCACCATTTGCGTTCTCAGATTGTTACGAAATTGTTTATATATTTTAAAGTTACACTAATTGAATGTGAAAACTTTTGAAACAAGAGTTACTTAATAATGAAATTGCTATAGTAAAAATTAGCATGAAATTTGTTATTATAGATATGTTCTATTTTATACATTCTTAAATTCTCTTTAAAAAGTATTAGGAATCGAATGTCGAAAATTGATTTAAATTTCCATATATGCGGCACACTGTGCGGCCCCATGATCATTATCGATAACATTTGCGTGGCGGTTGCTCGATCCACGTGCTATTATCTCGAACTCTCGTACCTCCGGGGATTTCCATTAGTTCAAGATATTAATTAAGAGACAGGCAAAATTTTAATCGTATAAGAGATAGGGAATACAAAGAACACGTGATTTTACTTTGGTTGCAAAACAGACTTATTTGCTAAATCTCGTCTCGTCGTTCTGCTTTGTATACTGTTTAAAAAGAAAATAAATATAAAAGTATACCGAGCAGGATGAAAAAATTTATCGAACAAATAACGCATTAAAGGTTGTTTAACTTGTATTGATCGTTCGAGATGTGTATCTAGAGAAGAATTTTGCCCGTCTCGCGTTGACGTTAGATATCGAGTCTATCTCTGTTGTAAAAGAGTTCTCGAGGACTGATTTGGATTGGTTTTCAGTGGGACGCTGTCGTGGCCCGAACAGAAGGAGCCCAGATGCCCCAGAGGCACGATAACTTGCGGCATGCTTCCAACACTACGCGCCTTGGCGTCCAAAGAATGCGACAACAGCCAGGGCACCATCTGCCTCGTGCCATTCGACACCGAAATGGATTCTGCCAGTCACCTGCAGATGATCCTGCTGGAGGCGTACTGTCGCGAGACAGGAATCACAGTGTTTCGGGTATCCAGGGAGAGGATACGGGACCATCTGTGCCCGGGTAGCGGCGATCTATCCTGCGTGCTGATATCAAACGATGATCCATATTTTCTCGATCCGCCCGAGTGAATGTCAAACGCATCACCTGTTTCGGGAACGAATTTATTTTCGACTGATTGCAGTCGTACGATTATTTCGACCAAGCTCTGATGATGCTACTGGAGGATCGTCGATCGATCGAAGGGGAGAAATTTTCGATCTGATTTTTCCGTTCGCAAGTTCCACGAACTGACGGATCGTCGAAGAACAGCACGCGCGACTAGTTTCCGCGTAGATTTCCGATCGCGACGTATATATATTTCTAATCGTTGCGAGGATTGTTTAAGGAAATAACCGATACGAACAGAGAGAACGCATTGCCGGGGGAACCACCTGCGATTATTGTATATGCGTTCGACGCGCGCAAGAAACAATTATGATGTAATCATTAAACTTTGGAAAGAGTGGAGAAAGTTATTTTGTAATCGTTGAATATAGAAGGATATTGTATTATTGTCATTATTTTGTAATAATATATATACATGCATTAAAGAAAATTAGTAAGTTATTTGTACCCTAGGTCCTCCGATCAATATCCTGAAACATCGTCCATCCCCAGTTTGCACGACTAATACGAGTTATTCATATTGGTCTAACTTGTTTGCAGCTAGCTAAATATTTAAGGAAATGTAATATCTCGTCCGTGGAGGATTTACAAATCTTGAAAGCGAAGTGAGTAGGTACATACACTAAACGATAGAGTTTGGTTAACGGAAGCTTCAGACACCGCGAGTAGTAGAAAGAAAAAACTAATCGTTGTTCGCGCAATTAATTACATAGGACCCCGTCGGAGATCAATTTCCACTTTTTGGCAAACTCCGACGACGGGGATAGAATTCGAGAATCCCTCAACAAGTTGGTGCAGCGTCGACGGCTCAGCGAGATCTCCCTCGAATCGACTCACTTCACGTTTCAACAGAAACCTGCCCTCAAATTACAGGTACTCACGCCCGTCGAGTTTTCGTTTCACGGTTCACCGTCGTGGATGCACTCACACACCAAAGTATTTGAACGCTTACGTTTGTAACATTCAACTAATGAAATATATAGGCGACTTTGATACAGATAAGGGAAGAAAGAAGAGGCATTTCGTCTTGGGCCTGCTAGTGGATTCATCAGTTTGCGATATACATACATACGTTGCAGCACTTTCCGCACTTGCCAGCAGAGGGATAAGCTCTCTCACAAGTACTCAACCGACCTATTCCTACATACGTATACTCTCCTCGATCAACCATTCGATGTCCTTACATCTAAACAGGTCCAGGACGAAATGACATATTTTTATACATATTCTTTAGAACTTTGTTATACATACCTACCATATTACAAGTAGTGCTTAGGTGAATTTTACGAATTCAACGGAGACAATGAAAAAGAGGACGTGCCTGATACATAATAGCAACCGGACGTCAATTTACCATACATATTTCATTGAATATTATAATTGTACATGTGCTCGAATACTTTTGTGTATCTCGATTCGATCGCTAACAATGATTAATCGCTCTTTTAGGGCCTCTCCCTCATGCTCGAGGAGAAAGTTCATATAGGAGATCGGTTGATGCTAGGTTGCCAAATTCATGGAAGCGAGAGTACAAACTTCACATGGTACAAGGACAATATGCTAGTGAATGTTAGCAAGGCTATGAGGTAAGCAAAAGAGGTCCAAACTTTTGTATAATGGCAGAGTTGATAGAAATTCCAATTTATAAATGGATGTATGAACGAAACCGTAAATTTGGCTAACCCTGTGGAATGGCGTCTTGGTCAGTACATATGTCAGTTTAGTTAATTTCGATTGTTTAGACGGATTTCGCACCATGTCCCTAACGATGCCACCGTAGATCTGTACACGTCGCTTTTGGACATCGAGGAGGCGACCTTGCTCGACGCGGGTCAATACACATGTCAGGTTGTCTATTGGGGCGTGCAACAGTGTAAAAGCATCTACGTCGACGTGAGGGATGAGCCGGACGTAAAAGTCATGCCAATGAGCGCCACCATAGATAAAGTAACGCTGACACACAGTCTGTTTTGATAGAGCAACTAAAAATCAAACTCGAGTTACGCATAGTTACCAAATAGAGTCGATCATTTTCGAAAATACTTTTGCTTTTTATTCTTACAATTACTCTGTTACTGTCGCCTCAAGTGTTTCTTCTTTATCAGGGGAGCAGTATACAGTTGACGTGCACGACGCCAAACATGCCCAACATAGGAATAGGATTCAGCTGGACGAAGAACGGAGCCTTGCTGAAACTGGAACTCGGCAGCGAGGTGTGGGAGGATCTCTATCCTTCTGGAAGTATATTGAAGATCACAAACGCGCAGGTAGATGACTCATTGCCGGTCGTTTACGAACGGATACGTTTTACTAAAGTATTCGCACGTCTGTATCGTTCCGCAATTCCAGAAATCCGCGATATACACGTGCAACGTAGCGTATAACTCCATGTCCGTGCGCGTGGAAATCGTGAACCGAAACACGACACCGATTTGTGCGAGAGACGAATCGTGGGGTTTGAACTGGCCGGACACGGCGCCCGGGTCAGAGGCGTTGCTGGAATGCCATCCGCACTTTCGCGGCAAGAAGGTCTCGAGGCTGTGCTCGATGAAAGACGCCACCACGCCTGAATGGCAGACGCCTGACTTCTCTTCCTGCTTCTACAAACCCCTCATCTCGCATTACTACAAGGTGCTCGATCGATTTTTTCGTTCTTAATGTTTCCTGTTAACGTCACACGGTACGTCCAACCGGTAAAGCAGGTCAAACGTACACAGCAGGGCTGCATAAACTACGGCCCAGTAGCTTAAACTTGGCTATCACGTTTATTCCATTTCCTTTTGATATCGCAGTTATGGCTACTGAACCTGTTTGATATTGTGCAGTCCTGAAGGGACTTTTGATTTCTTGTTAAATTGTTGTGACATCACCTTCTGTACTCGCCACCAGAGGGCTACGCTTGTGTCTCTCTCGCAAGTGCTCCTCGACCGACTAGCCAATGTCCCGTCGTCTAAGGCAGGGCTTGCTAAAAAGCCTTTACTGATGGGTCTACTAACAGGCCCCGGGACGAAACGCTCCCCTCTGCTTTCCTTACTATCTTTCTCGTTACCTTACTAGCAAAGCACCACCACAATTGTTATATTATTATTCACCGTGTGCTCCCTATTGTTTACAGTTTAGAAGTCTGACGCTAGGCTACCAGAACGTAACTTGTTCAGAGACGATTTTTGCCTTCTGGGAGATCTTACGATCGCGCGAACTGCCCCTTTACCCCGGCGAGGGTGACCTTATTTTGAGACTGTTGGCGACGATCGAACTTTATCAGCACAAAATCGACCCGTTGGACACGCACGTTTCGACAGAGCCTTTGATACGCATTATCAGTCGAATATTAACGGACGAAAGCTCGATTTTGAGTCAGCAGGTAAGAGCCAGGCTCGATAAGTCGTCAGACATGAATGAATCATCTGTTTGTAATTTTCAGAAAGTGGTGCTGCTTCTCCAGATTACACAACGAAGCTTAATGCAGTGGTCGATACAAACGGCGCAACCTTACAAGCATCTGTCCCTACCTTCGTTGGTATTAGACGTTCAGGAGTTGCAACAACACAATGGCGACAGCATCACGCATTCTCTTCAAATCCCCGTAGACGATTCCATGTAATTATTACAACAAAAGAATACAAAGTCATCGGTAAACTTGTATCTTTTCACCAATTTTGATAGGCTCGAGTATGTTGTAAAGGGTGTTATTTCATGGGAAGTTTGCTAACCTGTTTCTAACTTGGCTGATCGTTCGTAGATACCCGAGTTGGTACGAAGACAAGGTGACCATACGATTGTGGAAGAAGCGCCACCGCGGAACGAAGACGAACAGCACCCTCAGCGGGATCGTGATCGTTTACAAAAATTTATCCAGCTTCCTTCCGACAGCGAACGTGAAGGAACTAGAGTGAGTGATTCAAATAACCGAGAGCTCGAAAGCTTGGTGTCTTCGTTCTTCGATTCGAAGGATTTGGTTTTACAGCGACGGGACGGACCTCGAGTTCCGCGTCAATTCTCGAGTCATCACGGTGGCGGTGCCCGCTTTCAATCTCGACAAGCACAATAAAATATGGGTGGACCTGCACGTGAAGCACGTACAGAATCAATCCAGCTCCTGGAAGGTGTCTTGCGGCCTCATGGACAACACAGGCGCCTGGGACTTGAACAGTTGCATCACCAATGTATTGCCAGGCGATGCTGTGACGCATTGCTTGTGCCCCAATACTGGGACTTACGCAGTTTTTCTAACGGCACGCGCGCTCAGAGTAAGTCTGATCAACGAATATCACTCTTTTTGAGTTAGGTCGGGGCATAAGTGACCAATATCTTAAAAACGACTCCCATATTGCAGCTATGTACGCTATAAAGACGTTTAATAACATTATATTGTTTAGGTAATATTAGCAAAGAAAGAACAAACCACGTTCATCGTGATATTCGGATGCGGTAGCTGCTTGGTGCAGTGTCTGTTGTCCTCTTTGATCCTTGGAACGTTCTGGTGGAAGAATCGTAGCTGGCTGAACTTCCTCAAGCTTCAGTGCTGCGGTGCTATGGTTGGTGCCATGTCCGTCTTCATGTATGCCGTACACAGTAATCTTCCCGAGGTAATCTGAATCACGTAAAGTTATCAGTTAGAGGCTGCCGTGCGGGGCAATAAAATGAAATATATCGTATATGGCGTAGCTTTATATCAGGTCGTTTGATTTCAGAGTTCGTACGCGATCGTAGCGATAGCGTTGGAGGCATTCCTGCTCGTTGGTTTGTCCGCGCCGATATCAGAAGCATTGATCATATACGCTGGCCTTACACAAGTCCGACCTAATCAGCACTTTCAACCTACCGTTATTGCGGTCATTACTGGTTTGTACGCGTTAGAAGGAGAATTAAGTTTCCTGTTGTACGTTCCATTTACAACAAGCTTTGATCCGACTTAGGCGTCCCTATCTTGGCCGTACTGACTACCGAACTCACGCACAAGAGTACCGGCTGGAGACACGAGTCCTGGTGGTTGATCCTAGGAAGCGGTGTATACAACATATTTGTAACTTGCGCCACCATGATGTTCCTTGTATTCGCGTTGCTGTACCTGGGGATTCTGCACAAGGCTCACGCTCTCGTCGAGGAGAACGTCATGAAAAAGGAGGCGATAGAAGCAAGGTAATTCAGACCGGACCGTCTCTACCAGACTTACCAAACCTAAATACTAAGAGTCGTCTTCTTTTCAGATTAAGAATGCTACACCGTGCCGCAATCGTCATATGCGGGGTCATCGCAATGGAGGCCTCTTCCATCTTCTACATAAACTCCACTTCTATTGTCTTTCACTACGTGTTTGCTTCTTTCTCATCCGTTTTGGTAAACTTCCGTTTCGGACGCAACTTTTATTTATACTCTTTTATATTTATACTCCTTTATCGTTGATTTTTTGTCAACAGGGATTCGTTATAATAATGGCGTACATCGTGAACGGCGACTTGGCGATCCTGGATTTGATTTTAAGGAAACTAAAATGGAGACAGGACCCGGAGGAGGAGATAACGTCCGAACCGATCAAAGGTATCACATAAAGGAAAGCTACCGAGTCGAATAGTACGTTGCGAACCAACGCTGAATTTTTACAATCGATGCTGCTCCGGGACCTCCAGGCGTTGGCTGTGTCTTTTTGAAGGTTCAATCAGTATTCGAGCAAAACATTTTTAACAACGAGAAAATTAAATAAAATACAAAATCGATAGTTAAAGTTACGAACTCTTTTTCTTGGCTACTCTGTATGAAGCTGACCTCGACTAAAATCCCTGTCAAACTATCGAAACATGCTTGCAGAAGGACGCAACTGGCGGCCGGATGCCTCGAGCAGCGTCGATCGTAAAAATTCGGGTCGTGAAAGTCTACGAGTCCGATTTAAGTCGTGTATGCTAAAGCTTTGTTTGCATCGCATGTGTGTAGTGTGCTCGAAGAACGGCGCAGAAGTAGATAACGACACGGCACCGCCTCCGTCCTCGTTAGGGATCGGAGAGTCTTATCTGGAGACTCGCGGGATCGCAGCCGGTAGTATAGACATGCGTGAGTTCGTGAACGAGTCTTCGTCCTCGTACTCGAAGCCTTCCGTCCCCGTTGCTGGCAGATTCCTGCCAGAGATACGAATCGACCACTCCGACGACATAAACCTCGAGAATTACAGCACCAGCCCGCGCAAGTACCAAGAGACGATGACGTTCGACGGCATGTACTCCGCGCGCACCACGTCCCATTGCCCCACCGATACTTACGCCGCCAACGAATGTTGCGGTTTTCGTGAGTTCGGCAAGTACCGCGATCCGCAAGGGCAACAAATATTCGTGCCCCTGAACCCGATACTAGAGAACCCGGCGAAAGTTCTGTGCAGCGCGGAAGTCGAGTCGCGTCTGACCGGAATGCCCGACGTCACTCTGGCCGTGAAGAGCGACATCGAGCTGCTCTCCACCGGCGAGATGAACAACAGAGAACACGTGAACGTTATACCGGACATAGCCAACACAACGGAACGAAAGCAACCGGACGGGGAGGAGAAAGCACCCGAGATCGTGATTACGAATTGCGAGGCTACAACCAGCGGTATGCTCGATCGTATTTCCCACGACCTTGACTATCTGTTGAACCGCACGCACTCTACAGACGGTACTTGAGCCTCGTCGACAGAGCCGTTTGCAGCGTCCAATAATTCGGTTAAATAACATGATCCGTGGAAATGCTTTAAGAAGTTTCGATCGATTTCTTAAAAGATTTCTTATTTTTTTTCTGTGAAACGCTGCTTTAAACTTTAAACAACTCCCGTTTTGGTAAAGGACTTTGTTCGAAATCAACGAGAGTACCCTCTTACTCCAGCTCAGCTATTTTGTACGTTTGTACGACTATCGTCGATTTATGTTTGTCAAGACCACTGTCGGAGTTACCGTAACCTTATTTCTTCGGATATCGAAACATCGATTTCATATACCGTAAATACATAGCGAATAGATACATTGATACTGGATTAAAGATTTCTTGATACAGTCCTGGCCATGGTCCGAGTCCTTATCTGCGTTTGTTTACGTTATTTAGCTTGTTTCGTCGGTCAATACGTATCTGTCTATTGATATCTGAAGAAATTTACGACCTTGCTATATCGCAAAGGCCGCAGTACTGTATATCAGATTGCGTAATAAGACCCGTCTGCACATGTCTCGAGATGTATTATCTCGAACTGCTTGTTTTTACTGCAATGGTTATACATGTTCCATTGCGTTAGGCCTGGACGTGCCTCTTCGATAACATAAAGGAACCTCTGCTGTTAAAGAATTTTGGATTTCAATTCCCGTCTTAGCGTTTGGGAGTTTCCAGAGACGTCAACTTCTACGCTTCATGAATGTGCAAGAATCGAAAAATATCTAATGGTAGGGGTGCGTGGAGTGAATTTCATTGATTTTGAATAAGGTCCTGATGCAAATGTAAACACAGAGAGATTCAAATCGACACGTGCATTTAAACAAATAAACGAAACATCGATAATTTAAAAAAAATGTTTATATTATCGTCATCGTTTATAATGTTGTTCAACGTTATATTTTATCGTGTAACGAAGATCTATCATTGTAAGAATGTTACATTACGCTTGCGGTGTGTTAAACTAAACAATTTGGAAAATTTACAATTACTCTTTGTTTACAAACACGTATACACTCTCTCGTCGGTCTGATTAATTGTTCTAAAACATCGATTATAAGAAGACTCTTTGTAAGGACGTTTTTTCATTACGCTCCATCCGTAAAAGTGTTTTACATCGAAGGCATCACGTATTTCTCCTTCTGCTATAAGTCACACAAATAAATTTTTTATAGAACACATCGTTTTCGAAATCGTATTACCCTACTTCCGTAAAAGTTGACACACGAAGTCGCACGATGGCAGAAATCGAAAACCGATCAGGAAGACAGGAGTAACAGATTCAATGAACGAAAAACAAATTTCAGGCAGTGGAATTCCGAGTTATAGTATTTATTTATCACTGTCATCGTACAGCTCTTTCATAATATCCACGATTCAGTCGTCGCACTTTTTTCTCGATTCATAATTTGAATTATAAAGCTATACATTTAATTTAGTTTGATAATCTACTTACATACTTAAGATCGAAGTTTATGTTGTTGGTAATAGTTTTTTTACCGCTAGTATGGTTAGTCGTTTGCTTAGTGAAATGCGTCACTGAAATTTATTTTACCGAGGTATGAAATTGGAGCAGTATTTCTTGGCCAAGCACGTGTTATAAATGCAAAAGACATAATAAGGTCGGTGTTAGTTTGTTAGCACTCGAATATACCTATATGACTAGTTTTCTGTGTCAACAGATTTTCTTAAAAATATAAATTATTTACAAAGATTTCAGCTAATTTTATCGAGATTTAATAATCTTGGTTTAATCACATCAATAATACCGAAGTATAGGAGGGCCGTGGCTGCAACAGATCACTATTTCTAAAACGAAAGAAAGAAAGAAAACCCGGTCTCTTCTTTTATTTCATTTTTCTGAACAAAAACCATACGGTAATCCGAATAAACGATTCAGTATGAATTACAACGTATTGAGTATTCAAGCAAAAATAAGTGCGGGGTTTGTAATCTGTCTTTCTCGTATTCATTATTTATTTTTTTTTCGCATTGCCGTACGATTAAACTAGATTCTGTGCCTAATAATTAAATCGTTCCTTCCCCTTCTTGATTTTCCATTTTAATCTGTCAATTTGTATATACAAAATAAATTTCTATGATACATTTCGTCACTTTGCGACAGAAGGTAATTATTTTATTTTAATTATTACTTCAAACAATTTATCCAAAGTTTTTTGTGGAAATTTAAAAACGTTTTTACTAGTAAAATGCCCTTTTTATCTCAGCCTAATAACAGATGACAATGATCAGACCTGAAACAGGTATAGACTGATTCATAATAACTAGACGCAGTTTTCATGATTTTTGCATTCGTAATCAACGTTCTCATTAGGTTGTACAGATTGTTCAACTGAAATCGTAGAGCACGTCCTTTATTTTCGAGTTAAAAATTACCTAATATAAAACCCTAGCTTCTGAAACTACCTTACGATTTAATAATAATAATTAAGAGATGATCATCGAATACATGGAATTTGATGTCGACACATCAAACAGTTCGTAAACAAAATATTATGATCTCGATAAAAAAAAATAATCAATATTCGATTATACTGCGTCAATGTTTAGCCTAGTGGTTTAGCCACGGCGCCCTTCTTATTCCATTTTTTTTTCTTTTCTTTTTTTTTTTTTTTTAAATCATTTAATTCCATTCTTTCTTCCTGTTTACTTAAATATAAAAATACATAGCCAGTCTATACATAGAGCGTGCAAAGTGGCACAGTGAACTGAGTTACCAGATATCCTGGATGGTTAACTACCGCTTTCAGTAGTATTCGTCGGTGGTTCAGCTTCGTCGTGACTTTTGCTCGTGTTACTCGACACGGGGAGACCTGAGGTTTTTGGCAGCGGGTTAGTTACACTATCACTATTGGATGTTGTCGCGTTATACATAGAATTATCAAAGTGTTGCAAGCATGGAAATTCTGGACCAGGCAGCAGTAAAGTAGTTTGGGTGGGAAGATTAGTTAATGATACCATTCCTGGTGTCATCAATTGCTTGTTAAAGCAACTCCTTAATGCCTCTTCGATTAAATTTCCTATCTTATCACGATCGTTCTAGAAAAAATCGTAGTCCCTTAAAAAATTTTGCTCGTGCGCACAAAGTAGAGTACTACGCGATATTGCATCGTGTTACAAAATCTAACGAATAATCAATGAGAATAATTACCTCGTTAATGAACCCAAAATGTACAAGTTCCTGCGCGAGAAGCATCGAAGTGTCTATTTGGCTCACAGGACACGTCAATTGCCTGTTCATTTTGTCGTCCATTCGTAACAATATTGTCATCTATAAAACATTTCAGACGTAAGGTAAACAAAAACGATTCCATCGCTGTATCTTACGATTAACTCTCGTCATGTGCTGTCTATCACTCACAAGTAATTCACAACTTTCTTCTCTAGGCTTTACGTTACACATCATATTAACTACTCTTCGAGACTCCACGTCCACTGGCTCGGGCGTAACCGATTTCACAGATTCGGTTACCTCGGGCGATATCGCTCTGGGTCGAACGGGCGGTGGTAGTTTCGCCATAAATGCTGTCAGGGGGTATATTCCGTATCTGTCGACAGAGAAGATCGTCGGTATCGTTAACGGACGAAGATCATCGTCAAAAACTCACCCGACACGACGACGACGTACGATCGTTTGTTTATACTCACTTTACATCCTCGACAAACTTTTCTAACTTTTCCATAACAGGAATCTCGTTTAATCGAATTTGTTGAAGCGGTCGACCTTGATATTTTATTTCGGCCACTATCGTGTCAGGCCCGTATAGCCTTTGCAACACCTCGTCCGTTATTGTTTCTGAAATGTTAGCTGCAAAGGCAAAGAAACAATCGGTAACTTTCGACGAGCCTTCTCTCGGTGTACTATTATTACCACGACAATCGCTGAATTATTTACCATCGTAGAAACGAGAAAAAAAAAAAACTACAAAACTAAAAATAGTAAAAAAAACCGCTGTATCTATCGAATGGAATATTTCGTGTCGTGGAATAGCGAAAGATAAGATAAGGGAAACATTGTTTAACTTACTGGCTGAATTAACCAATGCATGAGCTGCAAGTAGCTTCAGCGAGTGTACTTCGAATAAAACAGGATGAAAAAGGAGCTCCCTCGCGCTCGGTCTACTAAGAGGATCTACTTGAAGACATTTCCGAATGAAGTCTTTCTGTTGGGCATCGTCTAAAGATTCTATCGTTTTTCTAACGTTCTCCTCAGTCACGATTGTGCCGCTATCGCCGTTTCCTTGAATTTCTAGCGCCGCCATTTCCAAAGCGCACATTCCAAATGAATAAATATCGATAGCTGGGTTCACAGAATCTGGAATAGAAGAGGCAAATTTTCCCAAGCTTAAAGAAACGTTCATTCTAACATTTGAATCCATTCATTTTTAAAGACAACATTTTTACAGTATATACTGATTTTTATATTTTAATAAATCGCAGTACTTTATAACGATCACTTACTTCCATATTCGGGTGCTACAAAATGCATGTTCTTCATGTTTGCTCTACAAGTTTTAACATGATGATGGATTGCGTCAGGAGCCACTGTAATTAGGAAAAAAAAAGAATGTCACTGCTTTTACAAACTGTGTTCCCGCCAACAGAAATATTATATATATATATTTATATGAAAGTATTTGACAAGCAATGCGTTAGAAAACTTCCTGTAGGAGGCAGCAGGAATTCTATGAATCTTCCTGGTACAAAAATATGTATGTATATATATATAAAAAAAAGGGAATACCAGTGATTCAATGTCTTTTCGTTCGAATACCCGCCACCTCTGCCGTAACAAGTAAATTAATAAACCTCTAGAAAAATTGCGTTGTAACTGAAAATTTATCCTAAGAGTAACTTGAGCCCTCATACAGTTAATAATTTTTCACATATACATATGTAAGTACAAAAGTGCCTCTGGATAGGGGAAAAAACAATTTGAAAAACATATTATATGAAGTACAAATAATTATTTTACAAAGGTAACAACTTAAGTATTTATTTTTGGACTGGTCACATTTTAAAAGGCACTTTCATGGACAGTGGTGACAAATTTTTAGCTAGGAAAATGGAATTCGGGGAGTTCATTTTATTGGTGATTCGAGGGAACAAAAAAGAAATATTAAATACAATGTAAATGCGTGCGCTAGATGGCTTAGAAGGGCCAAGAGACATACAGACGCTTCGCCCTTCCTCGTTGTAATTCATTAACTCGAGAAATGAATAGTGCAATGTAAATGGCACTAATGGTATTAAACTAAAGAAACATTAATATTTCATATTAACATATAACCACTCTACCAATAATTAAGATGTAGATATATATATTTATATATACATATACATACATAAATGGGAGTGTTTACCTCATTACGACTAAATTACTTAGCTGGCAATAGTCGTCGATTATCTGCCAAATGTAATTCCTTCAAATTCATCATCTTTTCACAATTTACACCAACCGAAGAACGTCGATGTCGCTTGAGTTATCCTCTGGACGGGCGAAAGTACGACAGTACTTCCTCTCTCTCGTCGAAGACTTTGCTGTGTGTTTTTCATTATCTAGATTAGCCTATCTGCTACAATTAAAAACGAGGACTCAAGTTACTCCTAATATGTAAAAGCAGTTTACACACAATCTTCCTAACAGATTTATATTACTAATGGACGCATACAAAAAAAAGAAAAAAAAAAAAAAAGAGAACTAGAATAAATATAAACACAGAAATAATGATCGCATGAACGGTTCTGAACCAACTGATTCAATTAAAATGGAGTGATACAAGCACATTGAGTTTCCAGTAGAGTTATCAGGGATATCCAGTAGAAATAATATTCATCTGCCATGTCGTTCATTAATCTTATTGTAAGATTCAATTAACGTTATCTCGTATAAGAACGAATACATTACAACATTGAATAAAATTTTCTTTATAAGACGTAACTGAATCACACCCTCCTTTCACGCATTATGATCTTTTATAACAGAGCATTTTTATCAAATTATTGATATTGCCCAGTTTAATATTAATTAATAAATGTTACATTATCTGCCGGACAGAGATTAATTTTGTAATTGTATGAAACTTATTTATTACTGTCGATTGACTTATCGTAACAAGGGCCGAAGAGGCAATCGCAGTAATAGCAATATACGTACTTTGCTTGTACCCCGTGTAACAACAAAATAAATACCAGTTAGGTCACAGTTGTAATTTCAACTTCACTGGTTGGTCGATTAATAATCCTATATTGTGATTTTTTTTTACTTTTCTTCCGTGAAAATTATGAGAAACAAAACTATTAGCCTCTCATAGTCCTGTGAATAAAAAAAAGGGAAGCGCCTTGCAAACTCCTATTCCAATGTATGCTAAATAATTTCATATAGGAATAAATGCTCTCTTGAATTCCTACGAGTAGCTATATATTGATACTTATTAACAAAGTATTTTGGTATATAAAGTACATGTTCATTAACACTGTATTCTCTTGGATATTAAATCTCTTCCACAAAATGAAAAGTTTTTTTACATTTTGCCATGAAAGTACTTACCTGAGCCAATTTTCACAAGCCCGTTATGTTGTATAAATATAGTGTCACAAGTAAGATTTCCATGAATAATGGGAGGTGAACAGGAATGCAAATAACTGAAAATTTTTTAAATACATTAATGCACATATAATGTAATCTGAAGGTACAAAATTGTTACAAGTTAAGAGATATTCAATTAATACAAGAAACTAAATTACCTCAGAGCTGATAAAATTTGGGTACACCAACGTTTCCATGCTTGCAGGGGCAATTTTTTCACATTACGCTTTGTTCGTTTTAGGAACTGTTTTAATGACCCAGAGGACATATACTCGGTTATAAATATAACCTAATAGATAATATAAAAAACATTGTAAGCAATATTCAAAAGCCAGTATAAAACTGGAAATAAAATTCCATTCAATGACTCACTCGAGGTTTATCATTGTGAGTATCCGTCCAATACCTATGAAATTTAACAATATTAGGATGTTCTAATTGTGTAAGGTTCTCAAATACAAGTTGTATTTTTTCTTCTTGTGCTTTGAAGTTTTTCCTTTCTGAAAATTGCACCTCATTCCAAACAACCTCAACACCTTCCTCTGTATCCATTGCCAAGTAGGCACAGTCGATTCCTGGTACATCGCGTTGCTCCACCTAAATAACAAATATATGTGAAAAATATTTTACGTTATTTTTACCTGATTAACAAAATACTTAAATAATTCAAATCTGCGGCAAAAAATGCAAAAAGTTAGTTTATTTATAACTTTAGTTTACTAGTGTACTATATACATTAACGTTTATTTACAATGTACAAAAGCTATACAGAGCAAAACTGAAACCAGACTATTAATACATTTTAGGGATCTATATGTGGCGTAACAGAATATATTACTGCAATCATCTCATTTTAAAGTTACTTGAAGCACAACTCAACAATTTCATGCCTATTTGCCATTACATCAATGTGACCTTGGAAAGAATTTAAGGAGGGGAGATAATTCGGAGTAGGGATTGTCATTATAGGTAATCATGACAATGTACTACGTCAAAGTGACAAACACAATGACCCACCCCATAAATTTATGTTATACCTTTTGATTAAATATTTTAATACATGGAACAAGATGCATAAAACAGAAGAGATAGCCTATTTTTTTTTAAATAGACATACCTCCATTTCAGTGACTTCGTTTTCACTGCCTCTGGCTGCTCCGAAAGTAGAGCCTTCGGCTAACGTGGACTTGGAACCTACATATACCTAACATAAAATAATAGTTATTGAACAACAAATACACAAACGTTTCTTTTACTTTTACTTTGGTGCTACTCGTCTTGCACATTGTTCACAACACAAATGTTAACATTCTAACTCTGAAATAAACGAATCTTTAATACATAAAATATACATCAAGCATTGTAGACATAACATTAGTCTACCCTTGGTTTCTAACAATATTACATGTTTTACAACTGTAGAGGACATGTTAGAACAAAATAGTCTTGTATTAATGTAAGTAGCCGATGGTCCAACTATGCCAATTTATTTTTAGGATGAAATATGAAAGAGATTGCCGTCTGTAGAAGCTTAGTGCCAAGAAGTTGTTGGAGATCAATCTACAGATAATGCGTATTATATTGCACTTAATGTTTACATCAAAGTTTGTATTAATGATCTGCAAATACTTTTCATCAACAGAAACAAATTCTAGTATTGTCATTCTAATAATTCTAAACGACTTCAACTAAATTACAAATAACATTATCTCAGATTTCTTCCTTTAACTTTTAATACCAATAAATGTTACAGTCAAGAATTAAGAACAATTTAATTGTATATATATGTATATATGCATATACACATATATATATATATATATATATATATATGACATCAAAAATTTTCAATTTTCCCTGCAAGATTCATTATTGACTGTTTTAATAAACAAAATATTTAACAGTAAATTCCAATTTTTTGAATACAAAAAATAATTATAAAAGCCATATTCAGGCTAATGCCAATGCTTAATTATCTTTTATGCTTCGCATCACAAATTGTACCCATACATGTACCAGTATTCTATGGAAACTATGTTCTTGCAGACAAATAATTAGTTGCAGAGAGAAACGATATCTTCTTGTCATTTCTTTCGCAGAAACAACACTCCAAATGGTTACGACACATACAGAAAATGTACACGTCGAGCGATTTTGGATCTGTACAAACTGTGACAAACCAAATTCAAACAAGTGAACAGATGTGAGATATAAACAAATATCGTAAGCGCAGAAAGAAAATGAGAAAAAATAATAAGAAACGAATGTACCTCTTCCCGGCGTTTGAGCCACCGCCCGCAGGGGCTCTCTTCCAGGATTTCACTCTCATCCTCAGAATCTTCACCACTTTCCCGCGGTGACTTGTGCTCTGGGTCCGTGCTGGAGCGACTCCCGGGCATCACACACGCGATTAGTTGAAGGAGCAGCACCGAACAGAGCGCAACGCGGCCAAACTCATTGGTGGTAATTTTTCGATAGTGTTTTTCCTTAATGTTGCATTATTTTGTCGACGAATACCCTCACGCAAACGCGTAAACGATGAACAGTAACTAACAATCAACGTCGGGAACGAGTATGATCTGGCAACCAACAGCAGCAGCACTCACAGTGACACATGCAGCGACAACCCGAGTTGCAGGAAACCCGAGCTGCGATATTTCTGATCTTACGCGGTCACGCGCACGGATCCACGCTTTTTGGTTTCCCTCAGGACTTGGCCGGTGTACCAGACATCGCGCGAGTCACTCGTTGACCACACTGTCAAAATAAAAACCTCTGTTATGAACGAAATAGGTTCGATATGACACACACTCTGGTATTCATTTTCGCTCTGTCTTCGGTCACGTTCGCCCAGTATGGCGATCACCGTGCACCGCACCCTTTTCGGGCCAACCGCATCGCCACCTTTAGACCGTCGTTACAACTACGTTCTTGAACTTATCGGAAAACGTAACACACACGTTCCGCTGGACCGACCACGTAACGAATTGCACGACGCACACGGCGTCTTATATCGTTATGTAGTTCGTGCCCGTCCAACGATTATCCACGCGATACGAACTGCCAGAAATGCGATTGAATGGTTGAAAATTTATTCTTGAACCGCATACACGTCGTGACAATTATTTTAACGGATTAATTTAATCGTCTCCTTTATATTTCTGAACTCAGAGATACATATTAATATGTATCGTATACGAAAGTGATCTTGAAGTGCGTCGCACAAACGAACTTTCAAGACGACGTACGCGTATTTACTGCGTGGTTATTGTTGATTCGATAGTTGATTCTGTTTGTAACGCTTGGTTACGATTAACGCGATGACGTCCATTAAAACGTTGCCTCTAGTGGAAGGCGCAAGATTAATTGTTCTTGACGAAGGTGCGATACTATTTTGTTTACGGAAGAAAGACACGCGTGTTGTCAGAATTAAATTTTTTTAAAAATAGAAGTGAAAAACATTTCACGGTCTTACATTTCTGATAATATTACTTCGAAATAAATGTCAGATTACCCGAAATAGCTGCAACCGTAAATAATACGATCGTTTAATTAAATCGTTTTCGTTTTGAGTACCGCTAAAAAAAAAATGTAGCGATTAAAGGGACTATTTGTATGTGTATATTTCAGGAGTAGACGCGATGTATGCGAGAAAATTAATCGCAGGATGGATACAAATGTGGAAAGATAAAGATCGTAGTCACACTTTCGACTTATTATTATTTTCGGATCCGAAGTCTACGTACCAACATGAACCTGAACCCTTCGTGTCAAGTAACGTGAACATATGCGACTATTACACGATCGATATACACACGGTTGACATAAATGCTATTCACAAGGAGGACTTTGATATCCTCGAAGATATTTTAAAAACTACAGAGGTAAAATCCACGGTAATCGTCGACTGTTTAACGTCTTTAATTTTATTTGTCGGTCTGTCGAAAGCTTTATGGTTCTTAGAAAGATTAAGTAAACAAGTACAACAAGTAATTTGCATTTATAGACGAAACTTTGTACAAAATAAAATACCGTGTATTCAAACGTTAGGTACCACGTACGTAAGAATAGAAAAGTCTCCTGGTTCGCGAACAAATACTAGTTTTAATTATATGGTAGAGTTTATACATCGTAAAATAGGTGGTACAATTTTACGACAACGGGAGATAGTGAATCAAAATAATATATCTTATGAAATTCAATCTGAGAAAATCGAAACGCATGGTAAAAAGTCAAATTCCGTGTGCGAAAATCATAAACAAACAATAGAGTCTTCGTTTAGAATAGAAATGAACGAAAATGAAATGAAACAAAGAAAAGAAATGGTGTTACCATATACGTTTAATGTAAACACAACTAACACGTCTAAAATTCATTATCAATCGGAAGATATAGACGATATCGACGAGGAAGATCCAGATGATGATTTATGTATTTAATTTACTGCTATATATATACATAATATTAGGAGGGATTTATGATAAATTGCAAATCACTGTATATACACAATGTATCAATGATATCGACGTTTTAAATAAAATAATGTAATTTATATTTATCTTACATTTCATATAGTTTCTCAATGGTCATGTAGGAATAATATATATTTCGTCGAATAAAATCGTCCTTTGAAGAATGCTTGACACAAGAGTTTTATTAATGAATTATACCTTAACATTGACAATAATTTGAAATCACCTTCTTTGTTGATTTAACAATTGCATAAACCTAAAAAAATAACTCTGTACAAAATATTACTTCCACAGGGAAACTTTCAATACTGTGCATGAAATTGAGATTTAAAAATAGAATGTTAAATGGTATTGTTCATCTTTGGCATGTTTGCATCAGTTGTGTTATTACCATATTACTTTCTTATAAGACATTCGATTGTATAATAAAATATATATCAACTACACTTATAGATGACAAAAGCACAGCCCACGAATACAGAAGAGATTCTTTACAAGAAATCTCAAAGAACAATTCAATGGTTTTATAACTAAATGTGTCAGAATAAATTATAACATAGAAATCTATAAAGATATGTAAAGATTTTATGATAAAATAATTTGATACTAGGAGTAGTTTCGGGTACCGACGGATCCCTATTCGGTAGATTAAAAAAATAAATAATCTTATCGCCATACTACACCACAATCTAAAAAAGGAACATATAAAAAAACCTATAAAAATGAATCTAAATTATTCGCATTTTGTTCGAAACATTTCAATTAGGCATTGAAGGTATAAAGTAAATTCTGATCGCAAAAATGATGATTGCCATCGATGTGCTGCAATACTCTACTTTCTAACAAGGAACGACCGTATAAAACGGCTTCGTTTCTAGTTTGTGCAACGCCAGCGTCGAGTAACCAATTAACTAAATCAGTTCCAGTGAAAACACCTTTATATACCGTTAACAAACGTCTACGACATATCGCTATGCGAGCACGACATTCAGCTAAATGGGAATTACTAAATTGCTCCCGAATGGTTTTTGCTTCTGTACTTAGCTCATCCTCTGTAGGAAGTTGCAATTCTTTCCCTATAAGCATTAAAATTTATATTGCGTATTCGGTTTATAACATTATTAAAAACAATTGAAAATAAATACAAGGTAACGAACGATTTTACCAGCACGCCATTTATGGCATATTTTTCGCAGCCAGCATCCCAGTTTTCCAAGGCCAGGATCTAATCCGAAGATAGCAAACGCAATTAATGACTGGCCAAAGTTTAGGGCAACATCGAAGAACGCCAGTTCCGCATAAACTCCAGTAATTTGTTCCGTAATTAGTGTTCCAACCGATATAGATAGACCCTAATCGCAAAATGTTGTATAATATTGATTGGCTTACACAATAACTTTGGATTAACGAGCGCGAATGGAATGTTCCGTTGTTTACTTACAATAAGCATAGAACATAAAAGTAAAATGAGGAACACAAGATGTCGAAGTATTTGTGGATCATTTGCTGCATTTCTTTCATATTCATCATCTAAATACAAATCGCAATCGTTGACTTCGTTATAGTTACCTCTACACACTCCGGTCGGGCAACCGTTTGAATATTCGCAGCCAATACTAAAATAATTAATTAGTAGCAACGTGATCGTAATAATCATAAATTTTTGTGCAATTTACTTACATTGGAGTATTAGAAGTAGATGAAACGAGATCTTCAACATCGACTATACGTCGTTCGGCGCCATCGTCGGTAGAATTTTCCATGTTATCTGGTAAATTATTGTAAGATGCCGAAATATGTTGCCGTTGATACCTCTGTTGTAAAACTAAGCAGCCCAATGTTACTATAAAAGACAAAATGTATAATTTGAAAAAATCGTTCCGTATTATCAATTTGGTACGCTATCAATTGCAAACGTACCAATAAAACAAAATATTAATAAAAGAGTAGAAATTGCTGCTTGAATTCTACCAAACTGAAAATTAGGGTTTTTATACTCAAGTTCAGAGTTTCTTGGAGTTAATGTACTGCACATTATAAACACTATTAAAACTGGGAGCCTGTAAATGTGTATAATTTACAGCTATCTCACATAATTTTAATTATGGAAATAATTATTATTTTTGTACATACCCCCAACCAATAAAGAAAAACCATTTCTGCATATTTTTAACAAAGTTCAAAGATTGGGAGCTTAGATATAATAAAGTTGCTGCTGTTGCCATTGTCCACATGCGACTTACATATACTCCTGTAGTAATTAAAATGAACTGGATATACCTAATACAAATTGAAATTATAGTAAGTAGTACAGAACGTAAATAAAATAAAACGATGAAAAGTAAATTACCATAAAATTGATCCGGTACTATGCATTTCAAGTTTTGTCCAAATAACCACACCTATAGCTGTAGCTAACTAAAATTATAATTTTTACATATACATTTCAAATATGCATTGTATACATTTCAAATTATCATAGGACATTAATACAAACCTGTGCAATTACAATACATAATGTACATCGATGAGTAACACATTTGTATTTTTTTCTTTCCAATACAATGAAACAAATTATCAACCAAACGCAAACCATTATCGAAGCAATGCTTACATCGAAGGAAAACATATTTAGCTGATGCGTATAATTTGTTGGGGTAGTTTCAGTCGAAACTGCATCAATTAGTTTTGCTGATACAAACATAAGCGGAGCAGATAAGAATGTACAAGCCACCATTGCTGATGCAATTAAATCAATTTCAAGGTTATATCGAAGAGTGAAAATAAATAAAGCCGGGGCTGTTGGAATAGTACCATACAGAAATCCGTATGTACTTAAATCTTGTGTATCTGTAGCATTTTCTCCAGTATTTAGAAGAATAATAGATTCTCTTATAACCAATGGAAGAACCAACAATTTCACCGATATTAATATACCTGGTATCACAAGGGCTATACCTTTTAATTTGTGTATTTTGCCAACCATCATTAAACCCAACAGAAAGAGAGCACTGGCTGAGAAAGCATTACCAAATACATTTAGAACAGTAGCAAGTGCACATGGTACTTTATGACTGGAAAGAAAATTTCCAATAATACCAAGTATTGTCATAAAAAGTACTGGGTTAAATGCGATTCCCTTCACTATAGAATAAACCATGTCCTTATAGCTCCTATGGTTTTCGTTATTGCGTTTGCCAATTTCCAATAACACAAAACCAATTGGGTTTAAAATAACCAACGATATAGGTGCCATTAAATACAGATATGCAGAATATTCTGGATGTGTTTTACCATATATTGCATCAACTATAAAGATTCATTACCAGTTATGCAACATTATTAATAGCGTGTACGACATACTCTATATTCTACTTACTCATGGGATATCCGATAGCAAAGTCGTTGCTCTGTGTGGTAAATATTGCAAAAAGTGCAGCACACCCTGGATTTGATGGTCTTTTAATAACTAGAGATACACTTAGTACGATCAAAAATACACAACTTTTGGCTAATAATACAGCAAGCAAGAATTTCCAATTTACTAAAGTAAAATCAAGTTCTGCTAGTGACATAAAAATTAAGGATGGCAGAGCGAATGTGCCTACAAAAGTATTCAGGCCATTTGCTTCTGTTTTTGTAATGACATTGAACCTTCCAGCAATATACCTGAAAAGTATATAATTTAATATATCATATACAAACTATATCTAAACTTGTAATAATAAAATTTACCCGCATAATATAATAGCAAAGCATTGTATCAATGCAAGATACAAGTTATCCATTGGTTGAGTTTCCATTGTTATAAATTTATACGTTGCTTTCAAAAGAGATACGACCACTGAAATTTCCTAATTCCTATAAATATAAATTATACATCAAACGTCAATTTATGTTTCTGTAGTCTGAGTAAAAACAACAATTTGATACTTTCTCATGTGTATACGTTTGCATCATAATTATTCATAACATAAAAATTGTCATCTTTCAAATATAATTTTATTGTCCCAAAATGGACATGTACATGGGTGAACATTATACAATGTTAACTTCATGTCAACTTCATCCTTGTTTTAAATATCTTGCCTTCATTTATAAATCCTGAAATTTTGAAAATACTTAAGTATACCGTTTGAAATAGCGGGTGACATATGTTCGTGCATTATACAAATTACGTTGGAAATAAAAACACGGTACAAAGATCATTAATATCAGTCGTTAGAAAGTGTGAAGAGCAATTAATTTTGAACATAACAATAAACATTGCGCAACGCGTACGGAAACTTACACTTATCGTGAATTACTGCAAATATTTCAAACTTGTTCAACGTAATAATTATCTTCCGTTCGCTATACAAAATAAAAAGTACATACAAAAATCGCTAAAAATCTATTCAAGATCATAAATGATATTATTATCAAATTAACATTTACCTTGTATACGTTACGTATTGAAATAACTTTCAATCTTATCCGAATGTGTGCAGTATCGATAATTCTTCGCTGATTCATCTGATTGGTCGGTTCATGTCACGAGCAGCGTCGTTAGACTGCTGCAATTTCTTGCATGTAGCAGAGAAAACGACAACAGAGATGTGCTTTCAATAAATAAAGAAGAGCGTCGTATGGGCCCTTACTTTTTGTTTCTGAAAATTATTTAATAGTTTAGTAAATCAATAAAGACCGTGACATAAAATGAATTAAAATGCATAGAAGTTTAGTATGTATGTGTTACGTATGTAATGCGTAAGTTGCGTAGTTTCGATGAGTGAAACTTACGAGATTGTAAAATGTTGACAAATTCTTCAATTTCCTGTTTCGCAAATACACTTGTTTAACGATAAAAGTGCACTTATGTCGATCCAATGGAAGGTCTTGCACAACTTCAAGGTCAATAAGTATATCTTATAATAAAGCAATTAAATGATTTGTAGTATAAAAAGCAATGTTGTGTACAACAAAAGGTATTGATAATTTGCTTTTTACGCATTTTACTTTGTCTATATGCGATAGACAGTTACTCTCATTACTGAGGCTTTTATTATAACCATTCATACTTTTACATATGCTTAACTGTTAATTATTGCTTCATTAAGTCTGTTTTAATTCGTATACAGTACTATTTTCTAGAGTATTTTCTACAGTACTAATAACTATTTTCTACGGGATAACGAGGTATTCAACTTTTAAAGTCGTATCACTAAGCCACGAATTTTGGAAGTTTCTATTTACTTGTTTCTTAATAGTCTCTTTTGTCTCATTTATATCTATAAATGAAAGACAATGGTGATAATAATAAATTTATTTGAAATCTCTTAATCTATCTCGCGCGTTAATCTTATGGCTTGGGGCCCGCCAAAACTGTTTCTGGTTTTCATGACGTCAAGTATATACGTTACTGTATTCTTACGCATGCGCGAGAAATTGCGACAGACCTAATAATGGTCGTGGTTGTGAGCCTCGACGAACATCGAACTTGTTATACCGAAAAAATTATGGTAACATTCGATGAAAAATTCTTCAAAGTAGATTTAGAATCAATATAATCGTTGACAAATTCGATAACCTTAGACAAACCTCTTCTGTTATATTTGACTTATATTGAAATTAATTGCTCGTTAATCTATACGTAAAATCACCAATTATCAATTAAATAAATTTGAGTAGGGCGTAGTTTTGCATTTGTTGCTAATATCAAGAGCTAAAACTAATAGATACATTATATATGTATATCATATTGCGTCTGATCAATGAACAAATCAATGCAAACATACTCTAGTTTCTTTACCGTTACGTACAATATACGAATGTACGTCATATTATACGCACACATAAGTCTAACAATAAGCACTACGCCTGAAACGGTAAAAAATGTTCTTATACGAAATTTTTTTAATTATCTATATCGACAAGGCGTAATTGGTTAAGATTATTGTCAATAGGTTATCAATGATGATAAAACTTATCGGAAAAATATGATCCCGATAGACTTTGAACTGACGCAAAACGTATGATAAATATTTTTACAGACACGGCGTATGTTTGTAATTTGGTTAATGTTGCTTTTAAAAACAGGGAAAAATTAACGCTTTTTATGCAATATGTATGTATATCGATCAGTAATTTGGACAAAAAGTTTCGTGTATACCGATACCATTTTGTACAATATGTTTTAGATTTACTTTGATAGCATATAGCTACGCAGTTTGGCTAAAAAATTGTATGAATGTATTTTATAATTCGTACGAAAAATAAGTGCTACATAAATCATTTCAGGATTAATGTTCATTTACACACGTGTGAATGTATTTACATAGATACATCTCACAATACTAATACTCAGAAAACGTGACAAAGTGTATCTTTACGTCACTGACCTCCATGAATCATACATTCTTACACCTTGTGCAACCGTGTATATGTTCGCAACGTACAAAGAAACGTTCTCGATAAACATTTCAGCCGATCCGTCTTGTAATATATCGATCGAAAGGTTAATAGAAACTTACATATGTACTTTGAGAATGTAGATATACAGGAAATATTTCATTTCTTTAAACTTACTATTTAAAAAGAATATTCTATTATGAATTTTTTTGCTCGTTTGTAGAAATGAAAAAAATGTACGATTCATCTATAACGCAAAAATCGTTTCGCAGGAAAAAATCAATGAAGGAGTTATAACTGCCAGTACAATTGTCTGAACTATACACGTTGATTATCTTAGTTGTCTAATCAATTTTCCTGAACAAATAACATTACTGCGTTGCAACTTCATTCTAATCGGAACACATATGTACATCAAAGTCACATTATAATCACGTGGCCGATAGTCAGTGTATTTAACGTGTACTATAGTACTAATTGCAGAGATATACACATGGTATGTATGCATGTTCACATTTTTATGCGAACTTGTATTGCTTTGAATTATCCGTGACGTCAATTGATTCACTAATCAACGTTCGAATCCCAATAGGATTCCAGTTACAAAGAAATGTCGGATCTTCCTAAAGTACGTTTTCAAGGTCGGTAAAAATAGCACGTTTAATGCATACGGAGTGAACGAAGGGCGGGATAAACCTCGAGTCCAGGTATACCCAGTTTTTCTTGGAAATTGTACTAATTGTGTTAGTGTTTCCGAGAACGTAGTCATTAGTCATCGTGACGTTATTCGACTCGAAGCTAAGCTGACGTAACATTTCGATACTCAAACAGCTGGAAGACCGTACAATTTTCATAGGCGTGACGCCTTCCACCAATCGTATTAAGAATAAGTAATGCCATTACTTCTTTCGATTCTTTTTACATTATACGTTATCTTTAACTCTGCAATTTCCGTTAAAAATGAATCGAATCTAACATGAAATTTCTGTTCTATTCAACAGAACGTGTCTGTTGATTGGACGTAAAAAGTTGTCGGATAAAACGCGATAACGTAGTCACGATATACTTGGCAATAGATAAGAAAATCAGCACTCTGGTTTGTTTACAAAGAAAGAGGACTCGCGCAAACCGCGTCTTCTAAACTTTGCATGAGAGTAGCGGTCACATGGTGACCTATCAGAGAGTGGGTAGAGGGCGAGGGAGGAAGAGGGGCGATAAACTCTGAACATATATAATCTTCCCGCTCACGTTCCACCACCCAGTTCTGCTTAGATTCGGACACGTGAATTGTTTGTTTGGTGCGCTCATTGTATGGGTAAGTTATACACTGATTTTTAATTTTTATTTTCGTTTCCGTCTTCCGTGTCGAAAATTGTCATAGCAAATACGATCCGCATTCGGTCACAAAATGAATTCTTTATTCCGAATTATTTTCCCGTGTCGTATATTGAACATCTTCTACTGCTCGTTCGGAAGGGAAACACTTTTCGCTTCGAGCATCGCATATTTCCGACATGATTCAGTTCATTCAATGACGTAACGAACGGTAGGCACAAAGTTTCACGACGATGACATTGTTTCGGGAGACCGAATCATGGATGCACGAAACAAATGTAAACAGAAATATTTCAAGTGTCATCGATGTTCAGGTGCGTGTATACGATTTAAATTTGAAACCAGTTTTGTTTCAGTATTTTTTTGTTTTGTTTATGCTTATACAATCATCTTCGTTTCGATGATTACTTTGGGTATATTCCTAGCAAACGGCCCGTTCACCGATCGGGGTGAGTTATACGTCATTCGATTCGTCTAATTCAATACATTATTGATATGCATTTCATTATCTGCGGAAATTCGTTATTTTTTTATAAACTTGTCGTAAAGTTACAGTAAAAAAGTAAGGTTAAGTATATTTTGACAAGTCCACAGGTGGAAACAAGTGACTGTCGTTACTCTGTTCAAAATGCTAGATAGTCAAATGCTAATTTGTTAAACATTTATTGAATGAAATTTCTACTATTTCTGCTAATATTTCATTGAATAAATCACCATTTTTCTATTAGGTACATTTACTAAATACATAATGGCTCAGGCATTCAATGAAGTTACTCTTCTTAAAAATATAAAATATTGATAGTATTATATGTTATAAAAAAGATTAAAAAATGTGTAGCATGCCTCCAAGTGGTTTCAATTTAATTCGTGTAAGCATCGGTAATGGGATCTTCAAAACTGACGCTGTGATTAATTTTCAAGTGACGTTTGTGATATTTTCGATGACAAAATGTTGATTCATCAATCTCGACAATCTACTCTACTCTTCCAATTGCTGAGCAGTATTTTTATTTAATTTTAGTTATATAATAATATGACATTGCTCATAATTATATGTTAGTATATATGTTAATTTTAAAACATCTATAGCTGAGTTTGTTTTTAGAAAACCACGTTCTTTGCTTTGCAAATATCTTTATATTACAATGTCTTTTACGTTTAGTTTGATTGACAGATCCTGGAATAGTTATCCTGCATTGCCAATTTTCATAACATTTCCACATTGCAGATAGTACAAGAAACAGAAGAAAAGTAGAAATTGTTTCAGTAATCATTTGTTTCAACTGTTATTTCTGATTTTCTTCTATTTCTTGTACTTTGTGAATTTTGTTCAACTGTGCTATAAAAATGACCGAATTAGTAGTTCCAGAAGAGTGGACCTTATTTAAATTGCACGAATTTTGTAAAAATAAAGAAGCTTTATTAAAATTTTTGCAAGATAAAAAGTTGATTGCCAAAAATCTTAATTGTCCACAGTGTGGAAACGTAATGAAATTAGACAATGAAAATTGGCATTGTAGAAAAACAATTGCAGCATCTCTTAGTGCTTGCAAACGAAAACGAACTTGTGATGTAAAAATATGTGTAAAACGTGGAACGTGTTTTCAAAAATAAAGCTTTCTTATGAAATGGTATTAAAATTAACTTACATGTTAGTCCATAATTTTGATCAATATCAGATTGTACGAGAATTACAATTGAATAAAAATACTGTTTCTCAATGGAATTATTTTGTAAAACAAGTTATGACTGATTGGCTACAACATTCATGTGAAGTACTTGGCGGACCAGGCAAAATAGTAGAAATAGACGAATCTAAGTTCGGACGAAGAAAATATCATAGAGGTCATCGTGTAGAGGGACAATGGGTTTTTGGAGGAATAGAAAGAGGAAATGGAAAAATATTCCTGGTGCCTGTTGAAAGTAGGGACACAGTCTCCCTGCTTTCAATAATTAAACAATGGGTGTTGCCTGGCACAACAATTATTTCAGATTGTTGGAAAGCCTATAACATCTTAGAGAAAGAGGGGTACAAACATCTTACAGTAAATCACAGCTTACATTTCAAAGACCCAGAAACAGGTGCTCATACAAATACGATAGAAACTACGTGGAGGCATAGTAAACACTTTTTGCCTGAATATTGTCGGTTAGTATTTGTAATTTTGCAAGTTTTTTAATATTTTCTGTAACATACAATACCATAAAATTTTCTATTTTTAGCAAAAAAGATAATTTCATTGGGTATTTAAGCCACTACGTATTTTACAAATTTTCCAAGCAAGGAAAGAATGATTTATTTAACCAGCTATTAAAAGAAATTGCAGAAATTTCATTTGATTCTACAGAAAACCAAAATATACCAGACCTAGATGATAATGAAATTTAATAATAAAAAAAAGTTAATCCAACACACTGCATACAATAGTAATTTATTATACCTGTAAACACTTGCAATATTTTTTGCTCTTGCTGCATACACTGTCTACCTACAAGTACTGTCTGAGTTGGTCTGGGTTATATTTGGGGAATTGTTGCGGCACATACTGTCTACCTGACCGACTCATGCAAAGTCTATCCGTAACAAAATGATTTTTATGCATACGCATTCTACAAATTCCCGTTCGGCAATGTAGCATTATCAAATTAGATCCATCATTTATATTTGTAACATGAACATAGCAACGATAGTCACTTGTTTCTATCTGTGAACCTGTCAAAAAATGTACCTAACCTTACTTTTTTACTGTAACTTTACGACAAGTTTATAAAAAAATAACGAATTTCCGCAGATAATGAAATGCATATCAATAATGTATTGAATTAGACGAATCGAATGACGTATAACTCACCCCGATCGGTGAACGGGCCGTTTGCTAGGAATGTTCCATTGGTTTAAAAGGTGCTTATCCAGGAAAATTATTCGCGTTCAAAAATTAATAACATTTCAATGTATCGTCTGTGCCATCAATTTCTTTCTTTACTATACGAAACATACGAACGTTAACACTGTGCGACGAAAGTCGCAGTAGACACGTGGCAACTACGTCTATGTGGTCGTGTATTGATTCACCACGCGTTATACTGTCGCCATGTTGGACACCAAGCCAACGATAAAACCGATCCGCCTCTCTGGATTTATTTCGCAAATTTTGTCATACGGGACCGTATTGATTCGTGTTCTTAAATAGCAGTGGACTTACGGTAAATAAATCTAACAGCAAATATAGTAATTGTTAGGAAATGGAGCCTTAAGTGACATCGATTAAAAAAGATAAAATTCGTATTAACGAAGATTCCTTTCAATAACGTTTGTAAAAGTTATTTAAAGAAATTAGAAATGATTTTTAAAAACGTTTGTTCACAGAGCGAGAGAAGAGTATAAAACACGGAGAGAGCCCTGTGGAGCCAATAAGCAGCTGCAGGGATGAGCATGGCTTTGTGCCAACGGTTGGCCGTTGGGGAAGCGAGTGGCCAAGTTGACTCGAGACGGCAGAAATATGGTGTCAGCCACAGGGGCAGGCACGCGGGCCCTGGATTAGGGGTGTGCCGCTACCCCTGCCGGTTTGGGCCCATTATGAGTCACCAGCCCTGACCGTCCCAACGGTCGAACAATATGAGGAACTAGCAGGCAGTGTTGAATTAGAAACACAACACTTATTGCGCGAGCATCGCTATGATACCATTGGCAACTTTCTTGGGTAACTATAACAACATATTTTATCATATATAAGTAGTCCTGAACAAGTCGTTAATAAAACATTTTTATTTACGATCAATAGATTCTACCAGGACTATGTTGCAAGTGGTGAAAGCATGCTGGACAGATTTTATCGTAAATATCAACCACTCATAACACAAGAACATCACACTTGTGTGGGTTTAGGATTTGAGTTACTACGTTGGTTACGGGGTTTAAATAAAAGATTTCCTGGTATAGCAAGTGGCCTCTATTTGGTGTCTTGTGAAGAGGTATGTTTAAGATTGTTTGAAAACTTTAAATATTTTTTTTAGTAAATAATTTACATTAACTTATTTTATTTTAGACTATTGATAATGTTGAAACTTACGTTGGCGGACCACCTGCTGCTGACAGTGGAGAGAAGGAACACGTACTAGTGTGCCTGAAAATTGATATTAACGGACGCCGGGGAGTTATGCTTCTCGATCCTGGATATCATGTAGCCAGAGTTATTACTGTAATGGAAGATAAGTTATACCCACATACAGGCTGGTTTATACAATCTGATGAACCTGATTGTAAGAGAGAGTACAACTACTTTCTATGCGCTAATGATCCTGATTATGTCGAATGGCATGAGAGAAAAACTCGACCTGGTGCCTTGGAGAGAATACAAGTTGCTCTTATATATGTGGCAAGGCCATATTTAACTGCTATCGATGTTACAGAACGAAGAAATTTGGTTTATAATTTTCGAAGTCTCCTTGCAAGAGACACAAAAGGTCATCTTACAGCTGGTATATATTTCCCTGTTGTGCTAGATATGAACAACGCGCCAACTTTTACGATTTTTTATCAAACTAATAACGGCAAAAAGAGGGTCAAAATGGCGTTCAATAAATTTCGCAGTTCACCGAAGGTAAATCATCTATATATTAACACTAGATTTACGGAAGCCGTCAATTTGACGGATGTCAGATTCCATATTTAAAATTGCAGAACGCGTAAATATTATTTTTTAACAACTTATGTTGAATTTGTTTGATGCAATGGCATGAATACATATTCTAATTAAAAGAAAAATCGTATTTTAAGGTAATCGTCAACATAAAAGGTATTAATAAATATACGTGAGATCAATGCCCGTAAATCTAGTGTTAATGTCGCCCGATATGTGTAATGTTTCGATTTTAAAGAACAACTGTATTTTGATTAGATCAATCCTGACGCGGAGGAGAAAGAAATTATCGCAGAGTGTGCTCGACAGTTAGATTTGTCGCAAGATACATTAGAAGATCTGCTTTCTGCTCTTGCCATAGTTTTGAGCGACTCGGCCTTCGTGGCTCAACTTTTGGCTATTAATGCAAGAATCAACACTTTAGCAGAAGATAATTAATAGACGTCGATCCACCCTGTGCGGTGTAAACAAAATATAACATGTCATTTATTTGCCGGCTTTCCTCTTACTTTCATTTTTCTTCTGTTGACTACCATATTAATGGTATACTATGTATTTTAAACATTAATTTTATTCTTGTTACGATATAGAATTCAATATTTTTTAAGGAAATCTTAATAAAAATATAATTATATATCATAATAATATTATGAAATACTGGTTCAATGGAAACATTTACAAGGTATGTTAACAATTTTTTGCTTATGGTTATCATCTTTTTACTTATTATTCTTACATACGTAACGCTTTAAATTGAAACGAAGTTTGAAAAGTATATGAGAAATTCATAATGTTTTCATTGAAACAGAATCTAATAAAGCTAAATTAGTTTATTGCTTATATAGAAAAACTTTACTAAAAACTCTGGTATTAGGGATGATTTATAATTAATTTTTTTTTTTAATGTAAAACGTGGGTTCTGAGTTACTCTACATCTATAATTTTTATTTGAATAAACAGTGACAAGAAGAATTATTACATGATGTTATTCATTTATTGATAAATACGCTACTCCAAAATATGTTCCTTCCTATTATATTTGGCATTGTTGAATATACTCTTTACGAACACTTAGAGCTCAAATACAATTTGTACCAAAAATAATATACCTAAAAATTAAATTTTGCTTAAAATTAATCTTCGAGATATGTTTTCTAAACAGATAAAATACTTCAGAACGTAAACGATAATACTTCAATAATTGTTTTACCCAAGCACAAAACATTTCAGATCTATTTTACCTATAAATTAAGCTTTACGAGAAATAATCCTGTAACAGTCCTTTGATAATGCATCTAGAAACGCACTAAAAACAACTGAGAATTATACTTTTTATGCATTCTTACTCTCACACTCTTCATACACCTTGTTATACATTATCCCGCAGAATTTCTATATCTAATTATATTTTGTCATCCATAAAGATTCTAGAAACAGTAAGACTATACGTAAAATGGAAAGTAACTTCAATGGAAACTTCAGTAAATACGGACACATTGTACTTCAAATAAAATTTAATTTTTGCCCTTTGGGGAGAGGGTGCATTTTAATTTATTTAAATCTACGAGATATATATAAAAAGTTGATTATTGAATATAAATTTTGCGAATCAAGTAAAACGAGTAATTTTGTTATATTTCCGAAAATTGTTTTAAACGGAGTTTAAATTTACTGAAGTCTCGCAGCATTGCCAGAATATAGTTTAATAGATTCTAATAGAAGATCTAAATATTACTATCTGACACAGCGTGACGTTTTTTGCAAACTTTAGCCTCTGGTGTATGTTCACGTTTTCGGTTCCCTATTGCATTTGCAGAAGATGCTGTTACTGTTGCTGTTGCTGTTGCTGTTGCTGTTGCTGTTGCTGTTGCTGTTGTTGTTGCTGTTGCTGTTGCTGTTGCTGTTGGTTTAGCAGCAATTGTTTTGACATGTCCAGATGTATCAGAACTGTGAACATGGAAATGTTTAGAGTATGATATACTTATTTCAAGGGCAGACGAATATAAAGTGACAAATATTGTCCTGTTGTTATACAATTAGTCAGTGTGGAAAGAACTTTTGAAAAGTACTATTACGATAAATGGAAATGCACCATTTAGTTTATTAAAGTCTAACCAACGTATAATTAGAAAAATATATCAGTAAGTTAGAATGTTGAACATAACAAATAATGTAGGATGAATCGCAACGTACTTACGTTGCACAAGTGTCACCACTGTGTACTATGCTTTTACTTTATTAATATTTGCGGCTGTACCTGCAATACACAATATGGTGTATTCCATACCAATATTTTTTACTACATTACAGAGAACATAAGATAAACGATAAATTGTCAAGTAAATACAACTATAAATAGTACTTTATTTAATATATATGCAGTAGCACAATTTTAGCAATTAAAAACATTCATATAGCAATTAGATTATTTTAAAAAGTCTCCTGGAATATAAATTAACAGAGAAAATAGTAAACTTATATGAGGGGGGGGAGATACTGGGGGGATGAGGAAGAGAGGAGATGCAGGGTATGTGGAGGGGAGGAGACGTGGGAGCACGTCTTGGAGAGATGTACAGGGGATGAGGCAGAGGGGAAGGGGATCGGGGAAAAGATAAGGGAGATTTTAGACGAAGGAGGGGGAGGGGAGGTTTGGATAAAGAGACTGGAGGGTAGGAGTGGGAAAGAGGTTGAAAGGGGGTAAGAGGGGCGTGAAGGAGGGAGGTAAAAGGAAGGAAGGAGCGAAAGAAGGAATGGAGTGTAAGAGTGGAAATGGAAGTCGAAGGCGGGGAGGGCGAGCGGAAGTAGAGGAGTAGGGGAGAATTAAGGAGGGAGAAAGAGAGAGAGCGAGTAGGTTAAGAGTAGCGTAAGAGTAGGCTAAGTAGGCTAAGTAGGCTAAGAGCGAGCGGAATGAGAGAGAGGGGGAAAAGCGTGCGGAGCGGTAGTGTAAGAGTAGGATAAGTTAGGTTAAGGAAGGTTTGTAGAGAAGAGTGTAAGATAAGGAGTGCTTGTAACCCTAAGGGGAAGCAATAAAATGATACTACTACTAGTAAACTTATATTTTGATTTAAAAAAATAACAGAAGCTTTTCAAACAGCCTAATAAAGACATATATTAACATGGTACACAATAAATAAGTATAAAAAATGATTAAAATTATAATCTTTCAAAATTGCAATGAAAACTAATGAATGTATCCATTTACCAAGCATGCAACAATTCAGAACCAATATTTTTATTATTATGTCTAAATACCATATCCTACGTACTACATTACAATTTCCTACTGTATCACAAAACATTTTATGGATGAGAATGAAAATATTTCCACTTATATTTTATTGTTTAAATATATGGACATTCTAAAACAATAGGAGATCAAATTTCCAACAATGGCGTTTTTCCTTTACCTGCAATGCAATAATACACAGATATAAATGTAATACTGTTTCAACCTTCAAACCAAATTGGATTTAGATTATCCTCTTTATTAGATTTATATCTTTGTATTACATTGTCGACAAAGGAAAAAAATCATTATATTAATGGCAATTAGAACATTACTAATGTTCTTTATCATGCACATTTTACAAAATGTTAATTGGACATCAAATAAACACAATGAAACGATCGGGAACGAACTTACCTTAAAGCAGGAGCAGAGGTATGCGTTTTAGATGTAGGTGGCAATCTTAAATTACGCCTAGGAGAGGGTGTCCATCTTGAAGAATTAGAGTATCGACTATAAAAGCACATAACAAGCAAATCAATAATATAAAAATAAAACTGATACGAAATAACAAAAAGTATAGCCAAAACTTTAGACACTTTTATTATTTCCTTCAATTTACAGTTAACTTGCACAATAAAAAGATAAAATAGAAAATCAAGTGCAACATTGTATAATTTATTAACACATTTCTTTTATTTAGTTTTCTTGTAATTTATGACTTCACAATACTACGAGGTATTATTGCCGAATTTTTAATTTATAATTTTATTACGAAATAGCTAATATTTTGTTATTATATTGACGAATAATTATTACATAAATAATAGATCCACAGAACAATAGTGTGCCGATTATAATTTTATATTATAAGTACCATGAAAATTAAAAATAATAAATATAACAAGAATGATAATAATGCAGTGCAAGTACGCTTATTGAGCATGCTACATTGAATCTAGGGAAAAGAAATAAATATTAAGCCATGCGTTTTTTTATTTTAATGCTTGATACAAAATTTTGGTAAGGAACGCTCAAATGAGAAACAATTGACAGAGCATGATGTGATCCCGTTTCTCCATTCACTTTTTTTTACTGGTTCGCCTTCTGGATTTCTTATGCACGCTGTATAAATTTGAATATATCAATAATATAGCTTCATATTGCATATATCAGCTTATTAAATAAATGCAATATATTTCTATGCTTTTAAACCTATATCTATTATGTAGCCTTTATATTTTCAAATAACTACTTTGTCAAAATACAAAATATTACTATGCTTGAACAAACGTTATTGATGACAAATAAAACTGTGTCATGTATCATTACTTTCCATGCAACATCCATTGATATTTCACGTGAAGAATATTTTTTAATACAAATTGATTTATGTTCTTTCCAAAGAACTATCCTACCTTTAACTAGTACTTTTGTTAAGATTTTCTTTAAATTTAATAGACTAACCTTCCCGATGGATCAGGTAAAGCCAGTTGTCTATGGTCAGGACGACTTCTATGACCATGGGCACCATAACGAGAATTGCCAATTGCACCAACTGCATGACGAGTGCGTGTTTCCCATTCATTATTGAAACTCTCTGCTTCTTCTACAAAATAATATTTGTTCATCAAATTGTTTACTTAAAAAAAAAAAAACCACACCATGAATATACATGTGAAATTTATTACCTTCTTCAAGATTAATAAATTCTTGACGCTCCTCTTGCTCGCCACTACGAACATTATGCTCTCGTTCCAAAATATGTGCTCTCTCACCAATGTGGTGACCTATAGCCATCTTTTTTACACCTGTGTGAGAATCGCAAACTGTTTTCTTTGTTTCCTTTACGCCTCCAGGCGCAGTTGTTGTAGACATGGTTTCTTGATATACTTGTGGCTGTCCATCAGGACCACTAGCCATGGTCATTACAGATCTAGAAGTAAAGGAATGACAATTTCCATTTGGCGCCATGTTGTCCTAAAACATAATGAAAATGATAAAATTATTTATTTAGGTTTTCAAATTTTATAATATAAAATATCAATAAATTTACTCACAAAATTTGGAAATAATCTATCCATATTAAACATCATCGGTGGAAAACCAAACTGCATCATTTGAAGATCATTCTGAGGATTCCTACTCCTGTGAGTATCATTAGTAATAGCATTTTGACTCATTCCAAACGGATCATTGAATAAAGAGTTCATCATATACCTCATATGTCTCATAGATGGCATTGAAGACCTACAATGAAAACATAACGAAGACCTCAATACATCTTACTTAATTTTGATAAAACCTCCATAATTACAGTCTATGAAATAAACAAGAATAGAAAACAAATGTAAATCACTATGGAAACGAAAAACTTGTATCTGAAGTTTAAATGTATGTTTAACTCTGTGTGTGCCAATTTATAAATTCTTATACATAATCTATACCAGTGTAACAAATTGACACATTTTTTTTAATGACAAACACATCTTGACTGCATTCCGTTATTTTGATGTCTCTTTCTCCATAATAAATGCAATAATTTACATAACAAGTTATACACAATTAATAGTGAACATTTTTGTAGGTAAACGTGTCCTGACAATCGTTTCTTTTTTTTTCTTCAAAATGTTCGTACAATTTCGCAGTTGAGCACGCTTGCGAATATGTTTCTCGTGAATTTACAGTTCGAAGTGTTGCTTTGATAAAAAAAAAAAAATCGACGAAAAACTATTCCGTACAATATGGTGTGTGTATTCTGCCAAATAACAAAATACCGAAAATGTTAGGAAAGTTTTCTAAACTTACTCAAAAATGAGATCGTCGTCATCACCCATCGGAGATCCGAACAAGGACATTTTGGATAATAGAAAATCGGGCACTGCTTGCAAGGAGAAAACTTACGATCGATAAAGGTAGACCGAGTGACACAAACTGCTTTAACAGAGAGAAACAGTACAAATTTATGTGATAGGTTCCGTTCGCAAAATGTGTAGAAATTTCTGGATCACGCAGAATTACAAATGAACGTTCAGTACTACTTGGCACTCTATCGTTTATCAATCTCAAAACGATCAGTATAGAGTGAACAGCCAATCCAGCCAATCCAGCCAATCTTCATAAGGCGCAGTTATATATGTATACGCATGCACATATATACAGTTTTTTAATGTTACGGTCCGTTTCTATGAAACTCATAACGTTCAACCAATACGCGCTGATGCGTTGTTGTATTGGATAGATCTTCGGATTGTTTTCAATAAGAATTAATTTTATTTTTTTCAATTTACCAGAATAATTGTTTCGCTTACGTTTACTTTCAAATACGTGAAATGATTAAATCAATTTGAATCGTTTGAAATATATTGTCAGGACTATAGAAGACTTATAAAAATACTAAACGCTTATCATAAAAGTATGAAAAGGAATTACTATAACTTTAATAGTTTGGACGAAATATATATATTTCAACATATAATAGCTATTGCTTAATTGTTAGCAAATTTAGGAATAACTGGAAATCGCTACACGACAAGCTGAAAGAGCTGAAAAAATTAAGAAAAGTATAATAAATGATTATACGTAATATGTAATCTCTCACAAATTGTGAAGTATGAATGTTAAAAAGAAATGAAAACTTTCTAAATTTCTTACAGGAAAGTGATGATTATTGACAGCGTTATTGATTATAGAGAAAAAAGAAAATGTTTCAGAGAGCGCCACGTGCAAATTAATGAAAACACGTCACCGTTACATTAAACGTATACAAGAAGAGGAATCGAATTTTTCCTCGAACGCGAAGTTCAAATGTTAATTATGTGAAAATTATTTCATTTAAGAAATTATAAATTTTTCATCATGATTGAAATTCTAACCTAACTTTCTCTCGTTTGGACATATAGTAGGTAAGTTCATTACGACAATATAGTATTTACATTGGAAGTTAAATTTGTTTTACAATTACTCGATTAATACCGTTAACATAACGATGTTAATATGTTTTATTAAAAGAGGAAAACCTTTTGCACAAATTAGTGTTGTACAATTTTAAAATTGATACATTAATCCTTGTCATTTTTATAAAATGTTTATCATAGATGTCGATAGTGGGACAGAATTTGTTGGTAATTGAAGTAACTGTTTTTGTACAGTGTCAGTTAAAATATATTAATGAAAAAAAAAAACATTGTGAATAGTTTTCTTTCTCTATTATATAAGACTGGACGGTCTTTATAGAAGCACGTTTTGTATTCATTTGGTATATTAAAATTGAAAACACATGCACAGAAACGATTGTGACAGATCATAATTGTAAATGAGCCTCATAGCTTTTGTATATGTGCAGTGAAATAATAATCTGTATATTCTTTTTGTAGCATAGAACAAAATATGATGTCCAATGGTGTTCAGATTTCAACCAAAAAGATTGGAGAAAAATTAATGACAAACAACACAAGTTGTTCACCTATAACATCGTCGACATTGAATTCACCGTTGATGAAGTTATCTTCGTACTTCTTAGCTGTACGACCTTGGTCTTTAAGTGCTTCGTTAATGCCAACACTTCTTGGATCTGCACTTGCATATCGGTTAACAGGCTTGGCAAACTTTAGTTGGATATCTTTTGTTCTCACATTATATACAGTGTTTTGTGTACACGGTGCTGGTAATGTAGTAAACACTTACTTTGATTATGTAAAAGGAGTAGACAGCAGAAAAAGCGATGACAGAATATTAGTAGATCAACTTTTGTCAAAGGACGAATTGGTTTCGTTAGGTGCATTGTTATATGCTGCAGGATGTTTAGGTTTTGTTTTATTGACTACTATATCTCCTGCAAAAATGGAGTTACTCGCGCTTGTGTACTTCGGAGGTTTGTCATCTTCATTTCTTTATACAGGGGGAATAGGATTTAAATACATTGCGTTAGGTGATGTTCTTATCTTAGTTATATTTGGTCCAATTTCTGTTTTATTTGCATTCATGGCTCAAACTGGATATGTTGAATTAGGTACAATATATTATGCTATACCACTTGCATTAAACACAGAGGCTATACTACACAGTAACAACACACGAGATTCGGAGAGTGACAAAAAAGCAGGAATAGTAACGTTAGCTATTTTAATAGGTCACACTGTATCTCATGTTTTGTATGCTTTTTTATTATTTACACCATACGTAACACTTGTGGTGCTTGCACTAAGGTATTCTGTTTGGTTTTTGTTACCAGTGGTTACTTTGCCAACTGCCTTCAAAATAGAAAAGCAATTCCGAAATCCTCATATGATTCAGAGTGTGCCTAAACAAACAGCTAAATTAAATATGTTTCTAGGCATTTTATATGTTGTTGCTTGTTTACTCGTGGATCCTCTTCCCTATTTGTAATATGCTCGAACGTTCCAGCAATTATACGGTCAGTTAATAGCCGATCTAATGCGTAATCTCAAAATAAATTTTTCATTTGTCTCTGGGTTGTTATGGATCATCCATTATGCAATTATTGGATTATTCAGATTTGTTTTTTGTTGTTGCAAGAAAGTAATTTCTATTGTCTTCTTTGTGCGAGCATTATCATGTACATTACAAAAATTGTTTTCAGGTTTCTGTATTATACTGCCATTTTTTGTAATGCAATAAACATTTAGAAATGACTTTCTAGCAATGCGATAATCTTGGATATGTACAAAGTGGTTACATCATTTAGAAACTGAATTTGTGCTTGTATTTCTATAATGTGTGTAATAAACATAATATTCTCGTACTTAAAGCAGATGTAAAAATGTGAATTTCAAATTTATGATTATTTAAATATTGATGTTTATATATAATTTATCTCATTGTTTAGAATTTTAAGTAGTATTATTTATATGAAACTGTATGCATATCCTAAAAGTTTTGTAATCTTAAATCATAACAAAACTTAACATTAATGTTTCCACATTTTATAAATTGATAAATTTACAAGCTATGACAATAAATTCTCATGCTGTATCAGTAATCATCTAATTACATACTGTATCATCATTCAGAAATACAAAACAAATATTTGTAATGCAACAATTATGTTGATTTTGAATATGACTGTGAAACTGTTATTATATAACATGTTTTTTTTTAGTACAGGATGTAATTAGGTCGACGTATATTGTTTAAAACTAATAAATATAAAGTTAATTTTAATGCTTTTATCTAATTTATTATGTACAAAAAGAAGTGCTGTACTGTTAAATACAAATTAGATACAGCAAAATTAATCTTCTAAAGTATATAATGTAATTATTTACAAAAATGCTAAATCCAAATAGAAACTTAATTAACACTAATTGTTACAATCACAGATTTGTAGAATACGTAATTATAATGAAAGCAAAATCATGTATGTTTATAATATTTGATTGCAAGAAAGAAAAAATGAGTTTTTACGGCAATGATTTAATAAATCATTTTTTTACCAATTTAGATTTTAATATTTACTTCCTGTTTGTAATAAAATATTCATTGTGAATTCTGATGAATAGAAAATTGTATATCCTAAAATAACCTTATTTTACACTGTACGTTTACCTAATAATATTGTACAATTTTTATGAATCCAGATATATGAATTTCGTAGATTTTGTAGATTTACACTTTTGTTAAAAAAAAATACTAAAATTTAAGAATTTAACAAAAACAAACTGACATAACCATTTATTGATATACGTAATAAATCGAGGTATATTCCTAGCAAACGGCCCATTCAACGATCGGAGTGAGTTATACGTCGTTCGATTCGTTTAATTCAGTACATTATTGATATGCTTTTTATTATCTGCGGAAATTCGTTATTTTTTTATAAACTTGTCGTAATATTACAGTAAAAAAGTAAGGTTAAGTATATTTTGACAGGTTCACAGGTGGAAACAAATGACTGTCGTTAGTGTGTTCAAAATGCCAAGTAGTCAAATGCTAATTTGTTAAACATTTATTGAATGAAAGCACCCCGCACAGATCTTATGGAAAATGGCCCCCCGTTTAAATTAGCTGAACTTTTGATACGATGTAGTTCATTATGTCTTGATGAAAAGTTCCAATGGGCCCAAGCTCGTAAATTGAACAGTTTCCGAGATACAGGGGATCAAAAGTCAATAATGGTGCACCTTATTCTAGACTACCACGTTTGAGCATATTTGAGTGTAAGAAGCACTGTTGTGACCCTGTGGGCTCTTAAATATTACCCTTTGATCCCCCTGACCCTCTGACACCCATTCAGGAATCAAAATAAACAAATGCCAAAAAGGTAAAAAATGATGAGTCTAAATTCGGCAGAAGAAAATATCATAAAGGTCATCGTGTGGAAGGACAGTGGGTTTTCGGAGGAATAGAAAGGGAAAGTGGAAAAATATTCCTGGTCCCTATTGAAAGTAGGGACACAGGATCCCTTCTTTCAATAATTAAACAGTGGGTGTTGCCTGGAACTACAATTATCTCAGATTGTTGGAAAGCCTACAACATTTTGGAAGAAGACGGGTATACACATCTCACCATAAACCATAGTTTACATTTTAAACACCCAGAAACAGGCGCTTATACGAATACAATAGAAACTACTTACGTGGAGGCATAGTAAACAACTTTTGCGTAAATATTGTCGGTTAGTAGCAATACCATAAATATTTTCTATTTTCAGCAAAAATAATAATTTCATTGGGTACTTAAGCCATTACATATTTTATAAATCTTCCAAGCAAGGAAAGAATGATTTATTTAATCAGTTATTAAAAGAAATTTCAGAAATTTCATTTGATTCAGTAGAAAATCAAAATATACCAGACTTAGATGATAATGAAATTTAACAATAAAAAAAAGTTAAACCAACGCACTGCATACAATAGCAATTTATTATATCGTCTACCCATAAACACTCTCCACAGAGGGGTGTGGAAACATTGCTTACTGTTGCTGCATGTACTGTCTACGACGTCTACGTATAAGTACTGTCTGAGTAGGGTTGGGTTATATGGGGGGGAGGGTTAATTGTTGCGGCATATACTGTATACCTGACCGACTCATGCAAAGTCTATGCGTAAAAGAATGATTTTTATGCATACACGTTCTACAAATCCCCATTTGACAATGTAGCATTATCAAATTAGAATCATTTATAATTTGTAATATGAACATAGCAACGATAGTCACTTGTTTCTACCTGTGCACCTGCCAAAAAATGTACCTAACCTTACTTTTTTCTGTAACTTTACAAGTTTTATAAAAAAGTAATGAATTTCTGCAGATAATGAAATACATATCAATAATGTACTGAATTAGACGAATCGAATGACGTATAACTCACCCGATCGTTCAACGGGCCGTTTGCTAGGAATGTTCCTAAATCGATATAGAACGATGTATCGAAAGTTATAATTTCGATTCTTTTTTGAGAAGATACAAACATTCTATTGTTATCGACGCTTACTATAATATAAGAAAGGTTGTTTACTATTGAATAATATATTGATTAAATCTACTAATAATTATATTTTATAATTGTTCTTTGACATATTTAACTAGTTTTTGTTTAAGAAGCACACTATTTAAACATAAGAAAATGTATGGATATCTTAAATTACTTGATCCAGTTGTAATATGTCCTTACAATAAGAATCATTTAATTGTAAGATCTCGCCTCCAAAAACATATTATGAAATGTGAAAAAGTAAGTAGATTAATTTTGCTAAAATATTAATAGTACAAAATTAATATCTATAGAATGTATTTACAAAAATTTTTCTTGTAGCAATATCCAAAACATTACAAAGTTATGTGTCCATATAATGCAACTCATCGCTTATTCAAAAATGAGTTGGAGGAACACATTATTACATGCCCTACTCGTAGTGTATTAGAGTCTGAACTTTATTCAGGTTTTCATTAATTTCATATTTCATTCTTAATTTTACATTTAAAATTAATTTAATGATAATTGCATTAAAATATTTTGTTTCAAGAACCAAAAAATCGTGGCTGTACAAATTTTCCATTACATTCAGAAGTATCAAGCACTGTAGATTTCACAGAAAATTGGGATTTGGATGCCAATGATTGTTCAAGATTCTTAACAGACAATGAATCTGTTTTGAATAATAATACAAAAACACACATGACAAATTTAGATTCAAAGTAATTATGAAGTTCGTATTCTTTGTATCTTTATATTTTCATATTTTCATTATATTATTATATTATTTTAGTCTAAAGGATACTCTTGAAAACAAAGAAATACGAGGTCCTCGTGGCTATTCGGAAGCTATGCTAAGGGAATCAAACGAAGATTCGTGCATAGAAGATGAAGAATCAGTAATTAGCTCAATGGGAATTGGAAGAGGTAAAGTTATCAAGGATAAAAATAGGTTAAAAGTGATTGGATTAGGCAGAGGAAGACCAGCAAATATTGAGTAAATTTCATTAAACTACTAACTCAGAATTTAATGTATTACGTTTCATGTCAAAGCAAATGAAACTTCATACTTTATCCAAGGATAATGCAAAAAAGAGCTAATATTGTTTTAAAGATATATTTTTCTATGTCATTTACAAATAATACGAAGTTTTATTACTTATATGTTCTAAGTATCAGTTACTTAAACTTATTTCATTAAAAATTATATAGTTTTGTAAATTTTTTTATTTTAGTAATTTACATTGATCTTAATATTTACAAACATGATGAGAAGAATTTTCCAAAAGATGAATTATTCTTAATTTCTTTGACATTACATGAAATGTTGTTACAAATATTAGTAGTACATAAGAAAATTAAAATTATTTACAAATATGGGATTGCAGTGGCTGTTTTTTTTTCTTTTCAATACTTAATTGTTAACTATATTGAACGCCTCGTTTGATTTCTTTATGCGGCAAATTGAAAATAATTGTTACATAATAAAAACATTAATACAACTGGAATATAATTAAACATTGAACCTTTTATGATTATAATGCATAAAATAGGAATATAACAGGTAATATATACTTTCAGTCAGTGAATAACAATGAAAGTCATATTATAAATCATAGAAATTTTAAATTTATACTTTAAAAAATGATCAATAATATAATGCAATAATGTGTATGATTTATTACAGTCCTGAATGATAGTAGCTTGTTTACTTCAACTAATTGCAACGGGTAATTTTAATTTCTCATTACCGATACCATATTATACGATGTGACGTATTTTGTAATTTAATATTTACAACTATGATACGATGTGTTCTAGCGCCTTAAAAATTGTAATGGTGTTTGACGTTATTTAATAATAAATTTATTTGACGTTAATGATTAATAAATTTAAGTCGAACGTAAAAATATAATTTTGTAAATGCAACATACAAAAAAGACTTTAAATCGATATAAAAACTATGTAAAGTTAATGAATATAAACATACTTTTAAACGTCCAATATTAACTTTCCAAAATTTTGGGAATGTCAAAAATTTTCTTATGTTTGATGAACGACGTATCTCATCGATGATATAAATAATCATCGATACGTAATATATTTCTGTGTATTTAAATATTTACGTATTATCTTCTAAATTACAAAATGAAACGAATGATATTGCTTTTGAAAATTATAAACATACAAAAAAAAAATATAAATCTTTAAGTGAACAAGCACCCTAATTTATAATAATAAGAAAAAGAAGTATGAATTCATTGTATCAGATTTAAGAAAGAATTATTTAAAAAATTACATTGCGATACAACAAAAAATACTTGATTGGATGGAACAGTTCCGAATAACGCATTGTTATATGTATATGTACATAGATACATGTATGTATCTTTGTTCATGAAATTTATTGAACGAATATGCATGATACATTTACCATGTACATCTTTAAAAAGGACCATCATTGCTGAAAATTATTTTCTTTCATACGTGCAACACATCACATGTTAACACCTAAAAACGAGACTTCAATAACAACTTTCACGCGAAATATTTCATACAAACCTTATGCATAAATTTTGCATCAAATAATGTTGCTTTTTGTTCACAAGTACCGAATTTCAAGTCGAAATCGGATTTGAACATTAATTATGTTTTATTCTATGTCGTTAACTTGGTATTTCTTTTTTTTTTTAATTTTTTTTAATTTTTTTAATTTTTTTTTTTTTTTTTTTTTTTTGAAAATTAAACGCGGGATATGTTTTCAACTTTTCACCCGCAGCCACGTGCACCAGTTACGTACAAAGGAACAAGTGCTAAGTTTGTGAATAAGATTTTAATTTCTCTGGGTGCCGACGTATCAGCTAGCAGTTATTTACAAGTTCTTTTAAAAGTATTATTCTTGGAGTAATGGTTGGCAGTTACCTAGCTGCAGTCTGTTTAACGTTTTAATGTATAAAAACCGTAAATTTATTGAGCGCAATATTTGCACAATAGCGAGATCATTGCACTATATTCATTTGCCACACGAAAATGATACATTTAGGGATTTGTGAAATGTATCGTATAGGCAACATCAGTTGCGCGATATCGTGATGTTTCCGTTTTAGTGGATGTCGCGATTAGAATCACAATTTATATGTTTGTAGATTTTTTCTTTTGTTGTTTCCACACCGATATCCTTTCTTTTAAATCGAGCACTGAAAATATTAAAAGATTTACGATCATATATATGTTCGTTATTAAGGAAAAAAACAGAAGAATTTTACTCACTCGGTGTAAGCATATCTTCACTGAGAGGTTGTCTACTGAAAGGATCTGTGGCACTATTAAGGAGATGTCTAATAATGACTGCTTTATCCATAACTATACCAGACGGAAGTTTAACAGGTTCCTCCATGAGAGTGTCCATAAGTGGATCTCGAAATTCCTCTGGTGCGTCGCCATAGTCTTCGTCACGAGCACGATTATCTCTTGCGATGACCGCAGCACGTTCCGCTAGTACTATAAATCTTTCAATTTCTGTCGTAGTCTTGATTACCGACCTTTCTAGCCTATTCGCTGCGTCCGTAAATAATTCCTTGCAAAATGAGCGCTGAAATAACGGCGTTTATTAGAACAAGTTAGCCCCGTTAGCGAGATTTACGAACTTACTTCATCACTGGCCAAAGCGGCCGCAAAATTATCGCAGTCAAGATGTAAATATATGTCGACCAATTGACTGAGTAAAGCTCTTGGTTCCCATCCATACTTTTGTGGTTCTCGTACTTTTAAATTTTTGCATTTAGGTCCGCACAACTGTTGTAGGTTAAAGTTTAACATGGCACACAATCTTCCTACCAACTCTGGTCGTAGAAACGGTTCCGTGATATCAACTGTCAAATAATGAAACATAGCAACGGTCTCCTTAGCCAGAGTTAGATACGATCTGGCTTGTCTTTCGTCCGCTGCTAATTGTCTCATCCGCGAATGTTGCTGTTCATTTGATAGCGCTGCCCACGCTCTAAGATCAGACATCAGTTCTTGTATTTCATGGATACGCTTCAACGTTTCCAAACTTTCATCGAGTAAAAAGGTAGTGTCGTTCATTAACATGTTAATGAACTTCACAAATTGCTTGCCGTTATTGCTCTCATTAATGATCGACTCCCGGTGTACTGGGCTGTCCCACATAGACTTCAATATTAAACTAATATGATAACGAATAGAAAATTTATCGTAAAATTCGGAACTAGAGCCAGTCGTTTCAACGTCTGTATAGAACTTCATAAGGTACGATGCTAATAGCGTTTTGGATATAGGATGTGCCATTACTTGGTCATGTAGCGATTCAGTTTGTCCCTGAAGTACATAATATTACATTGATCAGTTAAAAATTAATCGTAATGTCCCGTTTTCTATTCCGTAGACGAAAATTACCTGAACACTCGGATTTATCACAAACAGCACTTCAATAATTTTTGCTATTAAATATGGATTTCGTATACAATGTGGGGTACATACTACAACAAGCAACCATGTAATGAGTGAATTATCCATGTTATTTGTTACCACGCCGGGACTAAATCTATAAATAATATTGAATATAACGATCGTATAGAATGATAATTGCATTTCATATGTCAAAAGAACGATATAAAATAATACTTACTGAAGTGTAAATAATAAAAATTCCGCAATATCTTCGACGTACCATTCTGGTAGCGCTGTAAATTTTTGTGGAACTTCTTGCAGCAAAGGAAGTTCTGGAGGTGGATTTCCTGGCGGGGTTTGAGTTAATAAACTTAACAGAACCTCCGCTACGGAAATATAAAAATGCAAGCACCTTCTCAATAATGTAGGATCAATTAATCCGGCATCCGAGCACGATTTGGATTTACTGAGTTGTTTCAATTGTTCTTTACAACGTTTTATTAATGCCTTATTGCGTCCAGCGAAAGGTGTATCTTTCCACTGTGGTTCGGTAGCTTGCAACTCGTCGAGCATTTTCTGGATGTCACGCAAATTCCTTAGTTTTCTCTGGTATTTTTGTAACGCTGGTAATAACGCTATATGGTGACAATGTAAGGTAAGAAACCAACATTGAGTCGGAAACTTTGGCTCGACCCACTTGTGCGTCCTTTCCAAATGTTTTAGCCATTCGGTGACTTCGTGGGACGTAAGTTTTAGCCTTGTCTCGTTTTTAATTTCCACTAAACTTGTTGGATGAAACGGGTACAAGGGATCGACGGTGTCCAGTTTGATTTTCACAGAAAGCATTTGCAATACCGATAACAGATTTAACATAAATCCGTCTCCGGCAAGAGAGAACTCTTCCGTCTGTATTTGGGCACGTTTTTCATTATGACACAGCAACATCGCCAAGTACGTTAACATAGCATCGCGACAATTGCTATTCGCAAGTATGGCGTGTAACATTTTGTGAAGCGACGTTCTGGTCCTCTCCAATTCTTGCTGCAACGTTACATTCATCACCTTATTGACGATCGGGTTGTCGTCGCTGAAAAATTCTTCAACCACGGCTGAATCTTCGTTGAAAATCGAGACCGACAGGAAAGGACCCAGGTAAGACGTTATCGTAAGTTCTCTACCAGCCGCTGACGTCATAATGTCAGGCAAAAATTGAATTTGATGAGTAATTAAACGGCAAATCGGCCGTATATTACTCGTCGGTCCGCAACGGATTTCTATTAACTCTTCCAATGCTCCGATCGGCATTCGATGCTTGTTTCCGTCCAAACTGACTTGTTGCATCGAAAGATACAGACCTTGCAACAACGGTGTAAAAATTTTATTGAATACTGCTAGATTCGTGTGTGTTCTTGCCACTAGTTCGTGTAAATAGCCCCGAGGTAAACTCTGCGAGAGTATTGGATAGAGAAGAGGTGGCATAGACAAATGATGCGCCGTCGAGAACTGATTAATACCGATCAGGCCTTGGAGTACAAGACAGGAGTATTGAACACACTGTGCTCTTAGCGTAGCCAGTACATCGGAGAGTGGCGGTGTACTTGATTTCTGTTTACAAAGAGAAGAATATCACATCGTGTACCGAGACGGGTGGTTTTCCATTAAAAAGTAGTATCAGTTGTATACCTTTGGGTGATTTCGTTCTTCAACGGCGACTCTTGAATAACAGTCTAGTAAATAGATGAGACTCTTTGGATGCGACGTTTCACAACAAGTACTACAACGGCAAAATAACGCGAATGGGCTCAATGAAAGACACGCTTGCCTATTAGGACTATCCTCCCGAACCGATGACGCCTCTACATAAATTTGTTTTAAAGGATTATCACCTTTTGTTAACATGCACAGAATTTCCATTAACGCTTGATTAATAAGCTCTGCTGCGTCAACAAGCTTTTGTGTAGACGTATACGACGCGGTTTGCGGTAGGAATACGGTACCCTCTGTTGGTTCTTTCCATGATATGCATAATACACGCGAGATCACAGAATGTATTTGCTCTATAGTTACCTCTGTGCTAGAACTTGTGGTCTAAAACGTAAATTCCGATGATGATAATTGTAAATATATCTCTATTCACAAAATTATGTATGGCGGCTTACACGTGATCTGGATTTTGAATCCTTTCTATCGGACTCTTCAACTTCCATATTTTCAATTCCCGAGTCTACATCCACTCCAGAAGAACATTGTTTATCGCTATTTTCCTCTACTTCCATCGGCATTTCAGGAATTTGAAATTGCTGCTGCTTCGACGGAGATATTATTTGTCCTGTAAATGCTCTCGACGGGCCTGGCGTACTTGGAGAAACTGGACCAGTATTATGATTTAAAGTAGTCGTAGAACTAATGCTATCCAGGCCTGCTAAACGGACCATTCGCCTTCTTCTTACCTACAAATAAAATACGTAACGTTATCCATTTATTTTTTAAAAACGCTATTTCAGAAAATCTTTTAACAAGTTGCGAATTTCCATATGAACAATACGTTGGAAAATACAACTATCAAAATTAATTAATTGTTAATTTTATTTATGCATAGTTTTCATTTAAACAATGTAATTGTAATTAAATAAAATATCTTACAATAATATGATTTCGTACTTTAAAAATTATTTCACAAAATGCAAGTATCGTAAGGCAAAATAAATAATACACGCAGCAAGGTGAACTTTGGCAGATATAAATGAAAGCTTACTATATTTATAACGGAGACAAAGAACACAAAGAACAAGAATGAGGGTGTACTATTCTCTTAATAGGAATAAATCATTTTGAAATATATCTATGGTATTTCAAATGCAAGACATTTTATCAGTATTCTAAACTGTGAAACAAAGATTTTTGTTTGTGTTGCAAAAAGATAGTTATTGTAGCAGATAGTAACAAAGAAAGAGAACATTTACACAAAACTCTAATGTTATAACAGAAAATCAGTTTTAATCCGTTGTTGTTACATAATTATTTTAACCATGATGTCTCGGTGAAACGACGATTAATTTACGGTTAATCCCGTCGTTAATCGAGACGTTTTTTTTTATCGCGTTGTCTCTCTGTCATCATCGGGTGGACGCTCTTGTCGTTGTCGCTTTTAACAAGCATGCTAGAGAAAAAGCAAGGCCAGGAAACAAAACCAACGGTAACAACAAAACGGATTCGTTATCGAGCTACGATTGAAAACGGAGCACTGGGTACTCACTTCCTCTTGGCTTAACTCGCTCATGGCGATTTCTTGTTTTCCTTTTCGGTCTCTCTAACCTCTGACACCGATCGTCTGTAAACCGCACACGTTCACAGCGTCACAGAAATTCTATAGAAAAATGGTGTTCGCTGTTTTTGAAGAATCTTGGACGAGATATGTCAAAAATTTGGACAGTCACTCCACATCTGTTTGCGTTTGGACGTGAATGCAGCGATTCCACGCCGCGTTACGGACAATCACTGCCAGGCTGCGTCGATTCTTCAAAACAGCTGAGCAACTAACACGCATCAGAACGCTCTCTTGCATCAATAATGATAACTACCTTGACGGAATTATGTGCACGTCACGTAGCGTTCAACAGGGGAATTCTTCGTTACTAATCGCGGACGACGCACGTTTGATTCGTTTGAAATCATATATTTACATAAATAACACTGAAATTCTCCCAGTTAACTTTCTTTCTGTCGTATATCGAAACTTATATACAGAACATCGTACCATATTCTTGATGTTTCTAAGTTTGCTGCGAACTCGAATCTTGTACAAAGTTTAATTGTTTAAACATGATTTTAAACGGTAAACTTTATTAAACGATGGTATTTATGTCGACGTACCGCGCGATCAATTTTCTTTATTCAATTGTGAAAACGACGTTACCAAACGTTAGGGCTTGATATTTCCTCCTTTTTGTAATAAAAAATTATAGACACTTTCGTAAATCATTTGTTTAATTACGTAATCGACTACCGTCATATTGACGTTTCCAGTTCGATTTAATATTACGAATCACGGTATTTATTATACTTTTTGTTTTAAATTCTTCAAAAAAAGGTCTCTTATTTACGAGTTTTTCGAAATTCAACCTTTGCGTAGATACTTGACACAAGATTAGGTTAGAAGCATAGTATTTTTTCGAGTGCCAACGTAGTGCTTGGCTGTGTACCGGGGTTCACGCGCATGCGCGGCTTACGAACGAAGAAAACAGTGACGTCATACAGCCGACTCTAGTACTAGCCTTGCTGAAGGTAAAATGGCAACACCGCGGGAGTCCGGCTTCGATATACCTAGCCCAACCTACCGTAACAGCCTCCCACTACCCACCGGTCTCTGGGCTACATAGGCTCCATCTACCGGCCTTCCGGTCTCCCGCCTATCTTTCAAATGTTTCAAATATTAATGTACTGAAGTCCATTAAATGTGAGCAACGGAGCAATAATCCAAGTGTTTCATTTATTTATATTAACTCTACAGATCCTGATTTTGGTGTGTAGCACACTTATTTAATATAATCTATAGCATTTTTGGACATTTTGTTTTATATACATTTTTTTTATAAATTTCACATATTCATTAATAATGCCACGGCGTTGCTGTGTTCCCAATTGCAAGGGAAATTATGATAGTACCTTAAAAGATAATAATTACAATTCTATATTTTTATTCCCCAAAGATGAGGAATTGCGGGAGAAATGGAGGGTTGCTATTCCTCGTAAGAATTGGACACCATCAAAATATTCTGCCGTCTGTAGTTTGCATTTTGCAGAAACTGATATTGAAAGGTACCACGGTATTCTATCGCCCAATGGTGTACTGGAGAATGTTTTGTTGAGATGTCCAAGGCTTATAAGGATTGTAGTACCCTCCATTTTCCCCAATTTACCTTATTTTACAAAACGTGTGCTACCACCAAGAAAAGCTCCTGCAGAGCGTGAACAAGAAATCCTCCAACGACGTCACAATTTAGTCCAAGAATTTACTAATTCAGATTTGATTAGTAATTTCGCGGATTTAATAAATAATTATAAAGAAAAGCTTGCAATTTCAAACTGTTGGACTATTAAAATAACAAATTAAAAATTTTATTTTTGCATGCTTGTAAGTAATGATGAATCTGATTTTTTGGTACGAAATACACAGATTGTGATTAGTGACGACATGAAATTACAAGTTTTTCAAGAAAGTAATGAAGTATCATTTAATGATTTAAAGTGGGTACTACCTATTGACAAGAAATTGTCTAGGTGGTCCCAGCTTCAGAATATATTAAGTAGATATAAAGTATTACAATAGATATAGGTCATGCACCATTATTATGGCCTTCTCATTATATAGCCAATCGTCGGCTGCATACAATTTATTAAGAAATTTTTTTATTTTACCTCATAAACGGTATTTACAATATCTTTCAGCCAATATGACCATTACACCAGATAATGATATAACAAATGAACATTATCTTATTAATATATCATCCAATTTAACATCTAGAGAAAAAGTAGTGATTTTATTAATTGATGAAATTTATATTAGTTCAAAATTGCAGTACAAATCAAACAGACTTGCGGGTTCCGCTTCAAATTCTAACGAATTGGCAAAAACCATTTTAGCTTTTATGATATGTTCAGTTTTTGGAAATTTTTCTGAAATTATTAAATTATTACCAGTTTTCAATATTACCGGGGCTGAAATGACACCCATTATTTATAAAATTATAGAATTTGTCCAAAAATGTGGTTTCGAAATAATATGCATTGTAGCAGATAATCATAGAATCAATAGAAATATGTTTAATAAATTATCTAATAATGGTATAAGAAGTTTTCCTAATCCTTCACAATCTAATAAAACCATTTTTCTTTCTTTCGACTTTGTTCATATAATGAAAAATATTAGAAATAATTGGTTAAATTTAAAAAATGTAGATAAAACTTTCGTTTTCCCCGACATTTATACAAACGAACTAAGATTAGCTAAGTTTAATGATTTACGTACGGTTTACGATTTCGAAAAACATTTAATTGCTAAGAAAGCTTATAAATTAAACTATAAGTCACTGTATCCAAATAATTTTGACCGACAAAATGTTTTCCTCGTTGATAATATATTCCATCAGTCTACAATAGCAGCTATGAAAGATTTCAATTATACCGCTACTGCTCATTTTTTAGAAATATTTCGCAATTGGTGGGACATTGTGAACAATACAAGTAGTATAAAAGGTAACAGGAAAAGAAACGAATTTTGTAAACCGATTTTGAATGTTAATGATTTTAGATGCGAATTTTTAAAGAAATTTCTAATATGGTTAAATTCTTGGCAAAATTTGCAGACAAATGGCCATTTAGCAGTAGATACTTTCAAAGCTCTGCACCAAAGTACTACAGTTCTTTTACTACTTACAGAGAACTGTTTTCAAAATTTTGATATATCATATCTTTTGGCTGGAAAATTTACAACCGAAAAATTAGAAAAACGATTTGGAAATTATAGACTTTTATCTGGTTGTAATTATCATGTGTCATATAACGAAATAATTCATGCAGAAAAAAAAATTAGATTAAAACATATATTTACAAAATCGGCAAATTCGTTTTCTCTTACTGAAATCAAAAATAAATTTCGAATTTGTGATGACAATAATAACGATCTTCATGATCTTCCCACTGATGTGACTTGTTTCTCAGGAATCTTCGATACCGAATACTTGTCCGATTGTGTTGTAGATGATTCCATTAAAATTTATATTTCTGGTTATGGGTCCCATTCTGTTGCTAAAAAATTAAATTGCAATATATGTCGTTTATTAGTTGTGGAGGATAAAGGTAAAACTGTAGGCGATGTATATTTTGATCACTTACAAAGAGGGGGCCTTTCTGTCCCCACTGAAGAAGTGATAGCCTCATTTATTCATATGTATGCAATAATGGAAGCCATAATAAATGATGGCAATTTAGAATCTCAATTTTTGCAATCTGGAAATCATAAACATATTTTATGTAAATTAACATATAATAGCATTCAATCAGACATACATTATTTAGCATTTTCAGATACATGCGTTTGTGGTCGAGCTTACCAAAGTATTTCGTTTAAATTATTATCAATTTTTTCAAATATTTTATTAAACGATTATGTGAAAACTGTAAATAATAGTCAGTTGGAAATACGTACAGACATCACTTCTAAAAATCGTAAATTAAAAACTTTTAATAGGAACTAGATTTTCAATGATTTTTTTTAATTTCATCTTTCTTAAAACATTAATTTTTATATATATTTAACTTATTCCTTTCAATATATTTTAATACATTAATAGAGTTTTATTTACTTGCTTAGTATATTTTTATTATGAATACTATTTCACAAGATTCAAAGTTTTATTAGTTGTATTTCAAGAGAATTTCAAAGTATGTTTTGATATGTTTTGTTATTAATATTATTCAAAATTATTTATTATTATTTCAAAATGTAATACTTTATTTCTTTAAGAATACAAAAGTTATGTTTTTGTTATGTTCTATTTAAAAATATTAATTTTATTTTAGAAAATGGGATGATATGGCTATTGGCGAACCACCCATTATAATAAAAAAAAAAGGTAACGCGCCATGGTAAATACCCCTAGGGTGGTGAGGAAATTTTTTCACAATTATCATACTGTCCTCTAACACGATTTTATAATTAACTCCATAATTGTTCCTTTCAATAGCTAATTATGCTAACCTCTTTTCCACGGGCACTTAACCTGTTTGGCTTCGTACCAATAATTTTGCCTATTTCAGGTCTCTATTAACTTATACATACCTTTATCAATTTTTAAATCCTTCAGTTTGGTTCAAAGATGGTTTTAACTTGTTTCACACTTCTATTTTCTTGAAATCTCTGTAAATATTTCAAATATAATGCATCACAACACCAAACTATTCCGACAGTCCACAAAATATATACCACATTTATAAATATTAATATACTTCTGTATTACTTCTACTTACTATAGTTATGATATTCATATATTCCTTATACATAATTAATAAAAAATACTGTATATTAGTATAATTTTATATCGCAAAATAACGTTAATTATAATCCTGAACACAAAACTCCACTATTGAAACTAGGACTCCCGATCCGCACATGAGCGGTGTTGCCACGTTCCATAGCACGGCTAGTACTACTAGAGTCGGCTGTGGTCTGGTGATCAAAAGGTTACGCCTAGTAACCTAAGGGGCACTGACTCGCTAAAGATTTGTCCTAGCGGGTCGTCGCACTATAAGATAGCATAGATGCCAGAAAAGCACCGCCGGGTGCACACGAACACATGCCAGATACGCGTACGTGAGCTCGTGGAGTTTCGGAAAGTCGACAAAGGCAAACTGACGCATGCCCTTTTTCTCGATTCTCCGAAGCTGCCCGAAGTAATTTCGGATCGCCTCGTGGGAGTCGAGAGAGAAAGGCTCACATTTGCCTTCTCGCTCTAAACAACTGAAATCCGACCTCCCGTCAACGGCATACGATTTGGATTCTCGAGCCGAGATTCTCGACTGCCCAGGCATTTTTACTTTCCGACCTATGTAGGCGCACATAAGCAAAGTACCCATAATGAAAAAAAAATTTTGTAAAATTTATTTTACGGAAATACACGTTTTAAGACCTCCTGATCATATTTTAATTATTGAAAAAAAAGAAATTTTTTTTTATTCCCATGTATGAGCACACATATGTATATTATTAATACGATTGAATATAAATAGCTGAATGAATTTAAATGAAACTTTACATTTAAGTTTTATGTTCTCATTTCAAAGGCGTGTGGACGGATTCAAATACGTGAACACTAAACGTAACGATGTAATTATATTATTTAATATTTACTAACTATTTAACATAAAGAACATAAAAGAAAGACATAAAACGTAAACGTAAAACTGTGATTGCTCTCGACTAACGTTCGATACAGAGTGACGTTCCTGCAGTCAAAGTCGACCCTTCCTTATTCCTATCTTATAATAATGATCTAAACAAAACGCACGTTCGAGACGCAGTCTCTAAAACGTATTTCAGCTTAAACCTAAATACCTCACTCGATACCTACTCTAGCTTAGACTAAACA